GATTTTAAATTTTATTTTCCAAAACTTGCATTTTCAACACACTACCGGAGGTCACTGGCACACTTTCACAATCTAGATTTTTGATGCAACACATAACATTATGAAAAATTGCACATTTGCCGTCCAACGTGAGCGATTTCAAAATTGTCCACCTGGAAAAGGAAGTAGTGTCGTTCGCATTCAGCTTCCGTCCCTTCCATGAACTCAATGATGCGGCGTCCCGATTTTTCAAAAGAGGAAATTGTAATTTGTAGTTTTGTTGTCGGTGCGTGGGAGTGATGGCTGTGACGGGGTTTTTTGACGGGTTTGACCTCTTTTCATTTTTTTTCCTTTGATGACACCAATTTATAGCTACATGATTAATTGACGAACTAAAAAAACTGATGTGCTGTGAGCTGCTTTTTTTTTGTATTTCGAAACATCTCAACTATTTGCAGGTTTTGCCTTTTGCAGTGGTCTGGATTTATTTTCTCACACATTTACAATTGAATCAGTCACGTACCACATTTAAAACACACGAGAGACGATTTTTTGAGCGAGTAGTTTGGTGTTCAATTTTCTGTTTGTTTTCCTTTGTGTAACCAAAATTTACTAAAATAAAAATTTAAAAGGTATTAAAGAACGAGAACTCCAAAGATACAAAAATTAATTGCAAATCCGGTTATTTATTTGTTTACCCCGAGCGCCTCCGAGTGAGATGGAGCAGTAAATTATCATTTCTGTTTTTGCGCGCGGGTGACGCTCGAAAAAAATTCGCGACAAAGAAAAGTAAAGAGATGACTTGGCCGCACATCAAACGAGCGACACCTTAATTTGTTTTAGTTCTCTCTAAATGAATTCGGACCGCAGCTTTGCTTTTTCTGGTCTAAAATTAAATTCTTTTCTTTCTTTGTCCGCGAGCGTGACTCAGTCTTAAGCCTGAATTCAGCCATGAACAAGTAAGAGCCCCATTAGGCCTGGCCGATCCAAAAACATTCTGCCTTTGTCGAAACGAAACGAGAAAATCTCCTGGCGGCCAACCGGCGCTCAGAGAGAAGGAATTCGGCTTAATGTTCACCTGTTGTTTCCATCAATCTATTTAGTGATCTGGGCAGCGACTCGGTCACACTTCTTGTTCTTTCTTCTCTCTCCCAGTCGTTTCGGTGCCAAACCTCGTTAAATTTCCTATACGATCTCGCAGAAAATTCGCGAAGGAACCGCCCCGGATATATCAACCTTGGCGCGTCCGACCGACAACTGATCGCGACAATTGAAATGTTAAATTTGCGTGTCACCGACGACGACAACATGGTCCGGTGATTAAGCTGAAATTTTACTGTTTCATCTAAATTCTCATTAGATTTTTTTGTCCGATGACTAAAATAGTTCACTGCTGACAATGAGTTTTAGGATACAAAGTCGCGATCTAGACAGGAATTTACGTTATTCATAGTAGTTAATTATATATACAACTTTTGATTAGAAAATACAGGTCTGAGAACCTTATCAAAATAAAAAATTTATTGATCAAAATTGTAACAATGCCCACGTTTTAAGGATTTTTGACTGAGCTCCTGAATTTTGATAATGAATTTTCAAATCGAACAGATTAATGTCTAAGATTATTTTCTATTTGTATACATAATCATTAAAAAAGTTAAAATCGGCTCATAGGAAGATCTATCAGGATCTAAGCTGTGGATTTTAAAGCGGATAAACCCTTTATTTTTTTTTTTTAATTCTGAAATTTCTTTAAAGTTTTAGTTATTATTTTCAATAAATTTAAATTTGAAATTTCTTGATGTTTGAAAACATTTTTTAATTTTTTGGAACTAATATTGAATTATGAAATTAACAATAATGAGCTTTTAGAATCTCTCCCTCTCAAAATTCAATAGTTTGTTTTTTGTTTCACATTATATACTTCCCTGGTGAGAGCTACGGCTAAAACAACCTGAAAAAAGCGGCCGTTTAGCACAAATAAAAGAAGCTCGAAAATAAAATTTAAGTGGTCGGATGATGCGTGTTGCTCTTCATAACACTCAACGGGCCGGCGTTCGCGAGAAGAAAAATCGACAGGAGTTTTGGCAACAAGGGCATTTTTCTTTATTTTCCGTCTGGGCCGCTGCTCCCAACTTTTTTAAATATACACAGATAAATATTCCACCTCGGTTAATTTCTATTGTTGTAGCCGCGTCACTTGTGGCAAGATAAATGAGGCGAGCCGATTTGAAATCGGGATGGCCGCGTGCCAAATATTGACCGGCCCCGTGCGCTGATTATTCAGAGACCGATTTTTGAAACCGGCATCTTCGAAGCAGAGCGAGAGAGGTCACCTTCCACTTCGAATTTCGCCCCTGGCTGCTTAGCCTTGTCAAGAACAGCGTTCGGCAGCTGATCTGTTTCTGATTGGTTATTTTTAACGATTGGATCTTTCGAAACTACGTCTTTTGAAACGACAACTGAAGTAGAGACCAGAAGAGACAAAAGCACTAATTAAATATATCTTGATTATTAGCTCCATCACAGTTTCAAAAAACAAGAAAACAAAATATGAAAAGATGAAATACGATTGACTTTTAAATCAATTTTATTATATTTCCATAGAGAGAAGGGCGCTTATAAAACTGAATAACTTATAAAAGATCAATTTAATTAAAAATTAAATTATTTATATTATTTTAAAATAAAAAATTACTCTAAAACAAGGTTCGCGCATTAAAAAATTTCGATTGTTGCCGAGCGCTCTGATTGGGTGCAATTTTACTTGCACCCAATCAGAGAGCTCAAACAACAATCGAAAAAATTTTCAATTGTTCTGATGCGCGAACCTTGCTCTAAAATATGGATTATAAATATAAATATGAAATCAAATGATTTATTTATTGCATAATATTTCATTCTTCTCAAATTAAAGCCATAAACAATGACTTTGAGCAGATATTATAGTGAAATTATTTTGTGTTCCGAAAATTCAAAGAAATTTGTCCGTCATTATCGGAGAGTCCTATTAATTTCAAACATATTCTTTAAATGTCTTTCATTATTTAAGAAATCGGCATCATTTCAAGTTTTAATTGGCACTTTCTGCGCCATCTTTGATCCGGTCTGCTGCAACGGTGCCTATCTATTTTCCGTCTGGCAACAACGAGGCCAGTCGGTCCGAGCCGCGGTTGCCCTCTCGCTCGCTCGCGGCTTTTGCAACTCGCAATAATTTCGCTGCTGCTGCGTCGCACCACTAGTGAAGCGTCGGGCGTAAACAAGGCGCGCACTTGGCAAAGTGTCATTGCATTAGCGGTCGCTGCATTACCAGATAAATTAACATGCAAGTGCGCGGCCATTTTGGAGCTCGTTTCGAAATCTGGAGCAACCAAAGAGTAAATACGGGGAGGAAGAGAAAAAGAGAATTATCTAGTCGTTGCCCGCGTCTATTTAGAGCAGGAATATATATTAGTAAATGTAAGGTGAGAGAGTGTCGCACGTGCGTGCAGGAGCAGTTTCTCCAAGAGGGTCTATTTCGACTTAGGAGTTTTTGTCGCCCTCTCTCTTTGGAACGTCAAAGAGCAAACCACATGATGCGTCTCTCTCTCTCTCTCGCGCCGCCGATGACGATCTCGAAATAAACGCGCGCGACAAAGAGACGTACGGCTATGTGACAGACGGCCCTTCTTGGTTTTCATCACTCGCATAATTTTCAAGCAGTCCTCACTGATTTGAACAAATGGAGTGGGCATGAGATATTTTAAAAGCCCCTTAAATTTTCAATTGTGTTTTATTTTTTTAACTTTCTAAAGTATCTTTACTTTTATCCAAATCACTATTGAATCTTTTAAATTGATTTTTCTCAACTATTGATTGGGAATTTTAAAATTAAGACGAAGCATTTGTTTCTTATTATAAAACTTTTAGAAAAACCTTATGGCTTCACGTAATTATTTGAAATTTAATTATTTTCACTAGCAGGAATATCAGTATTTTTTTTAACGTTCCTGTCAGAACCAGGTATGACCAGATTGTTCAAACTCATCAAGAACACATTTCAGAAATCAAAATTTGTCAAATACAGAATTGAAAGCTATTTGCATTTACTTAGCATACGAAAGCATTATAATGTTATAAAACTGGTAGGAAACCATCAGTACAGTAGTTGTTTTTTTGTCTAATTGAAAAATAATATAAACAGTTTTACAGAAGACAAAATTAATTTCAAACAGTAAAAAAATACATCTCAATTCAGTTTCTTTTCTTGCAAGATCTCTAGTTTTCTTTTGATTTGCACATTTGGCAGAGCCTGCAACTTCAGGCATTCATTTTCCCACCGCCTTTATTTGGATAGGTCTTTAAGGGCAAACACAATGCGTGGAAGAACCGTACATTCTCCAACAAAGACCAATTCCATTTTATTTTTCCTGCTAGAGAGAAAAGCCGGGGGCGATTTGCGAGTGCGCGCGTAAAAGGATTCTCCAGAAGGGCTGATGAAAAATACAATAGAATGTCTGTCCGTCGGGGTCTGCAGGCGCAGGCCATGTGGTGCATCAATTATTCAGGGCGACACAGCACGTGCTGCCCCATTACCGTTATTGCCATTGATTGGCGCAATATTGATCTCGTTTTAACAGAAAATGCGTGCGGTCGGCCATAAAAAATGGACTGCCATTTTCATATTATGTGATCTAACACAAAAGCAACGCGCGGGTGGAGCTGAATATGGGGTGTTGGTTTTACAACTAGCAGCTGCAATAAAGAGAAAACACCGACGATGACGACGGCGAAATGGACAATCGTTGTCCCTTATTTTCACCATCGATTAATTTACACTCAAAATATGATTCATTTGCAGGCAAACGCCATAAAAATTAAAACTCTAAACTATAATCTTTTGGTTAACAATAAAACAACAGGGTGATGTGATTTTCGTTTTGTGCTGGCGAGAGATGATTGTTTAATTGTTTGCTGGATTTGCTAATTTTTCATTTAATTTGTGCGCGTTTCTCATTTATGTCTTCATCTGCCTGTTTCAGGGTGCCACCCGGCTACGTGTACCCAAATCCATACCTGGCTGCGGCCCCTGGCATGGTGTCAATGCCGCCCACCCCTATCTCGCACCTGACTGCGGCGGCGGCAGCTGCTTCCAACCCTTTCTACACCGCCGAGTATCAGCCTGCGGCTTTCCCTGGACAATACACCAGCGGACTTGACCACTATGCTTACTCCAGTGCAGCAGGTAAAGTTTTATATGGTAAACAAAAAATAAATTAATTTTTTTTTTAATTTCATACATTTCATTAATTTTTTATCTCTATATAGTTTTAATTTAATCTTTAAACGGTATTCTAAAGTTTTACTAATTATTTCATTATTAATTTTGTCGTAAAAAAGGTTTTCCTTCAATGTTTAATTTAATGGAAAAAATTTTATCTCTTATTTTTTTATTCCAATAAAAATAAAGTTAACGTCATATTTTGATTACAAATAATTAGATTCTTAGAAGTGTGGATTTTTCTTAACATTCAGTTTGTTGTGTCAAAGTATAAATTGATGTTATCAAAGCCTGAGAATTGAACAATTCAATTCTTACTTAAAAAAATTGTTAAAATTGTAAACGTTTAACAGTTGATTGAGTCTAAAACAGTTGAAACAATTCAAATTCTAGCCAGAAAATTGAGTAGATTTTATAAACTGCAAAAATTAAAATTGAACAAAGTTTCAATGAAATTATTAATGATCCCTGAAACTCGATATCATCTTTCTTGCCATTTCTTAGTTGAAAAACAGTCAAAATTCTAATGGAATCACCCCCTTGAGCGCAACAGTTTGGAAAAGGAACATTAATCATTGTCGGCTCGAATATATCTTAATTTCCACTCTTTATTCCTTTTCTCTTGTAATGCCACGCAGACAGACATTCAGACTACCAGTTGCGCGCTTGTGTCTCGCACGTTGCCTACCGCGGGCACTTGGCAGGCGCAGCGTTTTCATTTTGGGGCGGAGGTAATGCACGCCGGTCACGAAAGCACCCCCGACAGGCACCCTCCTTGTTGATTCATTTACGACAAGCATAATTCAGACACGTGAAAGCGGCCATTTCAGCTGGCGGACGGACGAACACAATCGCGATCAAATTCAATACTACACAGCTTTTGTGCTCGTAGCCTTTCTTTCCTTCTCTCGCTTTTCCGATAAAATGGCATTACGTAATTATCTGACCGCGGCGGAATTATGAATTATGCACCGCAATTAGGCGGATAGTGTCTTTCGTGCTGCCGGTTCACGCCGTGGGATTTGAGTGGTTTTTGTCGCAGCGCTCGCTTGGTGCAAAGAGAGCGTTTGTTATTTTTTGGGCCGTGCGTGCATTCATGCCCGACACTAATGAGAAGCGCGCGTTTTGTTTGTTTGACGAGAAATAAACACGTTTCGGCCATTTCCGAAATGGACTCGCCGTTCCCCCAAATGTAATTGCGAAAAATAAAATTACAAAAATATAAAATACACACAACTTGGAATCCATTTATTAGAGTGTTAATTACAGTTTATATACTCTTTAACAAAATCAGATTAATTAGTAAATTTTTTTTTTTAAATTGGTGTCATTTTAAAAAGTTTCATTTTTTACAATTTTTCAACAGCTCTATATTTGATTTTTGCTCAATTTTGTTTCTTGCTTGTGTTCCAGGTGCTGCGGCCAGCTACGTAACTCCTTACACGTACGCAACTCTGCCGCAGGCCCTGCCCACCGGTACCTACCCAGGTATCAGTCCATATCAAGCTCAGACAGCTCAACTTCAAGAGGCTCGACTACAGTAAGGTGTTAGTTAATGGTATTGTTTTTATTTCGGAGATGCTTGTCCAACCGAGATTGAGACGCATCACAACTCACGCAAACACAATAATCGCGAAAAAAAATTAATTGAAAATTAATTAATACAAAGAGAAGAAGAAGAAAATATCCTTTTGTTGTTGACCTTTTTTAAAAAGAGAAACTAAAACCAAGTGTATAAAAAACGCTCTAAAAATGACTCCCCTGCGCAGAAGGAGGAAGAATTAGTATGACTAGTTAACTGTGTATAAAAAGAAGAAAAACAGAAACAAATTAATTAATTATTACTTAGCAACTTAAAATATATGCTGAGATGTAAATCATGAGCTGTGCAAAGCACGGTGGAAAAATATTGATCGATAAGTTTAACTAACTATATGTGAGGAGAATCGCTGATAAATTCGTAGAAATTTAGATAAACTATATATCGTTTACTGTAATAAAAATTCAACTTAAATAATAACTAATATTAAATACAAAAGTGCACACAAACACACAAACTCAAAGTAAAAATGTAATAGGGAAAGAGTTGATTTTTTTGACATATTATGTCATATTGCTGCAAGATTCGCTTCATTTTTGAGGAGATCTCTTCATTAAAGTAAAAATGAATATTGTCCCTTTTGTTTTTTTGTTGACGGCTAATTTATATTGTTGTAATGATGATTATTATTGCTATGGCCTCTATTTTGTTGTAATTATTTTTAAACTATCGCGCATCGTATGAGAGTGCTGCTAAGACTTAAAACTTATTGCGAGAGGAAGAAAGGTCGTTACACTCGAGACTTAAGAAGAATGCAAGATGTGAATGAATATCAATTGTTGTTTTACCCCCGCCCACCCAATTTTGTTTAAATCACCTCGGAAATGACGAAAGCAAGTGACTAACTAACCTTAGATCTCAAAAACGCAGTCGTAGAATTTGGACAATGGCCGATTATGTAATTATCCAATCGCAACTACAAATGACATAATTTTGGATCAATTTCGCAAAACAAACTCTTTCTCTAGCTATTGGGAAAATTACTGAAATAAATAAATATAAATTGTATTTATAAGAACACCTGCTCGCGGTCTTACTCCAAAAGTTAATCATGTAGAAAAATGAGATGAAAAAATATTAAGTCAGTGCATAAGAATGATGTTACTATATCCCCTCAAATGCAGAGCCCAAATGCAGATGTCTGTGTAAATATATAATGAAAATCGATATTAAAAATAATTAGCTAGGAACAAGGTTGGAAAATCTAACTGCTAGTCATCCGGTATGAAGCAAAAAACGTGACGCGGCATGACAATTATATTCAAAAGGGGTGCTGGCTCTCTCTCTCTCGTTTCAGTTTCCTCCAGGTGCGAGGGCGACATCAGAGAAAACCAACCCTTTCGCGCCATGAACGTTTTTTTTTCTCAAACAATTTGCCATTTTTTCAAGAAAAACCCGCAATCTTTCAACAAAATGAAACACGGTTCAGGCACAATTTATTGTTAATTGAAGAGACCGGAGTGTCTTTTTTTAATAAATCGGGAGTGCTTTTAAAAATACAAACTTGGAATGTTTGGTGAAGACTGAATTGCCAGCAACCCTCGTCTCAGAGGGAGCATGTGGCGTTCAAACTAGTCATCACAACAACACATCTACCTTCAACAGATCAGCCGTGAAATATGATGAATGAATATAAAATGTATAAATTCCACACCCTGTCCTCGACGGGGTTGGACCAGCATACAAAAATCCGGTGCCTGACGAAAACTAAATGCTAAAATCACGTGGACAAGACAAGGAGTGCCTTCGAAACAATGCCTCTCACGCAGGAAATTAATTAAGCAAGTCTTAAATCGAGGGATCATTAAATTAAAAAAAGAGAAAGATGGAAAACGGAGTGAATATTTTTGCGCAATATTTTGGAATCAACGCGAGATCGACCGCAATATCACATACACTGTTCAATCGTCCGTCCGATTTTTTACTCAAGCTCAAAACGCGCATGCAGTTCTGCACACTTTCCAGAATAAATTGATTTCGGTCGAGCTTATTGCTTTTGAAAAAAAAAATGATAGCATATCAATTCGGTGGAGAGGCGGCGCAAAACGACTGAATATCGCGAGTTCTTTGTTTATTTCCACTACTTTTCTGCCGCCGCTCTCGCCACTCGTTTAATCTGCCAATTCACAAAGGAGCGCACAACAATCACACTTCTCGATGTTATTACCTGATGCGTTCGCCCTCTCTCTTTCTTTCTTTCTTTCTTTCGGCGTGACAAATGTAGCATTGTAATTTGGTTTCTTGTTGTCTGGCAAGGAGACAAAATCGGTTTCTATTTGTAGCAGAGCTGCTGCTTCTCTTTCTTTTGGACTCGTCTCACTGCTCTCTGCGGCGGGTTCATTTCGGCTCATTTCCATGCGATCATTTTCAAAATTTTGGGGATTTGAGGCACTCATTTCAACCAATGCATATCTCTGTTAAACTATTCTCTACTGATGTCAATGTGTATAAGTAAATTTAATGAAAGAAAAAATACAAAGAAGCAGAGCGACTAACCCGTAATTTAAGTATGAGCGTCAATATTTACCAGCGGTGGATTCGTCTACATAGCAAGACCAAATATATTAATTAGAAAGAGAAGAAAAAGTTTTTTAATCGAAAAGAAAAAAAAATCACACGATTTATCCCGGATAAATAAGTACGACTATTTTCGTAACAGAAAAAAACCACGATGAAAAGCTAGCAGTTAAGAATGATAGCGAGTAAGACCCAATTGTATAATAATCATTAATTAGAGGACAGCCAGGTTCTTAGCGAGTAAGGCGCCGAAAAACCTTATTCTTCTTCTATAGGTAGGTTCAATCGACAAGGGACTCTTTTCTTTCTGTCTTCTTTTATATAAATCGTCGAAATTGAGAGAGAAACCAATGATGTACTTCAGCCTGGTGTTGACAATACGCATCAAGAGTAGCTCTTAAAAATATGATATAATCGATCGATTCAATTCTGAACCATTTCAAATATGAAAAAATCATCCTAGATTGTAAGGAAATTCTTTAATTTTAAGAAAATAAACACACACTAGCATGTAAGAGAAAACCAAAAAGCAATTTTTTTTAAGGTAATAATTAATTATTAAAAAAAATTATACATGCAGCATGTCTAACCCACAACAAAGTCTTGTGGTGGGAAGGCAACTTTTTATACTTTTGGTCACTCACACAAATATATTCTGCAGCATTTTCACCTCTTTCTCTCTCTCTCTAGTTTCTTGTTATTATTATTTTTATAAATTACTGTGTAGAAGCAGTTGCACTTGAGTTGTGTTGTTTAATTTTTAATTTTGCTGTCGTCCCACAGAGAAATCATTTTTTCTACGTCACAGCTGCAACACCAAATATTAAAGTAAATGTAATCAAGCGAACCATGTTTCGTCAGTTTAAAAAATTAAAATATTCTAATAAGAATTTCTATAGTACCGAGGGATATAATTGATTGATTGATTGGTCATGTGATTACATACTACAACTCACAATATTGCTATGTTATATACAGCTAAAATAGACTGGTTCAGTTCAACGTGTAGATGAGGAAAATTAACACCATATAATTAGTATGCAAACTTACAGAGACACATACAAACACACAAATAAGAATATGTTAGCAAACTTCAAAAGAACACAAACATAACACAAATACGCTGTTATTTATCGTAATTATGAGAAACAAATAAAAAACCTTTTTTGACGGTCGACGCCGCGGCCGTCGCGTCTTCTATATTTACTGATTCGTCAAGTTGTTATAATCAATCATATTATTATATTATGTATATGTAACAATACAACTATTATCACACTCACATATAGAACCTAGGCGATAAATGAAAATTTAAAATACTTCTCTAGCTTGTAAGTTCTACTATTTATTACTGTATAATTTTATTTATTAGAAACTCAGTTAATAAAATAAAAGACATCAAGCCAAAACTGTTGTTTTATTTGAATTTTATCCTTTAAAATGTAGAAATAATGCAAAAAAAACTTTTAGTCCCTTACCAAGTTAAAATTAGAACAATTTTTATTTCAAAATAAATTCAGATTTTTTTACCATATCAACTTGAATAAAAAATATATATGCTTTTTGAGTGCATTTAAGTGTATTAATTTTTAATACTTAACCAAAAGTAATGGCAAAATTAATCCCTGCTGCAAGCTTTTTTCAACTGCGGCCAGCAAATTGCTCTCTGGGTCGTCGCGTGCCGGCGAGCACGTTTGCACAAGATGAAATAATGCAAGATCAAAGAGCGAGGTGTCAATACCCCGTGACATTTAGCCGCGCGGCCAACACAACATCCTCCCTTATTATCAAACATATTAGGGCTAACTAATTCTGGGGTCGGCGGCTTTTAATGAGCGCTGCGAGCGACGAGTGACGCGCGGCTACGCAGAGCAGAATGAACATTCAGACATTTGAAAAGAGAGGAAAGAACGCATAAAACGCTGCTCTAATTAGTTTTATGCCCCAAACCCATTGTTCTGCTGTACTTTGAGAGTCAAAGGCGAATGCTTTTGTCGCTTCCCTCTCCATTAAGGACAGAATCACTCTAGCTCTCACTGGAAAGAATTTAAAAAAAAGCCACATTTTGTTCTTATTTTTTAAAACTTTTGATATTCAGAAAATAATGTTAGGCAAAACAAATGGTGCACAGACTCAATTTAAGAATAATTTATTAAATAAGGAAAAAGAAAGAATGATTGATTGTGAGAGGTGCTTTAAAGATTGAACTTAAAGGTGGCAATGAGTTTGCCCTCATCTTCTGGTTTTTTCTTATCTTCACTGCATCCGACCCATACGTGCTTGTTGCGCATTCCCACACAGGCGTACCATTTTTTGCAGAAAGGGCAGGCGGCCTCCATCCTGTGCTGGGGCATGCGCGACCTCTTGTTCCAAAACTTGCACAGCAGACACTGCACATCATCGTCATACGGATCTTCTTCTACAAATGAGTAATCGACAAACTTCTTCATTCCCAGGTCAGCAAAGACAGGAGGTTTTTCATCTGAGACAGCTTTTGGTTCGATGGCTTCTGCTGGGACCATTGGAGGTGGAGGCACTTCTTTTGTTATGCTTCTCGTCACCCTCTGATTTTCTTCAGGTGGGTTCTTCTGGTAAATTTTTACATATGCATGGTGTGTCTTAAGGTGTCTCTCAAGTTCAGCTTTACCAATAAAGCAATAGTTGCAGCCCATGGAACATTTGAAGTAGTGCTCAGGGTGGATTTTCTTCACATGCTTTTTCACTGCCTTCATATTAATGTGCTTGGAGCTGCAGTGAGGGCAGGTGAACATTCCTTTATCATCTATTATCTCGTTGTTGTGTTTGTTGTTGATGTGTAGGACCAGATTTTCAGGAATCGTAAAAGAACGTTTGCATTTCTCCACAGGGCACTGAATGAAATGGAGCGGATGCTTCTGTTTTGAGTGGCTCAGGGTCTGCTTGGAACTATTGAACTCTGCGTCACAGTAATTACACTTGAAAGTATGTCCTTTTTTGAAGGACACATTCCCAGTGCTCTCCTAAAAGTATAAATTTTTAGGTTGATATTATGAGTAAATCTACAAAGTGGTTTTAAACGTTTACCTTATCATTAACTTCAGGGTCAACGACCGTTGGTTCGGTCTCGATGATTTGGACTGGAGCTGTATTATTTACATTTGTATCCACCAACTTGACCTTCAGCCAGCTGAGGGTTGATTTCTGTTTAGCAGGTGGTCCTTGTCTTTTCTTTTTCTTAGGAGCATCAACATTGTCAGGTTGAGTTGAGGCTGAAGGGTCATTTGGCTCAAACTTTGGGGTGACCTCGGCAGACATTTTTGTAGGCCGTCCTCTCTTTCTGTTTGGGGTCTGCTGGACATCAGGTTCAGGTGGAGCTGGAAGGTCCTCCACCGGCTCAACCTCAGGTGACAGTCTTTTTATTTCCACCACTGGTTCTAATCTAGAGGTCGAATCTGAAGACAAAAAAAGTAGAACCGTGTTATTATTATTTTTATCAGAGATTATCACTTACCAATTAGTTCAGACTCTTTGCTTTGTTGGGGCCACCAAATCAGATCATAACTTCCTTTAGTGTGTTTGTGGTAAAAACTGCGGAAGTAAAAGTAATTTTTTTGGTTAAAACACATATATACAAAAAAGATCATTGCTTATACCGTGCATCTTCAATGCAATTTTTGCAGCACCAGCTCAAGGAGATTGTATCTTGATAGAAAGGTGAGCCAATATTCAGATTCCACCATTTGGATAGTCTTTCTTTGTTGGCTTTGGATAAGGGAATGCCATCGCCGATGCCAAGCAAGAATTGGCGACAAAAGTAACACTTTTGGACAAAGGCTGCAGACACATTTTCATCCATGTCATCCATGATTTCACCTCAAGTTAGTTGCAAAAGCATCTGGAAACAAACAAAAATTATTTTTCTTTTATTTTGGTTGCCCAATGAATAAATTGCAGTTGACAAGAGTACGCTTCCATGTGACACAATACATATGTGAGACAATTATTGATAGATTGTGAGGTAAGAAAAGATTTTAGCTAAATTTTTGTAGAATGTTATGAATATGGACATAAATAATATAAATTATTCCTACATGCTTACGCAGCTTACGAAATACATGCAATATAAAAAAAGTGAAATTTTGTAAACAGAATCCGCTGATGGCAAAAACAAGAAAAATTTAGTTATCATAATTATGTATTTCTGATCGTAGAAATGGCAGCTCAGTTATGTTATGAGCGGTCAAGAGAACAAGAAATGTATTTGCTCCAGAACTGCTTAGAATGATTGATTAATGAAAGAGTTGTTTGACTTTCTCATTAAAGTTGAAATTCGGTAATTAACCACCCACCTGCAGAAAATGGTGATAATTATGTATGTAATAATCTCCGATAATCTCTTCCTTCCAATCTTCGACTGCGTTTGACCGTTGACGGCTTTTCTTGAGCTTTGATTATGCTAGTTTGACGTGAGGCAACACGAAAGACCGGCCAAAGGGAGGTGATGTAACAAGAAATAAATAAAATAAAGTTTCCATAAACTCGCAAGGAGCGGAGTGTGGGGTGGGGAGTATGCATGGGGCGGGCATCAAGCATCGTTGACATCGTTCAAACACGTTTATTATGGTACTTCATGTACATCCATATCATAATTTGGGATGGACATTCTTGAGACTTGATTCTTTCAGTTTCAGTGAATTCAGTGTTGATTTCGCCGCAGGTTTTGTGATGGTGATCGTTGTGCTACTCGCGAAATGTTATTGAGAATTGTTGTGTTTGTGCGTGGATCGAAACATTGGGAAATGTGCAGAATTCCGCCAGCCTTAACCTTTGATCAACGTGCACTGGCAGGTCAAAGGCTCAACGTTTTTTAGCGTCTTTTCCCACGAGTTTTAAGCTTAAGGCCGTATTCGGATCATAGAAGACCATGATATGGATGACCCAGGCTGCAATCAACAAATCGGTGAGTACCTTTTGAAAATGATAAACAAAAAATACACGCGAACGTATAACGAATAATTAGGAAATTATTGTTCTACATACTTCACCCAATTTATCCAATTTATTAAAGTCGATTGAACGCTTTTGGAATAATTTCTTTATATTTCATCTAGATACATAATTTATAAAAATGAAAGTTTTCCCTTAAAAATATATAATAATTGTACTAATTTTTTTGTTTGGTCTTTCTATGCCATATTGTGCCTTTTTATTTTAAATCTTAGTTCATGGTCATAACATCAAGGAAACTATGATAATTGCTAAGAATTTAAAAAATTTAAAATAGTAACATAGAAACTATCAAATCTGATATAATGAACATGTTGGAATTAAAGAGCATGCATCTATAATTTTATTTTAGGTTAATTCTAATTTAATTTAATGAAAACAATTTATAATTTATTGATTATGAGATTTTTCTCAATTATAGAGATAATTAAATTTTAAAAGTTTTAATTAATAAACGAGCAAAACCAACTATATAAATATGAATTTTTTTTTAAAATCATTGCCACAATATAAAGCGTTAAATGATGTTGATAAGGCATAAAATAGTTGGATCAGAGCAACTTCTCATTCCATAACTCATCTTTTTATTACTCTCGATTTCATCTGCGCGCAGAAGGGAAAAGTGATTTTTACGACTTTCATACATAGCAACGTGACCCCCGCGATGCCCGCGATTATTGTTCGCGACAAAATGCGCTTCTTTGAAAGCTGCTGCCGATCGAGAGGGGTTGAATGCAAGGATAAGTTTATAGAAAATAAAGCAAAGGATGAGAATCAAACGGGGCATTTTGCGGCAGCTGCCGAATCGAAGACACACGCCGGCCTCCCTTGGGCTGGTGAGAAAAAAAAATCGCGCGAATAAAATATATATCTCGCAAGTCCCCCATGGATGCACGTCTCGCTCTCGCTGCTGCTTTTACGTCCCATGCCACGCATTCCAATTAAAATTAACGCGACGGTAAAAAACTCCAGCGGCTGCCGTCGAGGAAGCGAACGAGCCTCGGCAGCTGAGTGAGCGAGGAATCTAGGTATGGAACTGCTTTTCTTGCTCTTCTCTCGCCACAGAATCTATATTTGTCCTGCTCTCTCTGCCGTCTCGTGTCCTCGCCGTCGAATGAGACAGACACAAGATGCACCTCCATTTGTGATGTCGTCCACATCAGTTAATGAACCCGCCTGACACGGTCGCCTAATTAAAGCCGAAAATCACATCACGACGGCCACCAATTTAATGCTCCTGGGAAGTTTTGAAACTAGAAAAGAACTTTAATTTGCAGACCGACGAGTTCAAATATGGATATATTTTTATATTTCGTTTAAAGCTTAAATAATTTAATAAAAATAGTCAAGATTTAAATTACTCAACTGTTTAATTTTGTCTTTATGAGCATTTAAGGAAATTGGATGTAGCGTTGCAATTAAAGAATTTTCATAGCAATTCCAGAAGTTTATATTGAGCTCAATAATGTATTATATTTTGAATTATTTAATCTACACTCTAATTATAAATTAATTTTAGCATATAAATTTAAGCTTGGCCTTTTTTGTGGGAATATTATACAAATTTAATTTGTAAATAAACCTCAAAAAGTTTAATTTTTTTACCTTGTTATATTTTTAAAATAAAATCTCAAAAATTTAATTGAGAAAAAAACAATGGATTTTCGTTGTTTGAATTCAAGTTAAATTCTTGAACCAAGAATAACAAAACAAAATTTGTGAATAGTTGACTCAATCATGTTTCAATTCGATTTTAAAATAACTAATTAATGCATTTTTCGTAAACCATTCTATATTCTTGCCATTTTCGGACTCCAGTTGGTTTCCGGCGTCTTCCTATTGCCTTTTAAAATTTTTTTATTTATAAGAAGCGCACACTCAATCTGATCTTCTCTGCTCTTTCTCCGATTTTTATTTGCTTCAGATGAGATCGCGTCTTGGCCGTACAGATGCTGAAAGCGAGATAGGGGGCTTTACCCGCGCTACGTTTCCCTTAATGGTGACTCTGCTGCTGTCATTAAAGTTAACTAGGTATATATCTCGGTGCATATAATTCCGTTGTTCGCGGGTGGTATGCAATCATGCCAGCACGCGCGAGAGAGAACCACGAGACGAGACGCGAACAAGAAATCTCCATCACCTTTACACGAGTTCTTCAAATCTTAACTCCGTTTTGCACGCAGTCTGCTTTTTTAAATTTTTTTTTATCTATATTGACAAATATTGATATTTAAATTTATAAATTTAAAAGAAAATAAAAAGTTAACACATATATACAGAATAAAAAAGTCTTAAAGAAATTACCGTTGCATTTCTTATATATTGTTAATTTGTTTAAAATTTCGTGAATTTAACAATAGGCTAAAAATGTAAAAGTGAAAAGGAATCGCAATTGCTTCAACTAATGTACAAAATTAATGTGAATTAAAATTTTCTTAAAATAATAGACAAATTGTAATGGTGGTTGATAAGTAAATATTAAAACAAAAATTAACGTACTCTTGCAGAACTACCACATATATATTCGCCATCAGCAAACAGTAAATTTAATGAAAGCCTACATTTTAAAAGAATATCTTGCTTTCAGCGTCCAAAACTTTATCGTGGAAGATTCAATATAAATTTGTTTTTTCACTTGTTCATGTTGTTGAAATTATATATATAAGAAAAGAGAAATTCATAAAATTTTTGGTTTTTATTAAATCATCAAATTTTCACACATATTTCTTCGCTTGTAATTGAAGTTCGACTTTTTAGCGGCACCTATGTGTGGTTGTGTCATTTTCTCGTTCAGGTGAGAAGAAGCGGTTTTTTTCGTCCAGCAGCCACATGCATGCTAATCTAAGTAAGTAGACGCGGCGATGACGACGTCGACGTGTTCTTGATGGCGCGGGCGGCCACAAAGTAGCAATGCGTTATCACTTATTCATAGATATCGACCCCCAGCTGGCAAGCCGGCGACGAGAAGGGTCTCTCACGCCAACCAGCCGCAGAGCCGCGTGCGAGTTAGTTTGCGTATTGACAAACACATTATGAATCCATCAGAAAGAGCTAGGACAGCCCAAGTTGATATTGAATATTGGATGCATGCACATTATTTGCTATACATAATTCTGCTCTTGCAAGGGTTGCTCGCAAATATGGGGCGGCGTCGTATTAAAATTATTAAGGTTTTGACGTGGATTGACGTTATCGTAATATAAATTTACGTAAGTGAAAGAGGTCAAAATTTATATGAATAATTAAAATTTGATTTTATAATTTGCAATTGATGAATGAAGCAAAAAATAAAAATAAATAACAGAATTTTCAATTGAATCAACCAGCAAAACTAAAACAAATTATTTAGACTAAAAATTTATAATAATAAGAATTATTAAACTTATAAACTTTTACTTCTATGAATTTATATGACAAATGCAATGCATGTCCAGTGCATGTCTTAAATTAAAGTATCCTTAGAGAGATCTAAATGCAAAAGCAGTTCTCGTCAGTCATCACTTTATGTAATATGTATAATAATATGTATTTCTTGCTTATGCATAATTATCCATTACTAATCTCAATTAATTACCAAAAAAATTCATTTAGTGAATAAGTAATTTCCTCTAGAAATAAACAAAGCATCATTTTCTTTTTTAATGCCCTTTGAACCTCAATTTAATTTTTACTCTTTGAATAAATGAATAAAATTTGAAACTTTTTAAATTCTCTTTAAATAAGTTAAAGATTTATTGAGCGTTTTTTTCTTCTTCAAATTTTCAAGCTAAACCCACTTGAAAAATACATTTAAAATGGCAAATAAATTGAGCTTCTAAATAAATGTGCCTGAAATTGTCACATGAAAAACCTTGATTGTAAAAAATATGCTCAAGGTGAGACTGACAATTTGTCGCGCGGATTTCGTTTGCTAAGCCATCAGAATCTGTCTCTGCCTGTTGGGATAAGCAGAGGCAGCAAAGCGTAATTGCGCCCAATCAAAAGAAAAGTGTGCAAAAGCAGCGGGCCATTGCCAAATTGCGTTCACGTGTGACGACAAAACCCTTGAAAACGTGCATTTGTATAATGGCAGGAGGGTGTGGGTGGGTGGCGCGCGTTCCTTCGCTGCCCACACGCTCTCCGACAGTGAAAGACACTCGCAGCAATTCTTGGCTCAGTCTTCGCCGTGTCTCTTCGAGCACTTCAATTTTTTACCTCTGCGGCTCAAAAATTTACGCCGAGAGAAAAGAAATGTCTATTTTTGGAATTGAAATCATCTCATCAAATTAAAAACAAAAAAAATGCCATTTTTAAAGTGGAGTGACTTGTGAAATTTTTCACATGAAAAACGTTTTGAAAAAATTAAGACAAATTTTATAATTCAATTTATTTTTCACTAATAAACAAGCATTTAATTAGTTGGGAGTAAAAAGAGGAAATAAATATAAAATAATAATGTATTGATAAAAAATCTGAAAAAAAAAACTTGCCTTTAAGAAATGTTAAATAACATATTTAAATTTTTACCAAAAAATATTAATAGAATTTAAACTAAGACGTTGAAACAGATTTTTAGAAAAGTAAACATAGACAAGTCAGCTGAAAATAAAAATTAAGAACTGCCCAGTTGATAAAAAAACCTCCACTCATTATATCCAATGTAAATCGACTTTGAAATAAGCAGCGACGCGGTTGAAAAACCGAAGATGTATTTGGCCCCGACGCATTCAAAACAGAGTGTGTCACGAAAACACACAATTCTTTTTTCTCCTCGCCGCCTTTAGCCCTTTGCCGAAACTGCTCATCTGCTACTAAGTATCCGACGAGTACTTGAGTAAAAATAATAACCTGGTCGCCAAGAATTTCTAAAGAGCCAACTTTGCTAAACTTAAACACATTTGGCCCGCTCAACTTTTTTCTCCCGTGGTGTTCACAAAAAATCTGCAAGAGATACCCCCTGAAGTGTGAGCGACAATGAGCGTGCGGGGGTGCAGCGTTGGAGGGGTTGTCGGGGGCTGCGCGCGAATGATGAATCGAGGCAGGTGCGGGACACGAGCGCGCTCGAGTTTATTCGAGCAGGCAACATGTACACCAAGTTGGAAAAAAGGCACATATGTGTGCGCTTTGAAGTCTATATTTCAGTTCATTATAAGAGAGACATGCTAAAAGCCACTCGGAATGCGCCTACTTGTCCTTTATGAAGGATTGATTAGCCTTTTTGCCGCACGTTTGTTTAGAAATCCCCTCAGGTTTTTCTTTCGGCCTCTAATTAATCCTCCCTACTTAAGATTTCATCTCAAATTGTTTGTCTTCGTTCTTCACAAAGAGGATCAGTCTGATGGTAGAAATAGAATTTATAAGTAGGCTCATGATATAACTGCAAGGCTGTTTCCTTAAAATGTAATGAATTTTTAAAAAAATTACAAAATTTATCGAAGATATCACTATTTTTGTTAAATACACCAAATCTTCATCTATTTTTTTTCTATAACCATTGGAAATGTTTTTCAAATCATGTATCGTTTTGTACACCAGTAAACTAAATTTGCAAATAATTGTAATGTTGTGTTTCATAGTTATTTTAAGCAAACAAGTTTTAATCTTAGAATCTTGTATATTTTGTCTTAAATCATGAATTAAACAAACAAATCATTGCTAAATTTATATAATATTCTGATTTTACGTTAAGTACAAAAAATATTATTAGCATCATTTCTGAAACCAGCATAAAAATCAGATTTAAAATTAACATTGAATTTCAATTACACAGCCAGCAAACAAAAGTGTTAACAAATGCAAAGTCTTTGATAAAAGCAAGAAATTTAGTAGAGACCAAAGGGAAATAAAATAACTAGAACCACTGCCCAGGACAAATGTTGGAATCATTTAAGTCCGAGCCAGAAATAACCTGGGCAGGAACCTCTAGCATGTGGTCGAATTGACCATCGCGGGCGTTGTTGCCCTCGGGCGCCTTGAAAGCGTAAATGCTGATGAAGTTTCGGATGATGTCTGCGTTGGCCCAGGACATGGACAGTTTGGCGCCCCACGCTACCAACACAATCGGACGATCCTCCTCCATCAGGGTGTACGGGGTGATAATGTGGCGACGGATGCAGCCGGTTAGAATTTTTCGAACTCGGTTCACTTCCACTGCGTGCGCGCATGGGTGGTAAAGCATCACAACTGCACCATGCTGAAAATTTGAATTATAGTTTTATTCTCTAATTTCAAAAGAATAAAAGAGATGGATTCAAAATTGAACATAATAGAGATTCTTCTAAAATATTCACAGATTAATTAATTCAGCATTTTACTTTTTAAAATTGTATAATGAAAAATTTGAGTTATTTCTTTAATTTGGCATTAAAATACGTACAAACTCACTCTAAATACATAAAAAAAATCAAATACTTGGAATCATATAAATCAATTTGAATGACATTGGATAGTAAAATTGAATATTGATATTTCCATCGAAAACATTAAATTTGTTAATTTGAAAACTTTTTTAAGTTAATTGTAACCATAATTATATCAATCTCACCTCCAAATTGTGAAGCCACCGCTGTTTTGGCAAGAATTTGTATTCACCATACCTAGGCCACAGGGGTCGATGTGTTCCGCTGAAAAAGGAATTTAATTTTTACTTATTTATAAAAAAAAAAATTAACTTACTAGGTTGGGATATTTTTGCTGTAGTCAATTCGATAATCCATACAAAGATGAGCAGCCTGTTGATAAAATGAAAATTGATCATTATTGTTAAACCAAAATTAAAAAGTACTTTATAAGCTGGAGGAATTAAGTCCTCTTCCAATTCTGCCGGATATTTGTAGTTTGGCTCATATCGGTGAAGTGGATTGTAACAAGTGAAGTTGATCGGAGACTGGTCCCAGTCAATTGTGATATTGGTCTATAAAAATGCAATTAAAAGTAAGCTTTTTCCCAACCAAGTCCTTTCTACCTTTCCGTCATCACAGTCCTTGTCCGGTCTGCCCATGGAGTCTGACCGAAGGTAGGACAGGTCGATTTCCTTGTAGTTTGGCGAGAATTGACTTTTTAACTGGCCACCTTCGGCTACTTGGGCCTGATGGAACTTTTGGGTTGTTTGTTCTGGTAGCCATCGGCCAGTCCATGGCTCTTCAGATGTTGAAGGCTTTTTCCTAATGGCAGTTTAATGAACATAATTATTAAAAGAAGTTATTTTTTTTTAAATAAAATAAAAAAAGCCTAAATTAATAAAAATGATACTGACGTGCTGGTTCTCTCGGGCATCCACCTGCCCGTCCACGCCTCTTCCGTAGTAGAGGAGGACAGCTGAGATCTTCAATAAAATAAAAAGCATGCCAAAAATGAAAACAAAAGTGGCAAATAGAAATGCAGTGTTTTTAAATAAACCTTTTGATCAGTTTCCCAAATTTGGTCTCGAAGCTTGCCCAGCCGGAGTCCCCATTATTTTCCTCGAGATCTTCCTCTTCTGTCAAGACTCCGACGGCCTCCGTCGACCAGGGACAGATAAATTTGAAAAATAACAAGCAAATCAAGAGATGCTTCATTGCTCTGCTGGAATTAAGAAAAAATAACATGAGTTTGACAGCTCGTCAAAACAATAAAGTTTTGCTCTTCTAGTTTTTAATGTAAAACATTGTCGGCTAAATTATAATTTTTCCAAACCAGTTTAATTTAAAGATGATAAAAATCGGTGTCCATTGATATTTTCTTTTCAAAATTACTTAGTTTGGGGTTTATATCTTGCCACAAAAACAGCTTCAGAGAAACCAGGTGTTGATCCAGCCCTGTTGTGACGTAGCAAAGAAAATTACAATTTTCGACCCAAAGAGCGGGACTAGAGACATCTCAAATCCGGCCGGGGAACTAAGCAACTCTCGATTATTAATTTACCATAATTTGTCAGTTTGCTCGCTCAGTCGCTCACCTTGTAAATAAAAAATATTTGAACAATTAAAATTAATTAAGATTGGTTGAAATATTATTGAATTGTCAAAGCGATAAAGAAAAAATTCAGGAAAATTTTTACAAATTTATAAATAAAATAAAAACAGTGGTATTTTTAATTTATAAATTTAGTTGTAAAAATAAAAAACCAGGGAAAATTTTTTTTATTAATTTAAATTTTATATATATTATATCGTTGTTAATACTTGTATAATTGTGTATACTTAAAATAAGTTTTTATCCACAAATAAACTTTTGTAATCTCTTCCTTTTCCAAGGGATAATTGTAATAATGAGCGATTATTTAAATTTCTCAGTAGAAGGCATAAAATAGTCTTGATATTTAACAAAAAATAAAATTGTATTGGTTGCAGCAGGTTTTTAGTGCTTTAGATGAAAAGTGAATTTAAGAGCCTCATATTAATTTTCTTTTAAATCTAAAACAAAAAACATGAATTTATTATAGAAAATATTTGAAATTATATCTTTTTGAGGTTGCATGATTTCTTTTTTATTAATGAAATTTGTAGTGAATTTATTTTTATTTGAGTTTTTACAAATCACTGATTGAGATCAGTTTCACATTCCGACGCACAAGTCAGTGTTGTTGTGAATGAGATTAAGTGAGAGGTTCAAAGAAGGCTCGATCAGAGAAACATCAAACTGGCCTTCTCTAAATTCATTATTCTCGATTGCGTTGTGTGCGTGATCTTGGATGAATTTCACTGCGCCCTCCTTGTCCAAATGCGACATGTAACGCCGACATCCATAAGCAATCAATGCAAGAGGCTTTAAAATGGGAAATATATAAAATGCCATAAAAATGGTTTCAATATTATACAGTTTTTGCGGGCAAAAGATTGTGGGCAGTAATGATGTGCCTTGAATTGCACTTTTTCACTATCTGACGAAGTTTTTCAACTTCAGAAGAATATGCACATGGGTGGTACAGCATCACGATTCCTCCATGCTGTCAAATTTAAGCATTAGATTTATAAAATTAAATACATTTTAAGTTATTCCACAAAATAATGTTTTGAAAATAAGAAATAATTTTTACCTCAAGATTGTGCAGCCACCTTTGCGGGGGAAGAAATCTGTATTCTCCATACACTGCCCACAAAGGTCTGTGATTTCCACTTTGCAAAAGAAAACCAGCTGATAAATTATACAATCCAGCCTATTTTACTTATCAAGAGTGTAATAAAAATGTTATGTCAGACGCAGTTCCCGATTTTATGGTTTTATTGTGAAATAAATATTTATTTATCGATAACTTACTAAACGGGCTCTGAGTCATTGTAGCTAATCGGCACGTTCATGCATTTATGTTTGAACTGCAAATTGCTTTGATAAAATTCTGCCAACCGAAACGCTTCAAAATTCACTCACTCTCTTTTTCTCAAAGCATTCTTCAACTGGAGCGGCGGCTAGGACGGGATAAGGGTTTTTCTCGTAGCATGTGTAGTTCACTTTACTTTGGTCCCAGTCTACATGGAGATTCTAAATTTTTTTAAAGTTTTGAAAAAAAAGAAGTCAATTTTTGAAGGTAAATAATAAATATAAAAGTTGAGTCACAAAAAGAAACTGAATTTTATGCAAGTTAATAATTAGCCAGAACAACTTCCAAAATATATAGATTTAATTTTTAAATTAGATTATATTTGAAACAGTTCAATAATATTATTTATTTTGTACGCTTTTTTCAAAAGAAAATTATCGTGGAAAATATGAGGGAGGATCTCCTTATTTTTTTTCTAAAAATTATAAATTATTAGTTAGAGAGTATCATATTTCCAATCTCTATGTGCAAAGTTTAATGAATCTTGCTGAAGCTGAACCTTAAATTTTTGTGTAGGACTGTATATTATAAAAAAATGAGAGGCTGACCTTTCGACCATTGTCACAGTTTTCGGCGGACACTCCCATTCTTATTTTTCTCTCCTTGGGTCTGAAGAAAGTTTGGAATTATACAAATTATTTTTTTCCTTCTAACCGCGTTGATTTTAACTTGATAAGAATGTTTTTGTGCAACTAAATTTAAAAAACATAGTGTTGTCATCAGTTTAATTTATTTTATTTTAAAGAACAAGTAAATGTTTGCTGAAAATCTTAAGATTGCTTAACGTTCTAATTTAATACAATCTATTTTAATATAATAATATTAATTAATAAAATATAATAAACCAGATCAAAAAATCATTTTATTATTTATTTTGTAATCCAGATTATTCACTCAATATTTTAAATTAGTGCCATTAAATTATTTAAATTATAAATTTTTGCGTTTAAAATATCAAGATGATTAAAGTGATTGCTGCTTTGTCCACAAATTTTCTTTCTCTAAATCAATTTTTTTCAATAATTGTATGTATAAACAATGTAATTATACAGCAGTGGTCTAAGAAGCAACAATAATAACATTATTATATAATCAGCTGATATATTTTTTTTTCACTAATTAAATAATTATTGCACGAAATAAAATGATTCAAAATACCTGCAAATTACCGGTACCAAAACAAATGCGAAAATCAAGTTTTTCAAAAACATTGTAAATGTTTTGTGAGGAAGGCCCTTCTGCGTTTTTTGAAAATGAGGTCGTGCTTTTCTCGAGCAAATGCAAGCTTGGAAAGTTGCGGGCAGCGCTGGGCATGATAAAAAGGGCATAAAACATGGTAAAAAGTGATAAAACCCAATAAAATGAGTCACCCGCGAGAGATAATGACGTTTGAGCACCGCGGCAACAGGTGGGGGAATGGCGCGGCTCAAACTGCTCGGCGCTCACCTAGCTCACTGTGTGCGCTGCACTTGGCCAGTGATAACAGGGCCCTTGCTCAGTTCGCGGTGTTCACTACCATCCGAGTGTGTGACTGTCGGTCGCGCACGTAAACACGCCCGCGGCCTGATTTTCCTTCTCGTTCTTCCTCCGCTCGAGCTTAATATGCGGCGATCGTTTTGTGTCACGCGGCCAGCCTATTTCGCTCCTTGCTGATACACTTTTCGCAAACACACCGAAAGCCACTGGAAAACACTATGGTCCGAGATAGACTCAAAGCGCTGCAAGCCGTAAGTCCTTCAAAGTCTCCTAATCATTAAATAATGATAACAAAAATAGTTTCTCGTTATTAGTCAAGGCTGCTCTTTGTATATGAAATTGGTTGTTCCTCCCTTAAATTAAAATGATTTCTCTTCCATAAAAAATTTATATTCAAAATAAAAGTACAGATAATGTCAGATCTTATAAAAATTATTATTATTAAATATTAATAGCTTCATGTGCGTCATTTTTTTTTTTATTCTTTAATTATATATTTCCTTAACCAAAGCGTTTTGAATAAAAGTAAATTAAAAAGGTTCCAATAATTGCTCTCTTTTTACAATAAGGAGAATGAATGGCTTGAACTGCAAAAATATTTTTGCAACGGGTTATATTTACTCTATAAAGGATTTAATAAATTTTAATAAAATTAACTTTCCATTTCCATTTACAAAATTCAAAATTAAATCAAATTTTATATACTATGATATTCAAGATGCTATAATTTTGATATCTAAAATACATAATATTATGTTTCTAAACTTTTTATGTACTGATATTAACATATGGCAATTAAGTTCCAAATAAAATTCCACATTGTTTTTATAAGATCAAGAAATTTGAACAATATTTTTTCTTTTAAACGTGATCTTAAGTTCTCCAAAAATTTTAATCCGACTTTATACTTTCTTTTAACGTCAGAAATATATGGAGGGAGAAAATGCATTTATGAGTTGATTCAAAATTTAAAATTGGATCAATTTTTCTTACTTGATAAAATTAATGAATATTAATTGTATTCTTATTGCTTTTAATTGATAGTCCATCACGCAATTTCTATTGGCAGCGTGTTAATAAGAAAAATTCATTTTGAAAAGACATAAATTATTTCTATTTTTAAATGCTTTGAGGGCATTGAGATTTCTGATTGAATCTTTAAGATATTTTAATTTGATTTCGTTTACAAATAATTAGCCCTTTTCTTGCAATGCAGCCTCAGATTTCCACGTTGAATAATTAATTTTTTGTTAAAATAATTTAAATACTTGTATTATTGAAATAAATAATATTCACATAATTCTTTACAATTTTCCAACCAAAGCAATTATTGTTGCCCTAGTTTGATACAGTTTGATAAATAAACCCACACAAAAAAACATCAAAACAGTTCAGTTCTCCGTCAGTCGTCAGACAAAACGAATTATTTCCAGCACAGATTCATCTTTCCACTGTGAACAATCCATTTTTACGAACTACTTTTTTCCAAACTGCCGTATAACGAGTCAGTCTGTCTGTCTCTTTATATACGTTGTGTGTGTAATTGAGAGCCAATTTGCTCGTCACGTGCAGAACATCGAAAAACCGAAATAACCATCTCTTCTCTCTGGTTCGATTCGGGGAAGCACGCACGGTGCGCGCATCTCATCTCACACAAGACGGCTTCTCTTTTTTTCGCTCTCTCATATTTTTTTTCCGCCGACTGCGTCCAATTTCAAGAGCGTTACTCAATTCCGTCTTTGCTCGCGTTTTTGTCACAATCCAATGCATTTCCATTGCACACTGTAAACATACTCATTCTGCTGGCGAGTTTCACCTGGAAATATTCACGCCTGGCAAGCAGTGCAGGCGTTACGTCACTCAAAAGTGTCTCAATTTTCTCTTCCATTAGCTTGACTGTCAAAGTACAGTGTTGAAGGGCGTACGAAAAATGTAAATAAGCACAGACGTTTTTACAAAATTATGAAAAAAATTGTATTAAAAAGTTTGGTTAGCATAATTGTAACTTTTTCCTCTTTTTTAAATTTAAATATATTTCTTATTTTTTTCAATCCAGAAAATATAAGCAAGCTGCTTCCATAAAAGTAAGATTCTCCACAGATTTACATTAAAGAAGAGGAGATGAAATATCAATTTTGAACAACAATCACACTTAAAAATTACGATAATAATTTTCAATTTTAAAATGAAATATTAAAACCACAGTTGACTTGATTGAGCTGCGATTTTTTTGCAATGTGCACAAATATATTAATATTGCAAGTGATTGCAAGTAAAAAGAAAATAATCCCCTTGTATAACTATGATGTGAAAATAAAGAATGAAACGAAATTTTACAAAATTAATTTTAGAGGTTGAAATCCCCAAAGCTTACATATTTTCAGCTTGGACGAAATTAAGAGAGTAGAAATACTAATATTACGATCGATACGTCCATATTTTTGTAGCCAAATAAACAACGCGTTTATACTCGTTTATATTAACTGTGTCATTAATCAATTTGTGTGAATTCTCCATTATATATCACTTTTTTTATAATTGTTTACCTTAAATACTTCCAATACTTCAATAATCTAAACACAGTTAAGTTAATTTCGTTTTTTTTTTAATTGAAAATTTAAACAATATATTCATTTTTATCTAATGAAACTGCATTGTTTTGCGATGAATAACGATTTAAGGCGATGAAGACTGTGTTGGAGAGACTTGGCGCAGAGAGCACAATGGAAAGTCTCGTTTTTCTTCAGATAAGATTAGATTATGGTCGCTCACATTCGACACTGTGACTAACTTCTCTAGTGCGGCTCTCTGCTGAATTCTCTCTCTTGTTTAATTATTAGTCACCGTGGAGTGTAAATAACAAATTGTATGCTCAAGTGCACCACGCGTGACATTTTCTTCAAATTGACGACAATGCTCACGTGCGCGCTCTTTATCTCCTCTCGTTACAACAGAGACAATTATGTGCTTGGAATTTTAACCCAAATCCTTTGTTCGACACAAGACAACATGTTTGCTTCCATAACATATTAAAATTTGTTTTCAGTTTAAACTAAACGCCTTTATGATGATTTCTCAACTTTAATTCAAAGCTCACCCCTGACGCATTTAAGCGATTAAAATCTTATCAACAGAGGCTTTAAGAAATATTGAAGACGGACAAAATTTCAACATAGCAAAGTTGTAAAAAAAGATTTTTACATTAATAAATTTCTATTTTAAATTATGTTATAGTAATTTTAAATCTCTTTTTTTAATTTTGTTTGGTTTTTTAATATTTTAATTTTATTATTAATATTATTTATTTTGTAGCAAAATATATGTAAAATAGAAGATTAGATCGGATTCTATTTTGGGTAAAAAAAAACAATTTCTTTCCTTCTGGCGTGGCTATATTAATTATAGATATAAGTTGAGTATTACAACCTTCAATATTATGTTGAAAGTTTATTGCAATATTCCTATACTCATCTTACATGTGTTCTGTTTTATGTAATTCTTCATATTATACAATTATGTTTTTGTCATATAAAATCGAAAACAACGACGAATGATTAATGTAACAAATTCAGTGAGAGGGGTCGACTTGAATTAATCCAAGGCTGACAAACGCCGCGCCTCGTCGGTTTATGTAATTAATTCTGGCCGTACGCAATCAGACCGAATTTCTCTGTTGACTCGAAATCAAGTTCATTATCGAGCAATACTCGTCAAGGTGTACGCACCAGGAAAATAATAATAAATGGACGAGCTGCAGAGCAGGTGAATTATCCTTCCCGCATGGCCACCGACTCGCAAGGCCGTCCAACATGGAAATAACCAACGCACACACACGCGCCGCATTCATTAAAATACAAATGTGAAAAAAGAACCAAAAGAACTCAAGCCTTTGTGTAACAATTTTAGTGACGATTTTCTCGGCCGAGGGCTAATTTTGTGCTTCATGCGTTTCAAATTCTAACCTAAAAATGCCCCCCATGTGCTAAAGAGAGACTTGGACAATGGAATTTTACCAATTTCAAAAAGTAAACAGGAAGTTATTTTGTACTGCACACTTCCTCTCAGCATTTCAGAAGTTCTTGAATTTTTATTTATTTTTTCAACGGTGCAGACATTTTTTGTTGCCGTAAAAAGTTCACTTCTGTGACTTTTGTAGTAAAATCAATTTTATTTTGAATTAAAATCTGCCATGTTCCTTCACTGTTTCCTTTGGCACAAAGTTGTAAGTGTTTTCAGTTAGTATATTTTCGTTTTATTCATTTTTTACGATTTCCACCTTAAAATCCCTGGTAGGTGTCGTCGGTCATTTATAAACTTACATCAGTTTCACTCTAATAAAAAAATTAAAACAAATTATTCTCTTTATTTTACCACTTATTTTATTCATCTACAATGGCCATTTTTTTAATATAACATTGCACGTATGCAAACTTCATCCTTTGGCAACATATTGAGTTGAAAAAAATTAATTTTTCTTGTCGGAATTAAAATTGTGTTTATTGAAAGAGAAGTGGCAAGTTGCTAAAATAATAACATATTTTTCAATGAAAACCAAAACGATTAGTTCAAATTTATTTTTAATATGCGAATTATGAATTTCACTCAAGAATTTAAGGGTTAGCGTAGTGGCAGGTGTAATTCAGGAAATTCCCGGTGAAACATTAATAAAAATTATTTGAACCTGTTCATTCCTCTATTGCCACTGACGTTGGCGTAAAGTTCACTGTCAGGCTCCATCACATCCCGCGGAACGTCGTAGATGTTGGCATCGTCCATGATTTCGCCATTACTGTCAGCATTCTTAGTGTACCGGACCTTCTGACAGTTTTCATAATGGTTGGTTCTCTTCTTCACGCCTCCATCCTCCTTGTTTTCAAAGATTTCGTACTGGTCCTCGATGTTGGTGCGTTGATAAATTCGGTAACCCAGGATGCAGAGGATGAATCCTGCGGCTATGGTCATGACCAGGTTTATGCCCAGGACGGCCGCGAAGTACCAACTCGAGCAGTTCGATTCCTCGAGCTTGATTGAGTAAAATGAAAATCCTTGAAGGTTTTAATTAATAATTTGTAATTTAACTTTAATTGCAACTCGTATGAACAACCAGAATTTCAATAATTTTTCCTTTAGACTGAATGAAATTATTTTGGAAATTTGAATTTTAAAAGGAAAATCTTAGCTTTTGAATTTTTTCATAACCTCCTTGAAAAATCTGAATAGAATTAAATAATCCCCTTGCTGTAGAAAATAATTATGTTTTTGTTTGGTAAATACCAAGGTCCGCTCGTCAGAAAATTTTGATTGTTGTCGAGCTCTCTGATTGGGTACAATTTTGCTTGTACCCAATCAGAGAGCTCAAACAACAATCAAATCATTTTTCATTGTTGCTGATGCGCGGACCTTGGTAAATACTACGAAATAATTTCACTTTTAAGCAGAAACATTTCTTACCATGGGTGCTTGGCTAATTTCTACCCCAGACATTGTTCCGTGGCCACTCCTTGATTACAGTGAAAGTCTGTAATTTTAAACCAGGAACGAGTTGGCAGAAATTTGTTGGAAAATACGCAGCAACAGGCTTTATCAATTCACAGAAATCTACTAAACCTATATACTTCAAATCACCTCTTCCGTTCCGAAAATGAATAATCCAAAGTTTAATTTTTTATTTTCTTTGTTCACATTTCCTTCATTCATTAAGCGTTACATCACAAAAAATCTTGAATACTTGAAATCAGACAATTAATGATGGACTGCATTAATTTCTCCATTTTTAATTAAAAAAATTCATCAAATTTCTACACGTTTACGTTTTTTGCTAATAGTAAGTCGATGGTTGGTATGCCGTAAGTTTTATCAGCACGACTTTTCCATTTATACAGCGAGAGCTGCACTCACGACACAATAACCATTCTTGTGATATAATCAAGCTGAAAGGGAGAAAGTAACTTAACGCCTGGAACTAATAGCGCTCGCTCTTTGCGAACAACGTATCTAATATGTGTATTTATTTTGGTCCCACAATATAATAATAGAGTGCGTATTATACAAAGAGCATTTCCTTGCACGACCCTCGGAGTATTTAAAAGTAATCGGAGCGCCCTGACTAACACTAACGCACGCTGGTGTCACGTTTTGACTCATTGTTAATGCGATTGGCAGACGCGCGATGAACTGGAGGCTGCGGGGGAGCTGCCTGAGGTCACCGACCCGTACGTCTACGAGCAGCACATCGACATCGATGAGGACGAGGAAAATGAAGACAGTCTGCACAAGTTCTTCCTCAAGGTGAGACCTTGGCCGAAATTAGAACACAAAAGCGATAAAACAAATCGCTATAATCGCCGCGGTTCCTCAAACCTTGAAGGCGCCCTCGCTATTTATTTTTCGCTCGCACTACTTTTTCTTGGCGGTTTCTACCAGCAAAGTTAGACAACAACTTATTGCAAAGCTGAATAAATATTATGGTTTTTTTCCTAAGAAATGGGAAGAAAATTATTATCAAGCATTATTTATATATATATTTTTTTTTTTGTTATCCAACAGAAGCTGGAAATTAATTTATATTTTTGCTGACCTACATTTGAATGTAAAAATTTTGAATTTTCTTTTTTCTTAACGGTGTATATTTGAAGTCAGTTTATTGTGGACGAGTTGTGGTAAATTATTATATATTCCCTTGATAATTATTAATTTTAACTTTCAAACTGTTTTCGAATTTTAAAAGGAGACACTTAAAAACGTATGTATTGTACTATCGACCAACATGTTGCAAAATATTACAGTACGCAGTTAAAAATAATTTTCTTTCAAATTGCTCCAAAAAATTTCTTCAAAATAACAATTTTTTAAATTTAAATTTCCTGTTTTGCAAGATCAAGACTTATATAGTGACTAAAATGCTTTTATGTCATGTTATTTTAAATCATTTAGATTGTTGTCATAAAAATGTGTAAAATCATGAAATGAGTTAAAAAGCATTACTTTTTTATTTCAAAAATACTTTTTGTGCATTGAAATAACATTATCTTCACTTAATTTTTATAAATAGATTTAAGCGTCATTGTTTAATTTAATATGTTTAATTACTACAACAAAAAGATGGTGAATAAATAAATTATGAAATTTATCTCTTTCAAAGGCACAAACCGTGCGATCATGGATTGAAACAGCCGAGAATCACACAAAAGAAATGCGCCGTCTGCAAAGCACAATCCTCTCGTCGCCAAGGCCGGACGAGCGTAAGGCTACCCTGATTTGGCAATAAATTCTCGTCAATTTTTAACAAACTCTTTTTTGTTATGAAGTGGCAAAAACGGAGCTGGAGGATAGAATGGCCGCAATCAAAATGACTTCGAACCAAATTCGAGTTGCACTGAAAGGTTATTTTTTGCAGAAAATTGTAATCTTGTTCAGTGAATGATCGTAATATTTGTTGATCAGAGTTGGCCGAGAGCGTCGCAAGGGCAGAGGTGAAAGCGAACGGTCGACCCTCGGCGACATTGCGAATCAGGAAGACGCAGTACCAGGCGCTGTCCAGGGTTTTCTCCGATACCTTGATCGCTTACAATACATCCCAGCTCAAATACAGAGAGGATTGCAAGGAACGCATCCGCAGACAATTGCGAATTGGTAAAAAAAAAAAAAAAATCAGCAAATTTGAAAAATAGAGAAATTTTATATTATTTAAATCTTTAAAAACCGTTCCTTTAGGAATAAAATTTTAAGTTAATTATTCTGAAGCCCCTGATTTGTTTTATTATTATTTTAATTTTTTTTTTTGACTAAACAAAATTACATTAAAAAAATTATTGCAGCAAACAGGGAGACAACTGACGATGAGCTGGAAAAAATGCTTGAGAATGGCGACGTTGCGGTTTTCACAGGCGACGTGAGTTTTGCCATTTCCTCCTTGTGAACTAATGGGAAAATTTGTATTGGATAAATTTCACATATACTTTACAGATTGTAGTTCAGACGCAGGAAGCAAGGCAAGCTCTGGCGGATGTTGAGGCGCGCCACAAAGAGATTATGAAACTCGAGAAAAACATCATGGAATTGCGTGACCTTTTCATTGAAATGGCTTCGCTCGTGGCTACCCAGGTCATTAAAATTTATGTTCTTGACCGTGATTAATTATCTAGCTCCTGCAAAGAACGGACGTGATAAAAGCGCCGATTAATTGTTTAAATTAAAGATGCTCACTTATTTAACCTTATTTTTTTACGATAGCGCTTAAATGCTCGATGAAATAAAATTCATATTTTTAAAATAATACACAAATTTTTTTTAATCAAAGTCTTATTTTGAAAAAAAAAACAAGTTTTCATATTTTTTTAATTCCCATCAATTACGAATAACACAATAAAAAAATTACATGCTTAATGCCCATTATAACAAATTTGAAATTTGATAATGAAACATTTTCACAATCAGCGTTTTTTTGCATAAATACGCCTGTTTTTACTTCAAGAAATGTAAATAAAGTATCAAAAAATTTATTCTAACTAATAATTAACTTTTTTAAACTTTGCAGGGTGATATGATTGACAGAATAGAAACACATGTATTAAGTGCAGGCGAGGCGGTTTCCGAAGCAGCAAAGCAAACGAAAAAAGCTGTTGTTTACAGAAGCAAAGCCAGGAAGGTAATTTATATAAATTTTTGATATGAATATGGAATAAAATTATTCTATTAATGTTTTAGAAAAAGATCATCATAATAGCAGTGCTGATTGTGATACTCATCATAGTGGCCCTAATTATCGTGTTCAGTGTTGTGCCAATGCCGTCAAGCAAAGGAAGCACCAGCAGTACGAGTAATTGCGGCGCCTCTGGGTGCTCCACACTTTCAGCCACAACCCTACGGCCAGTTCGGAGCTAATTGTGTATGTTAAAGTGGCAACTTATGTGAATTGTGGTTCCTAATCTAGTCAATAAGTTTGCGTTCAACGAACTTTTTCATTTATAATAATTTTATTTTTTCAAGATAATTAGACAAAGAAAATTGTTTAAAAAATTAAATAAAACAAAATATTTGTGTGGAATTCCTTACATATTTTTTTTAACTCATATCAGTGCAGAGATTAATTGCGATGACAAAATAGCACTCAAGCAGCAGGATGAAGATCATGGTGCGGTGTGATTTGATGATAGGATATTTGGTGATGTAGGGTTGGCTTTTTCTCAAGTCAACCTGGATATTCGTCAGGAAAAATGCACTTTTTGCCAACGTTGGCGATGTTCCAAAACTTCTGACGTCTTCACGACGAGGAAGACGAATTTTCAGACGAGTCGCTTGAGGAATTGCTTTCTGACGATGAACTGCTTGATGAAGAGCTTGATGCCGAGTCTCTGCATCGGAAACACCGGCAAGAAATAGACGGTGGAGAATCGGATGAATCGCTGTTGAGTCTTTGTCTGCAGAGCAAGTAGCTCCAGTCGGCGATGCAACCTTTTGAGGAAGAGTCTGACGAAGAGGAAGAATCTGAAGAAGAGGTTGAGCTGCAGCTTCTGGACGAGGAGGAAGAATCTGAAGAGTAGGATGAACTGAAGCTTCTGGACGAGGAAGAAGAATCAGAAGAATAGGATGAGCTGCAGCTTCTGGACGAGGGGGGTCCACATCTGCAGCTTTCTGACGAAGAGCTAGATAATGAAGAAGAGGATGAGTCGCTGTTTGAGCTGCTGCTGCTGCCGGAATCTGATGAACTGTCCGAGTTGGCGATTGGTGGGCCAAAGCAGAAAGGTGGTGGGAAGTTATGACCTGCTTGTACGACGGTCGCAAGGAGAATGAGCGAGCAGACGATTTTATAGCGGGACATCTCAAACTTTCTGAAACAGATTTTTTGAAAACTTATTAAATAAAATATTTCCTAGTGGATCTGAAATTTTTAAGCTAGTTGAATAAAAAATAAATTAATTTAACCTGCAAAAACTTTCTGGCTTCTGAGCAGACTTGCGATGAAAAAACAAAGCCAGTAATATACCAGCATTTTGAATGAACTATTTAAATCTAATGTTTTCTTTCATTTAAAATTGAATAAAGCAAAAAATAAAGAAAGATTTTCCGGAGTACTTACTATAAGAAACGTTTGAAGAGAACGAAACATTGGTAGTACTTTGCTCGTGATTTATACGCAAACGCTGGTTAGCAAAAGCGCGCACCTCATCAAAAAAGCTGCTACCGGGTTCTTCAATGAGCGTATCGTGTATGTTTACTGTCTGCTATAAAAACACAGGAACAGCGAATTGTGAACTCTGCTATTGGTTTATGTTTACGAAATTTTATTGTATATAAACGGTAGTACAGTAAAAAAGCCTATTAAGCATTCTATTTATAAACGCTGCAAGAAATAATTATAAAATTAATTTTATAGAAAGAAATCATTCTTTATTTAAAATTTAAATACAAAATTAAGCGCTCTGACTACGCAAAAAAGGAATATCTTATCTACTATTAATGACAATAATGAATTAAATTCCTCAAAATTCAATTGTGACCAACAAGGAAATTCTTAATATTTTCCTCAAAATTCACTTTATTGTTTTAACTTTGAAGGTATAGATGGTGTGGGTTGTTGAGGTGTGGTGCTTTTCGAGTGCTATCACTATCAGTTTAATGACTCAGTGACGTCAGGTGCTGATAAATAGGCGCGCTCGCGGCCAGATAAAAATACGGACGTCCATTCCTGGTGCGCGCCCTCGCAGTTCCTCTCTCACACACACAGCAGAACTCAAAACCAAAACACAAAGTCGTTTCTTCACAGCAGCAAAATGAGAGACCGTTTGGCCGAGTTGCAGAAAAACATGGTTGAGGAGGTAACGAGATTTGCTGTCATTGAATTAATTTTGTATTGGTGCGTTTGCATTGTTAACATAAAATTAGCAGGGCAACGACAACGCAGAGAGCGACGTCCTTATTCAAATCTCTAAAGAGCCCGCACCAAGCACAATGACAGAGTTTTTCGCAGAGGTAAAAAAAAAAAAAATATATATTAAATGGTGCCTTTTAAAAAAAATGAACTGTATTTATTTATTAAGGTTAGTTCAATAAGAGAAAATTTGGAATTAATTGAGAAAGAAGTAAAAAACCTCGTCCTAATCCACCGTACCATCATTGAAGCACCAAGACCCTCTGAAAGTAAATTATTTTTGAAGTTATAGTTAATTTTGTTTCACATATTTGCAAAGTGTCTAAAATGCAGGCGGATAATGCTGTGGAAACTGCTAGAGCACTGGCAATGAAAACCTCAATAAAAATAAAAGGTGATATGATAATTAATATTAACTAATTTATTAAGGAAAATTTTTCAAACGTAAAGGTCTTTATGAATGGTGCGTATAAATAAAATAAAATTATTTAAAGATCATTTAAAATGTAAATAAAATACTGCTACGTAACTACTATTTTTTAAATTCATTATTTGAAAAAAGGTTTTAATATATATTATATTTTTAAATTAATGTTTACAATTAATATGATTTTTTTTTCCACATAATTGTTTTTACAATACTACTGAAAATTTATTACAATGCATTATTTAAAATCTCACAATTTTTTTATAATTATAAAGTAAAAATAAATTAAGTGCACTAACCAAACATTAAATTAAATAGCATTGTCTTCCAAAATGCCTGCACAACAAACGTCCTCCTCTGCAAGAATATTGGCCGTCCATGAGAGCACGCTGGGGATGCAATTGAGGCGAGTGATGGAATCTCTATATCAGGAACAGGAGCGGCATAAAGAAAAATCAAGAGAGATGCTGAAGCGGCAACTGAAAATAGTGCGGACGTCTTGGGAGTCACGTGGCGAATCAATGACAGAAGATCAACTGGAGCAAATGATCGAAAATGGGCAATCAGTCTTTACAGGAAATGTATGTTTTGCAACTTCAACTTGTATTATACAATTTGAATTTTTTAATCAAGTTCAAATTAAAAACAGATAATGTTGCAAACTTTGGAGGCTAAGAGAGAATTGGAGGATATTCAAAACAGGCACGATGATTTGATTGCGTTGGAAAAGAGCATCGCCGAAGTGCACGCCTTATTTGTTGAGATTTCACTATTGGTTCAAAATCAGGCAAGTCTAAACAAAGCGAGATGATTTTCAGCTATAACATTTCAGAAAGATTTATTTTGATTGAAACTACAAGAAGTGTGCACATTTGATATGGAAATGTAACACATACTAGACAACACGGTCAGATAGAAAAGCAGCAAATTGTCTTCAGTTGAGGGCTGGTCGAATTTACAGGGGTCCAATGCGGTTGACGCGGACACCGTGTCTGCGGCAATTGTTGCAGGAGCAGCTATCAGAGGATGAGGAGGAGGAGCTGTCAGACCTCTGGCACTGGATGCACTGGTAAGAGCTGGAGCTGGACGAGGAAGAGCTGTCAGATTCGGACTCCCAGCTGGCGTGCTCGCCCCATCTGTGCTTGCACTGGACATTGTGCCATCCGCGGGCGTTGTGTTCGCCAGAGGCCGAGTCGGAGGAAGAGCTGCTCGAGTCGGAGGAGGATGAGGAGCTGGAGTCAGAGGAGGAAGAGCTGTCGGAGGAGCAGGAGCAAGACCAGGATCCAGAGGAGGAAGATGAGTCGGAGGAGCAGCTGTTGTCAGCCTGGATGAAGGCGACGCAGAGGGCAAGGCAGATGGCGAGGGCGAATTTCATGGTTGTTGGTTTCTGTGGAAAAGAAAAGATTTAGAACCTGAAGGGCTATTTCTTTTGCTGTTTGCTTACTGAGAAGCTGATGGTTCAACTATACTTGACTGGGAGAGAGGCTACTCTTTTATACTAGGAAATTGTTTATAAGTTTAGAGTTGTTCCGAGATAAAAGTTTTCTAAATGCGGATGAATTACGGAGAGCGATAATTATTTTGCAACGCTAGAATATTTCATCGCACTCTGCTTAGCTGACGTTGCTGTTTTTAGACAGTTTCTTTGTTAACAAAGAAGATATTTTTTAGCGCTATTATTAACCTTTGCTTGAAAAAAAGATTGATTAGTAGATGGTCTGGGAAAAATCATTTTTTTTTTATAACTATGTTGTATTGCATTATATTCTTATAATTATGTTAGAATACGATTCAAAAAATTTCACTCTCTTTACTCTTGTTCTTTATTCAAAACATTAATAAAAATATAAATTAGGCACAAACTTCTTTCCATTTGATATATAAACATTTTCCACTTTTCTTTGTATTCTTTTAGAGGAAAAAAAATTTTAACTTCTTCTAAAAATAAAATCTTTCATCTGAAATTTTTATTTAATTTTAATTTAATTTTTTAAATATTGTTGATCACTAACAAGTAACAACATTAGGATAAAATAAAAATTAAAAGAACAACTGAAATCTGTTTAAATGGCTATAAAAGAGTCATTAAAAAGTCTCAAGTGATAAAAAAAAATTAATGTGCCAAAAATATGATAGTTTGTAGTTTCAAACATATTTATTTAACATCAGTAGGACAATGACACAATTCTCAAGGACCCCCTTTGCTAAAACTAATTTTTGATGTTTTAAAAACAGTGGCAGAACTTTTTTGCCACTTTCCAAAAACAACCAAATTAACTCAATAATTTAAAAAGTTAACAGCGCATAAAAAAACAGAAGTAATAAATATTTTGTTTCTAGTTTAAATCTCTCTCAATGAAACTATTTTTTTATTTCTTTATTCGCAGGGAGAAACTATTGACAATATAGAGGTCCACGTTATGAAAGGGCAAGATTATGTTGCTGAAGGAAGGAAGCAAGTGCAGGAAGCGGAGAAAAAGCAAACCTCCTCTCGCAAGGTCTTGTGGTTTTGCAGTTTTCTTTCTTCAAAATAAACTAAAAACTGTTTTATATTTTACAGAAAAAGATCTTTTGCTCTGTTATAGCAGTTGTTGTGGTCATCATACTCATTCTAGTTTTGATTTTTCTTGTGCCTTAATTAAAACGCATTTTGAGATTAAATATAAAAAGCTTTAAATTTATTAAACTAATTTTTCTTCCTTGATTTCAACCTTAGGCAAGTATCTCTCTTCAGCCTCTTTGAGCTCTTCGTCGCCTTGCAGTCGGAAAACTTCTTTTACTGGAACAACCTATTTAAATAATATAATGTAGACAAGAAGTAACAAAAATTCAAAAATACTTCATTCTCAACATTAATAAGTGACTGTTGCTCAAATATTTTGGCACTTGTCTCCTGCATTGCTCTCGTCGCCGCTCGCATGTTGTGGTTGGCCCAAATCACAGTGGACACTCCAACGTGCTTGAATTTCTCAGTCGGCACTTTGTAGTACTTGGTAGGGACAATAACCACTGGTGCCTTTTAAACATGATTTCCAATTATTTTCTTAATTATTAATTTTCTATACTTTATTGTTCCAATGCCTCATAAACGCCTCAATATCGGCCAGATCGCTCCTTTTGCTGTGCACTAGAATGGCGTCAGCGCCTGCTGTGACACAAAATTCTGCCCTCCGAAGGGCCTGTTCCAGACCCCAACCGGCGATAAAGGCTTCCATTCTTGCCACCACGCAAAAATCAGGATCAGTTTGATGATCTTTACATGCCTAAACAAGTTCTTTATGATATTGAATAAATTCAAATTGTTTCAAAAAATTAGTGACTTATTATTTCTTATCTTCATAATTGCTGTATAGTAATTACCAATTACCATAATAAAAACAAAGCATTTTGATTTAAGACGATGAGCACCACCTTAAAGTTGACAAAAAACGATTTAAACTATTAAAACCTGCTTTTAACAATCAAATAAAGCTATTTTAAATATTAAATTTATCTAAATATTTAAGATGATAGTAATTTTAAAAAGTTTTTTAAACTCATCTTTTGAATAGAAAAGATGATTTAATTAAATTTATAATTTTAGAAAATCTAAAAGAAAAAATTAATTTTATTCGAAAATCGTCTGCAATTTTTTACCATAATAAACCCATCAAATAGTAGAATCACTAAAAATAAATAATGAATCATACCTGGATTTTGAGCGCAAATTCTCTGATATCAGCCAAGGGCTGTGCTCGGTCGTCCAGCAACGAGTTGGTTTTGGGGAAAAGTTTGTCCTCGATACAGCAACCAGCCACCCCTCGTTGCTCCAACTTGCGCACCAGTCGGCGCGCGTTGTTGAAATTGCCGTAGCCCGTGTCGGCGTCCAGCAAAATCGGCAGCGACGTGGCGTCGGCCATGAACTCGACCACGTCCAGCACCTGCGTCCACGACGCCTCGTTGCTGTCCCGGACGCCCAGTTGCGCAGAGATGCTCAGGCCGCTCGCCCACACGCCTTTGAAACCGGCCTCGGCCACGATTTTTGCGCTCAGCCCGTTGTGGGCCTCCATTAGAAAGGAGAGGTCTTTGGACTGCAGCATTGCTTTCAACTGGGACGTCCGGCGTGGCGACCCAGCAGTAGATGCAAACAGACGTGAATGGGTTGGAGCCACTGAACAAGTTTAATTATTTAAGTACTGAGTTTCCAATATGGAAAAAACATTGATCGTAAAAAAAATTAATTTTACGGATGGAAAATTTTATTTAATATTTTTATTCTCTGATAAACTAATTAGAATTTTTAATGGGGGATAAAAACGGATTTTAAGAATGATTTTCAGATAATATATATTTTTTTTTAAACGACGATCAATAACTATGTTCAATATTTTAAAAATTTATGGTGTTTCTCCTTTGAGTTCTTGTTTAATGAAAATTGAAAAGAAAAATTTTAATTTATCTTTTTTTTTTAAATTAAATTTTTATACAACGTACGCCAAATTAATGCAGAAACCAATTAAATTTACCATAGTTTGTGAACCATGATTATTTTAATAAAACTAAAAGTTATTTACCTTGGCGTAACGATGAGCTTCTCAAAAAGATGCTCATAGTTGGAAAGTCCAGTATCGTCTGGTGGCCAGCCCAATCGTAAGTGACCTAATCTAACGCCCATGGGTCACCTCAGGTCAGCGTTTGTGTCCTTATCAATCACCCACTCGCATTGTGACCAAAATGTAAGTTTCGGAGCATCCGTTTCTTCTTTTCATTAAAAAGTTTATATAAAAAAATTAAAATTGGTGCAAACATGAGCCCCCTGTCAATTAAAAAAAATGCAGCCTGAACTCCACCTGAGAGAAGCCGGTTACATAGTTTTAAAGAGTCAGCCCTGACTCACAATCAGTCAGGGTACTTAAAAGCTTATCACTCTGAATTTATCATTTTGTGTTAAAATTTTGTCCATATTTTATAAAATTATAAATTAATTGACAAATATTACAAAAACTGCTCATCTAATCATCTTGCTTTATGTGTTGTAACAATGGACAAATAAACAATAAAAATTATGGCATGATAACTAAACATATAGTGTAACCATGACTGTTATTCATGTAACTTTATGATTATGATTTTTATGAATTTATGGCAAATGTATCATTTTATTTGAGAGAATTATAAACTATTGACTCGCTTATCCATAGGTTTTATCTTTCATTCAATCAATCATTTCATATAAAGGTATAATTATTCAAGAAAATATACAAAATTACAAAAAAAGATTTATAATAATGAAATAAAGCAAGTTCAAAAAATACATTATCATAAATTATTATAAAAATTCAAATATTTAATAAAATTAAAGCTTGAATTTTTTTTATTTTTTAATTTTTCTTAGTCCTTTATTTGATCAGTTGCAATATATTCGTTTTTTAATATTATAGAAAATTAGAGAGTTAATTTTAACGTATGTATATCATTGTATGAGTTTATCTCAAGCATTTTATTTAATCAGTCGCAAATATATTCGCTTCCAGTTGGCTAAATTAACACGCCATCTCAATCAGAGTGGCAAAACTAAATGTGGAGCGCGGCTGCGGCTCACGGTCACTGCAAAAGGCCGCCGGCCACACCAGATTTTAAAGCCTCATATGACTTTTTTCGTCAGCGGCAGGAAGAAACAAAACCAGTTGGCGTGATCTTTCGACTTTGTGTGACGAGGAAACATGAATTCGCTCCGTCGCACTTTGCTTCATAGGCCTGCGAAAAAGATTTTCGCGCGGCTCTTTGCGTCAAACAACAACAGCAACGCGCGCGTCGGAATCGTAGGGGTGCCCTTTGAGAAGGGTCAGGTACGTGTGTAATTCCAACTCCATTTATCTGCGATTTTTGTAGCAACTCCTTTGATTTGCAGCGCAATTCAGGAGTCAGCCGAGGACCCGGAGTTCTCCGAGCAGGCGGAATTGTCCAAGATTTGCTCAGTTTTGGTAAAAAGTGATTAAACTTAATTTCCAATAAATGCAAATTTAGATATTTGAGCCAAATAAGGAAATTGCTGAAATTTTGCATAAAAAAATATTTTTAGGCTGTGACGTCAAAGATTATGGCGATGTTGATTACAAAGTTGAGCAACCGGGGACACAAGTTAATAACATGCTGGAGTATGACGATTTTGCATCCTGTATGGAAAAGGTTGGCCATTTTTCAATACATTAAAAATCTTTAAGTCTTTAGTTTTTTTCATTATAATGAGAAATGATCTACAGAGCTTATAAAATAAATCTTTTTTTTTACATTTTAAATTGACTGAATTTATAAATTTGTACTATTTTTCATTTCTTAGGAATATAAAATTTTATTAAATTTGAGTTACAAATTAAAGGTTTCGAGCACCGTGAAACAAGTTTTGAGTGAAGGCAGACTTTGTCTCTCCCTTGGTGGCGATCACTCGATGGGGGTCGGCACCATCGACGGCCACTACCAGGCCAAAGGTGACCTTGCCGTCCTCTGGGTGGACGCGCACGCAGACATAAACACAAACGCCACTTCTCCGACTGGGAATTTGCATGGAATGCCTGTGGCCCTCTTGGTCAAGGAGCTGGCAGACTACTGGCCATATTTGCCTGGAATGGACTGGCAGATGCCAAAGTAAGAATGCTAATATATTATTTTAATTTACCTTTAATCACTCAAATTTATTATCTAATTTTAAAATAAGGAAAAGGGTTTTTTAAGAATAATATGTTAACTTTAAGTTGTTCTATATATAAAAAAATATACTATTTATACGAAAATTAAAAAAAAAATAAAACCACATTAAATTTTCTAATACCCCAATTAATTTAAAATTTTTAAATTGATTTAACTTCATTTAATTTGTTTACAATTTTTTTGATCAGACTATTAGTTTATCTTAATATTTTTGGATCATTCTGACCCAGATTATTTATTTCATCCAATAATTAAACATGTTAATAATATAAAGTATATTAGTCTGGAGTCTGAACAGTCTAGATTGTTGACTTTAAAAAATTAATTTGCATTGAAATAATTAAATTAAAATTTTATTCTATAAATTACTTTCTTCTCACTTTAATAAACGATTTTTTTTAAACAAATGCCACTAAGTGGAGATAATTAAATATTTAAAAAAATTCTTGTTTCATTTTAGATAATAAGTTTTTATTCTCAAAAAGTCAAAAGGACTCTTTTCTTGCAGAAATTAACTTTTTTTCGGTTTTCAAAAAATCTTGTTGAATTATAATGGTGAAACTTTTGTCTATTTTATTAGACTATCAATCAAAAACATCGCTTACATTGGGCTGAGGTCAGTGGACGAATACGAAAGGTGAAAATTAAAATATCAATTTTTAAATTTGAATAGTTAAATTTTTTTGTTAATTAGTTTAATTCTGGAGAAATTTGGAGTAACCGCGTTCTCCATGGAAGATGTGGAGCAGTACGGAGTTCACGAAGTGACCCGAAGAGCCCTCGAGGCCATCAATCCTCACGGCGACCGATCTCTGCACGTCAGTTTTGACATTGACAGCCTAGACCCGATTGAGGCGCCCAGCACAGGCACTGCTGGTAAAAATAAAAAAGAATGAAAATCTAATTCCAAAATTAACAAAATTTTCATTTCAAGAGCGTGGTGGTTTAAGTTTACGCGAGGGGGTGCACATCATGGAGACAGTTTTCGCATCCGGAACCTTGGGAGCGATGGACCTGGTCGAGGTCAACCCTGGAATTGGGTCAGAGAGGGACGTCAAGATCACAGTGGAGGCGGCCAGACAGGTCGTCAGGGCTGGTTTTGGCTACAAGAGGAGGGGTATGCGACCTTTGCTGGCACAGGAGATACCTGGCTTGATAGTAAAAAATTCATCACAAAGTGAAATAAATTAATTTTGCACATGTAAATAGTTGCAGAGGGAAAATAATGCTATTGTTTAAAATCTGTGAAAACCAACTTTGCTCAAAACCTTTTCCATTGCTTGAACACAAGCATTAAAATTGTAAAAATATTGTAAGTTATCTGAAAATTTTAAAGAAGTTGAGAAATTTTTAATTTTAATGAATGTTATAATTATTTTCTGTGCCAAAATTTTCTGTCGTAATATTTATCAGATCAATAGGACAGGTTAATCGGTCTTTTTACTTCTTCAAATTACAAATCTGCTTCAAACCGTTTAACGGGGATCGATGTTGTTTATACTTGTATTTTCTAAAATAAAATTTTATTACTGCTAGAACTTTTAGGAAGTTTGATTAACCAAACCACACTATTTGAATTAAATCAAATTGATTTTAAATTAAACGCTGACGTAAAAAGTGGAAAAATCCCTTAATTGGAGTCTCGTTAAAAATTGAACTAATTAATTTTTGAAACTTATAATATGTTTTATTTATTAAATTAATTCATATTCTATTTATATTCCTTTTTTAGCTCGTGGGGTTTTTAAATATCTGATAATTTTTTTTAAATGAAGAACATTTTTTTTTTGAAAACAAATTTCAATGCTAAATTGTAACATCATCTCATCTCTCATTGCAAACAATCGCACTTTTCGCAGCCTTGCTTCGTTTCGCAGCTTATTTCAATGAGAAACAAATGAGTGTCGGCCCTTTCGTGACGTCACGCGTCTCGCCCATGTCTCGTCAAAAACGCACATGGGGACTGTTGTCAAATTGTAAACACGAGTGGATTTTCTTCAATTTTCGTTCGTTCCAGTTGGAAAATGAACTCTTTTTCCGAACTTGGTCTGAAGGAGTGGATCGTGAAGCAGTGCCAGAAGGTTGGCATCGAAAACGCGACGCCCATTCAGCGAGAATGCGTGCCTCAAATCCTGGCCGGCAAGGACTGCATTGGGTGTGCAAAAACAGGCAGCGGAAAAACCCTGGCCTTCGCCCTGCCCATTCTGCAAAAGCTCAGCGAGGACCCTTACGGAATCTTCGCTCTTGTCCTCACACCCACCAGAGAACTTGCGTTCCAGGTGAGTTTAAAAAACTTGAAAAATAATAATAAAAATGATCGAAATATTTTTAATACATAATTTTCATAATTATATCTCAGATTGCTGACCAGTTTCAAATCATGGGCAAACCAATCGGTTTGAGGCAGACCGTCATCGTTGGAGGCATGGACATGGTCCAGCAAGGAATGGACCTGTCCCGGAAACCTCACATCGTTATTTCCACCCCGGGAAGGTATTAAAATTTAAAATTCACTCGAAACACAAAAGGTTTACGATTTTATTTTAAATCCACAGGCTTTACGACCATTTGGGCAGTTGTGTGACGTTTTCCCTCAAGAAAATAAAATTCCTGGTCATTGATGAGGCCGACAGAACCCTCGGAGGTGACTTCGATGAACAGCTGAAAAGAATTTTTGATGCTTTGCCGGAACAAAGACAGAATTTGCTGTTCAGTGCGACCATGACTGATAGTTTGTCCAAAGTTAGACAAGTTGCAAAAAAAGAGGTAAATTTTCATTAAAAAAGGTTTTTAAACTAATTTTTAATTGTTAACAGATGTTTTTGCATGAAACAAAAAGCGAGGTTGCAACTGTGGAAGAACTGAAGCAGCACTACGTTTTGTGTCCTGGTGCCGTCAAGGATGGCTATTTAGTACAGATTATCAGAAAGTTCAAAGAGAGTCACCCGAGAGGGTCCATCATGGTCTTTACCAACACTTGCAAGTAGGAATTATTGTTTCATAATTAATGCTTAATTTCACTTACTTTACCTTTTGTTTCCAGAAATTGTCAGCTTTTGAGTATGACTTTGAAAGAAGTGGGTTATGATAATGTCTGTCTCCACGGAATGATATCACAAAAGTTGCGACTTGTTGCTCTCAACAAATTTAAATCCAACAATGTTAAAATTTTAATAGCCACAGACGTAGCCAGCAGAGGTACGTCATTTTAAATGTTTATATCGAGTACCATATTAATTTTTTGACATAGGTCTTGACATTCCTGAAGTTCAACTTGTGATCAACCACTCAGTTCCAACTGTGCCAAAAGAATATGTGCACAGGGTTGGCAGAACGGCCCGAGCTGGTAGAGGAGGAGACGCTGTAACTTTGGTCACCCCCAATGATATCAAGCTGATCCAAGCCATTGAAGAGTTGATCAACACAAAGTTGACAGAATACAAAACAGATGGTAAATCTCACTTGATTTTTAAGTAAAAAGGTTAATTCGAATGTTTTTGAGTAGAAAAGGAGGTGTCCAAGATTTTCACTCAAGTTTCTGTCACAAGAAGAGAGGCTGAGATTAAGTTGGATGAGACGGATTTCTTTGAAAAGAAGGAGTTGAACAAACGGAAACAATTCATGATGGAGGGCAAAGATCCTGATGAGGAGATGGAGAAGAAAAGCAAGTATAAGAAAAAGTTGCGAAGGCAGAAGATAAAGGCGGCAATCAAAGCTCGAACTGAGAGGAAAAAGTTACGAGAGCAAGAAAAACCTGCCAGCTCTGTTGCAGATTCATGATAAATAAATTCTTATGAGACTGTTGAAATTTTTAAAAGCATTGATTTTAATTCAGGGGAGAGTTTTTTAATCTGTAGTTTCTATTAAGCTCGCTATCTTTTTATCATGATCAAAAAGGGGGTATCCTGACAGTTTATAAAATAGATTTGGCTGGCTCTATTGTTACATTTGAATCTGTTGGATGCTCTTACTAAATTAAAATTTCTGGCAAATTCTTAGTTGTTGTGAGTTTATTTGTCCATGAGAGAGTAAACAACGCACAAAAATAATATTCTCACAAAATGCGGCACAGGTGAATACATAGTTTAAAAGTTATAACCACAATAACTTGTTTAGGCAGTTATGAAAATATCACAGGAACATGAAGGTGGTGCATATCAGCTCAAATGCATCACGTCGACTAAGCTAGTCTGTTTCACCCGCTTGATTCCGTAGTCCTCGAACGAGTCCCTCGTCTGCTGCAAATCACACACAGACCGACTCCGCTGCCGCTCATACGACACTGGACCCTTGGGCTCAGAGCAACTCTCCTCAGGGTCAAGTCTGACATCAATTTCGTCCTGAGCCCTCTCAATTTCAGAAACATTTACACCCTATAAATTTTAAAAATTACTACCAAAAGTGTTGAATTAAAATTAAAATTGCCTCAACTGCTTCAGACCGGAGGGGATTATTTTTTCCATGGACATGGCTATGTCCATTATCATGATGGTTGTGTCCCTTATCATGGCTATGACCCTTGGCATGACTGTGCTTTTTGCCGTGACTGTGCCCCTTGTCATGGCTGTGGCCCTTTTCATGACTATGGGAATGCCCATCTTCACAGGTGAGGTCCTCGGTGCTGCTAGTTGGGGTGCGGCTGCAGCAATGCTGTTTCTGGCATCCCAACCCTTGGCACATCAGGTAGCACTCCCTCACTTCAGAGCTTCCGTCAATGGACTGAAAATTAAGTAATACTTTATTATATCCTATAAAATTCATAGTTATAAATAAGAAATTTTGGAGTGCCGGAATAGGGCCGAAAAGAACAAGGCCGAAAATGGCTGAGCGGAACAGGGCCGAAAAGGAATAGGGACGAAAAGGAACAAGGCCGAAATACCGGTGCAGACAAAATAGGAAGAACCGGTTTTTTAGGAAATCACCGTGATTACCGTGTTATGTCAACCCGCCATCCTTACAAGAAACGGGACGTCTCGGGAAACACATATCATCATACTTTTAAGTCAAAGTAAGAATTATCTAAAATATTTAATTTGTGGTAAGGAGGAATTTTTTAAATTTAACATTGTTTCATGCTATGGTAATTTTAAAAATACAATTTTCTAAAATGTATTTTTTCACAAAATTAGCCGAACCAAAAATTGATAAACGTTTTACCAACTCTCGTTCATATCACCCCAATTAAGATATTATGGGAAAATAAAATCAATACGTCAGTCGACATAAAAATTTATATTGATCTTATGGGAAAAGGTTAAGAAGTTTTATATACAGAGTAATTATTATCATAAGCTCCTCATTTATAGGAAAATTTTAAGTGAAAAAGAAAAAAAAACAATGATACATCGCCATACATATAAGTGATAAGTTTAGTTTCCTGGGCAAATAATTTCTTATAAGCTCGTGTTTTCCGAGTTCCGATGCAGTATGGTTTTTTATTCTGTACAAGAGATCAATTTATCTTTATCTTGTGTTGTCCCCCAAATATATGTGATTTTGTGGTTATGCGTCTCGCCTACAATGGAGATTTTTGCCATGTCTTTTGCAAAATCAATTTCTAAATTTTCATCTATTTTCCTATGTGAAACGGCCGCATGAAGGATTTTGGTATTGGCGTGCAAAGACGCGCTCGCGGTTATCGGTTATTTTTCAGCTTTCGGCCTTGTTCCTTTTCGGCCCTATTCCTTTTCGGCCTTGTTCCGCTCAGCCGTTTTCGGCCTTGTTCTTTTCGGCCCTATTGCGGGACTCCGAAATTTTTGAATTATGATGCCAATCGGCGTTCAGTAAATGGAATTATTGTATTATACTTTTATTGAACAATTAAATCTAGTAACAAAAATATATTGAGGAGATCTGGATGAGATGAAACATGCAGTCAATTTTTGTGAAATTTTTTAGGTTTGTTTTTTCTTATTTTTTAAATTAAGATTTTTTATTTTTTCATACTGAGACACAGATAAATAAAGTTTTTTTTATGAAAAATTAAAATTTTTTGGTGACCCTATAAAGGGTCGGTTTCAAGTCAAAACGAGTTAATAAAAATTTAACAAAATATGTCTTACTTTTGAAAATTCTGGTTGCAAAGTAGCTTGGGTGACTCCTCTTTCATGGAAAAAGTCCATTAACCGCTCTTTGATGCTGATGTACTCCTGCAATTTAAAAGAAGTTTATCAAAATCATCTTTTTTCCGTCACGCCAAAACGTTTTCCTCCTCACATCATGGGTGGGTATGACAATGTGTGCCGTTGCGAAAACCTTGGTCTGCGTTAGGCACCAGATGTGCACCTCATGGATGTTTTCAATGCTCGGAAACTCCTTGGCCAGGTCTTTCTTCAGCGACTTGATGTCCATGTAGCCAGGAATGGTCTGCAGCAGGATTCGGCTCGACTCTCTCACTGCAGGACAATTTAAAAAGTGACGTGAATATCAAATCAACACTCTCACTATATGGGTAGCTGAGGGCCAAAAGAAGCAGACTGGAGACAATTGAAAGTCCAGGGTCGATGTACTTGGCAAAGTGCGGATCCGTTTGATAAACAATCGCCGCACATACAATTACAAACAGGCAGCCTTGCAACAAAGGCTTATTAATACATTTATTAATTTGAATTCATTTGTTCTTGTACTGCTGACGTCGCGAAACATCTCGCGGGCGCCTTGTCTTCTTTGGGCCGAGTGCAGGTGCGCCTCGGCCGGTTTGGTTTCGACTTCGCACTTTTCGATTTGCGAAACGGCGTCTTCTCGGACGACCGCTCGTCGTGCAGACAACTGCCGACTGCCCACCCTGACATTTTTCTCGGTCAGGTCGCGGTCCAGAACGACGTTACCCTCAGCATTGACGTGCAGAAAACTGCCCTGGTGGAAGGTGTACCCTGAAAATGCCAGGATAAAAAAATGAGAATTATGCTCAAAGGCGGAAACGCTGTTCATAAATACTGTATTTTACAGAATCATTAATTTATTTATGTAAAATAAAGACGAGATTTTTTATTTTTTAATTTATTTTTAATTATTTATCAATATAGTGAATTTCTGGTGCTAATTCATTCAATTTTTTAAAATCAGTCAGTTTTTTGGTACATTTTATGTTATATGTTATATTATTCATAAATTTTATTTGTTTTGAAAAAAAATATGCGAGTTATCAATCCTTGAATATTTTTTAAATAAATATTTGGTATATCTATCTACCAAGTGAAAGAGAAAATTACTAATAATAAAAAAATATAACATTTAACATTGATAAAAGTATAAAAATATTTTTAAATATTTTTAAACAAGTAAAGTAAAACAATTTAATTGAATTTTAAATAATAAATAATTGTATTTAAAAAGTTTTAATATGTACAATAAAAAAATAATTAATAATAAAATATTATAAAATTAATAAATTTTTTAACTTAAGTATTTTAATAAATTCATTTTATCAAATTAATGTCTTATTAATTCAAATTTACCTCCAATTAAAAAGTAGCACGCGCCATTTAGAATGAGGCCACAGGCCCCAATGATCATTACGTGGAGCGGGTAATGCATGGCGTCCGAGTGTCCGATGTGAAAAAGCGTCTGCACCGCCTCGACGATCAGAGAAAAACACAAGGAGGCGAGGAAAACAGTGCCGACCATCATGAGCAAAACCTCGATTCGCGCCCATCCAAAAGTGTTTTTCAGCTTCCGCTCCGAATTAAGAAACCCCTGCGGAGAAAAAGAATTCATTGCACGCGCCAATTGCAGCGATAAAATTTGATTGAAAGCGTGCGCATGAAAGTGTCAATCGGCAAAACGTGCGCAGTGAAAGAGAAACGGCCGTAATGAGAGAGTCAATGAGTGTGACGTGAAATGTAGCAAAAGAGAGGCGGAGTGGAGCAGTAGGACTCACCTGTTGGTTACGGTGCTTGTTGTTGCGGCCGCAGCCCGGCCGCTCGTGGTCCAGGGGTGGCGTCGCACCCTCATTCTCGTCGTCGCTGTCCGTCGTCTTTGCAGGAGCGTAATACACGCCCCGGGCGTGCTCCTTGCCATACTATTTCAAAAATATCATATTTCATAATGTTCATTTATTCAATTTCCAGCCTATCAATTTTTAATTTCTCAAAAATAAAAGTGCTGGATTATAAATTTTTACTAATATTTTTGTGTTTTTTTCTTGCTCATTGCATAGGGCGCACCAAGGGGTGAAAATTTTGGCGGAAAATACAAATAAATTTTAGAGCTTCACAGGCGCTTCATAATTCCAAATTTTTTTAACTACGCGGAAACATTTAATTTTACAATTACCAATTTATTTTTTAAATCTTTCTAATGAACTTATTTCAAATCTATAATATTTTTCTTCTTTTAGTGTCACATAAAAATCTTCCGTAATTTGAACAACTTGACAACTTCCATCTTATCGTGGAGATGAAAAAATATTGAAATTATTATTATTATTGCTGTTTATTTGTCCACATTGTTACAAATACATTGTTTACATTCAAAATGAAAATAATTATTTAAAAAGTTTTTTTTTAAATAAATAATGTTTTATAAACATAATTATGAGGGTAAAAGTTATTTTTGTTATTTTTCATTTACCGTTTCTAAAGAAGTTCAGTTTGTAAAAAACAATGTGATTTATCTGTTCACATTGAAAGCGATCATCTTTCCAAAGATGCAAATATTGACGCAGTGGCATTTTTCTGCTTATTTATAGTTATTTTACCTTAACAGTGATAAGGCAGCCAGTGAGGGCGATAAGGTTGCACAGAGTGTGGTACGAATCGACGAGCAGAGTGAGCGCGTGCGTTATGTGGCTGGCGACGAGCTCGACCAGGAAAAAGAGGATGGTCAGGGCCATCATCAGGTACAGTGGCAGCGGCCGCAGCTCCCTGAACCATTGCTTCACCGACATCACAGCCGGGTTTCTTGCAGGCTAAAACATAGAATAATAAATTACATATCAGTGAGAAATAAAACACATTAAAAAATGATGAAAAAAATAGTTACAAATTTCAATATTTGAAGGGTACCTACATTTTTTTAAATTAAGCTAAGACTTCTGATAATTTTTTTATAATTATTGCAAGTTCTTAAAATCATTTAGCAGTTTTAAATTTTGAAATGAAAAAATATTTAAATGTATTTCTTTTATCATTAACATACAACACACAATATCAAATTCTTAAAAAGTATAGATTAATAAAAAAATATGTGTTATAGCAAAATGAAAATTAAATAGATTAGATATAGTTAACTAAATTTGCCCATTTCACCCATCTTAATGATTGTAAATGTTAAAAAATGTATTATAAAAAATTAAAATGCAAATATTTGTTTAATGTGAATTTAAGCATCCACATTAATTATAGACTTTTAAGTGTTTTGAAGCATTATAGATGAATTAAACCAGTGATAAGTTTACTTATGAAATTAAGTAATTTTTAAAACTTTTAAAACATTATAGAGTTTCGGTTCTAAATGAAATTTTGGTTTTCTATACACGTCAAATAGAAATATAAATTTCCAGGCCAATGACTCGCCTAACTTTTAAACCAAGCTCACTTCCTGAAGTTGATACGGTCATCCTGGTCGAGTGACTCTGGCTTTGTTATTTTGTACTTTTACGATTGTGCTGCGTGCAAACAGTTCAAATGCAACATGTTTCAAGTCAAAGTTCGGATATTAAACTGAGTCACTTGAACCAATACTCACTCAGACACAAATTGGCTCCGAATCGTACACTTTTCGTCCCTTGGTCACTCTTATTAAAATATTTCCTATACTAATGAGTGGCCGCCAGCGTGACCAGTTTGTTACAAAACACTGCCAGAGAAGAACACAATTTTCTCACACACTTCTCGCGTTTTGCGCACGACACGCTCGTGTTCCTGTATACGCAGTGTGTTACTCTTTTAGATTAAGAGCAGAAAAAATCAAACACAGATTACATTTTGACCTGGAAGATATATAATTATTCTCATCTTTTATCTCGGACACCGAGGAAAAATGACCACCTATTATTTTACCGCTGTTTTATCGTCTGCTTTGAAAATATAAATTGAGATTTTTTTCTAAATTGAAAGAAGAAGTGCGTCGCTGAATAAATATTTAATTTTGTGCGAATGGAAGAGACGGACAAACACGTTCCGAAAGCAAACAAAAATCGCTTAAGGTATTGCGCGAGATCGATTTTCTTACATTGGGGGCTCTATGCAAATAAAGGCCGGGCACGTGACGGATTAAAGACGGATTAAAGCCGATGAACACGTGCCACCTTCTGTGTATGCATCTAAATACCTGTGTAAAACAGAGGCGGTCTAATTAAAGACGATTACGAAAAAATCAATCCTTCTTGAGTCCAACAGGTTATAGGTCTAGCTTTGTAAGACAGTTTTTAAGTTTTAATTTATAAGATGTGTATCAGGTTTATCTTATCTTAGAGTTTTGTCAAAAATTAAAGCGCGTTTGAAATCAGAAGACACTGATAAGTTTAATAACCTTCAAAAATAGAAATCAGATCAGTAAATATTTCCTGAAAATAATTATGATCTTAATTAAACTCCTTTTATTACATTGAAATGAAGTTGAATTCTAAGTGTAATTTTATTATTGAAGCGGTCTCATACATTGCATCATTCATTTTTTAATAGTTATATTATGGTTAATCCTCAATATCTTTCACTACTTATTGCATTTCTTTCTTGTTTCAGACAGCGAGTTTTAATAAAATTCACAAATCAGATTCTATCAAATGAACTCTTGATTTTGCAAAACATGAATTACATTTTACCCCAATTACGTAACAGGCCCATTGATTACCTGGATAAATCGTCCGCCTGACAAAGGCTTTGTGTTTTCCCTGGAAATTTTGGCAAAGGTTGGGCACTTCCAAGTCTTCCAACGACGATCTTGATAACTGAGCGTCTACACAGAAACTGAGATAATACTTAATAGAGGCTCTCTCTATTAGTGGCACTGTTTGGAATTGGCTTTATTGAATGATTACAGCGCGGGACTTCGCTCCCAGTCAAAGCACTTTACTAAAATACTATAGCATAGATTTTTCTCCTTGGCAGAGGGACCACCCTTTTCACATTTGCAAGCGGCCGTCGTTCTCTCTGCGTTTTGTTACCACATTTTTTTTATAGACCACGCTTGTGATTTTTTTGGAACCAAGGTCAGCAAGAGTAGCTAGAAATTTGCATGAACTGATAGAATAGAGGTGGTGGGTTAGCTAATTTTAGATAAATTTGAATAGGAGAAAATAAATAATGTCTCTCAGTTTCGGTGTCATATCAATTAATTTATTTTGTTTTTACTAAATCTTTTGAAATACTTTTTTACTTATTATTGAGGGTTTTATTAAGTTTCTCAATATTTGTTGGTTTGTAATTTTCTGCTAATTTTGGTGGCTCATTTAATTTATCACTGACTGCGTTACAATGATATAATTATTTGTGTATTATTTTGCTATTGATCCCTTTTCAAAACGCTACATCATGATAAGAGGATAATAGCAATGTATACAATTGTTCAACCCACGCATCAACCCTTTCACTTGCCCGTCTAGAGTGTCTAGACTAGTTTTTGCATAGCACGAGAAAAAAGCAAGCAGGTCAAGCAAGCGAGCAACAAGCAATTTTACTGCATGCCTAGCACTCTATACACTTTGCAACCAGCGAGGAAAGTTTTAAAATTTATCAAAACAAAAAAAAATATGATAATTTCATATCTAAATTTATCATTTTTCGAATCAGAAGATATAATATAAATTTCAAATTGAGGAAAAAATCAATGAATATCCTTCATGCGCACTTTATGCACTTAATGGTTTTTAGATTTAAGAAATATGTTCATGAAATATTTAATTGAATTCTTTGGCAGTCTGCCCTTAATCGACCTTTCTCAGGTTTGCAAACAAAGTGGGCGCCGTTGTTCAAGTATGTAAGTGAAAGCGCCAATGAACTTGACCCTGGAGAATGTTTGCAATTTAATTCACGGGCGGCGGCCTGTGTGTTTTCTTACCAGTTGACCACTGCGGTAATTGAGAGGAAGAAGGAAGTTTGATACAAATTATTGTAACAATCAATGTGACTCGCTATAGGATCAAGCACCGGGAACTACAGTTTCATGTTTATTGATTGAGCACATTCGTCATATTTATTGTATTACCATTTCATAGCAATTATGACGATTTTACATAATGATTTATCCATTTTTTACGCTACAAATATAAAATCTACTTAAAAGTTTAGTAATTAAAAAGTTATGAGGTTAAATTTAAGTAAAAAAATTATGCTTCCATTTTTCCTAATTTTATGTATCAATTTAATTTTTAAAGCAACCTTCCTTTCATTGAAAAAAAAAAAAAAAAATTCACAATCAGAAATCAAAATAATGAGCACGGAAATCAATCAGTCTTAAAATAATCTCACTCATTGTCAGATCTTATTGTCAGCTCTATAAAGCGGCTTTTGATCTCTTTTGGTTCAGATCTGACCTAAACCAACAAAAATAATTTCCAACATGATCTAATTTTTTGATTTAATAATACAATTAAGGGTGTTAAGTCATAAAAATACTTGTGGTAGCTACTGTTTGTTTACTTGTAAATAAATCAAAGGTTGAATTTAATAGCACGTACTTTAATTTGAAATACAATTTCAATTCTGTTTGGCAACACATTTAAATTAATATAGAAAAAAACGCAGTCAGCAAACGACACAGGAGCGGCGAAATTGTGCCGCAGCGATGCAGCAGCAGAGTCAGAAGTGCCGTTATTTGATTTTCTATTCATTGTCCCGGTCGCCGCTGATTTGTTTACGGAGAGCATTTTTGTCCAACTATGTATACGCCTCGCCCATAAATAGTGTCACGGACCTTGTTTGGCATATCAAAATTAAATATAAAGTTTATTCCCTCCATACCTTTTTCCATACCTTTTAAAACTTTTTAAAAGTAAAAATCTGATAATATTTTTAGAAAATGAAAAGTGAAAAATAAGTACGGAAGAAATAATTGACATCATACCAGCATTTCATATTAAAGTGTTCAAAAGCACTTAAACGCACTGCAATGTTGTTATAAGTTATAACGCAATCATGTGCTGGCACAGAATCAAAATTAATAATATATGCCACCGTGCACGACCTTGCTATAATAATAAAAGTGAATTTAATTAAGGAATAATTGAAAGCAATATTTTTCACATTGGATTTATTTTTAAAGTCGACTTTTCCTCTGTGGGTTTTGTTTATTATTTCATAGGATAAACAATATCCTGCTGTATGATACAATAAATTACTCTCTCTATAAAACCAAAGTGCCAAAGAGGAAAAGAAGACTTCAATTAGAAAATTGTAATATACCAAGAAAAACAAACCTTTGAGCGTGAAATTCTTTTTAAAACACGTTATTTAACCTGAGATTGGCTTGCAAATGCAAATTACATTATTTATTAATTAATTTATTAATTTTTTTTAAGAAGATTCTATCAGATTATAAAATTATTGAAGAAAGAAGTGAGGCTGGTTGTTTAAAAAGTTTTTATTAAAAAAATTACTTATTGTTAGAATATTAAGTCACAAGTTAATTTTTAAACTTACTTTAAATTTTATCCCTTACAGTGAAGAATAAGATTTTCCATCCATATTTATGAGTATTATTTATTTAGGTTATATTTTGTCTCTCAAAAATTTTCCAGACATGTGAATAATTTGATTTTTTTTTATCACATTACATTCAGCTTTCTGCACGTGACATTTTTGAAGGGTTCCCATTATTCCATCATCAGAAATTTGTTTGTAGGGAGTATAAATATTAATTGTAAGAAGGTTATAAAATTCACTTAAGTCATTGCACTGTTAATTACAACGTCAATGTGTCCCTACAACATTATCACTTCATTACTCCCTTCAAAACATTTTTTACGAAAAGGCTGTTAAAAAGAGGTTGAGTTTGATAAAATGTAAAAAAAAAATACAACTAACCGGTGGTGTGTTGGCACATGTTGGTGCCACTGGTGCTGGTGGTGAGGAATCCTCGGTGCTCGCCATAGTGACCCTGCCCGGGTCTAGGCCAACCCAAGTCGCATGAGTGTCCAACCGACTGTCCGGCAGAACAGCGAGTGAGACCGAATCGGAGACACGCGCGCGCACAGACCAAAATAAAACCCTCTGACACGCCGTGCGGCGCAGCATCCGCTGGAAAGTCGGCGTGTTTATATAAATTATATTCCCCTCCGCGCGAGTAGCGATAAAAAAGGCCGCGCGGGAATGTAGTTCACTGGACGGCCGCGCCGCCTCTCGGCTACAACTGACTGACAATGAGTGTCACCACGATTAGTTAGCAGCGAGCCTCTGATTTTTTATCCAAGCATGCGAACGTGCTAATTGAATCTGGCGCTGGATTTCGGAACGTGCTGCTGCTGGTTGTTCTCACGCTTCAGCTTTGATACATTTTAATGGGGACTGAGGATATTGGCAAATTAGCGAAGTGAATTTTAGATAGAGATTTATTTGTTTTAAAATAAATTTTTTATATAACATAATTATTGGGGTCACTAATTTTAACTTGAAAAGTGCTTTTAAAAGGCAGAAATAGTAATAGTACCATGATTATAATTATATCATTCTCTTGTTTGAAGTTTTATTTATTATACTTTATAATAATAAAATATGACCTATTTAATTGTTTCATGTGTGCTAAAATTATTTTAAATGACGTTAAAATTATAATAAATTTAATAAAATAATTATTAATAAAATTTAAAAACATTTTGTTATATAATATTTAATTTTAATAAATCTAATATTTTATAATTTGTTAACTATGCTTTGAAATGTATGCTTTTTTTCTTAATTAATATATACATTTCTAAAATTATTAATTTTTTTTATTAAAAAACAACGAAATGTATAGCAAAATACCTGTCAGACTATTTTACTTTGAAATTTTGTGCACTGTAATAACGCTCTTTAAAAATTTATGATATTCTTTGTTAATTTAGATTTCGAAACTTTTATAGAACAGCTCATGGTAGAAAAAAACTACCTAAGATATTTTATAATCGTTTCGAAACGGGCCCTTTTTTCTTACTAGTTTTCTCTTCTCCTCTTATATATATTTCATGGAGCTGCACACAGATCAAAGATTCAGAAATCATCACCCTGCGTCTGCTGCAGCGATAAGGGCATATTTTGAATGCACCAGACTCTCTCTTTCTCTGTATATTCTCAAGTGCGGCCATGATCCACGCGCCGTGAGTCACAAAAACAGCAGCCTCAAGGGACCATCAACGCTCTGAATGGCAATATTTATGCAACGCAGGCGGCGAACCCTCTCTAATAAGTTGCAGCAAATTCGAGGGATTTCACCGCTTAAAAAGAGTCTTGTTCAAAACAAAAATGCATCCATGAAAATAAAACGAGAAATCAAAGCGCAATACATTTGAAGAGCTTTTGAATTTTAACTGTGAATTAAGACTGCTTTTAATCATTAAATTTGATTTTAATTCTATTTTCAAGAATATGAGAAATGTATTTTTCAATGGCTGATTGATTCCAAGCAATGCTTCAATTAAATTTTTTCAATCACTTTTGATTTTGTAAGAACTAAAACAAATTACGATAATAAATTTTTCTTTCTTTTGTGATATTAATTTTAAAAATTATTGTACATTGAAGACGCTGAATTAATTTGTGGATTTCAGTTTAACATGTTAATATCACTTAAAGTTTTAATAAACCATTATTTAATTTATTATTTATACAAAAACGTTATCGCTCTCAGATCATTTTCATCATTAGGTCTTACAATTAAATTTTCATTGAAAATTTCTGTTTCTGAGCATTTCAAACTAAAAAATCTTATTAAAAATTCTAGAAATTTTATGAATGCAGTAAAAGAAACATACAATGTACGAAAAACATAAATTACTATTGTTGCCTATTATAATGGCAATAATGCCCCCCTTGGAGCTATTTTTCATTTATTTTTCTTTCTTTTTTCCGGAATAACGCTCATAACAACCCTCTTCAGAAATCATTTTCCTCTCTCCTTTTGATAGTCCGGAATGATGTAAACGACTCACGCAATCAATATCAAACCATATATTAGACGTGTCCAGCAGCAGACAAACCATTGTGCAATATATTTTCAGGTGCACCCTCGCGACTTTTGCAACTTTCAGCAAAGAGCATAGTTGTGTTTTGTGCTTCGGGGCTGTTACCGAGGGCCGGCGGATTATTCATGGCCGAAATATATATATCTCTCTTGTGCAGCAAGACTCACCCCCGAACGGCCGCCCCTACGGGCCCCTGGCGTCCCCTCGCCGAAAACTACCCCTATTCATTTTTATCTGGCCGGGCCACGTGAGGCGCATTATCGGCGGCGATGCGGTTTTGCTCTAGACATGACACCCTTGCTTCTTTTTTTATTTTGGCACTATTTGCATCCCGCGAGAGCAGATGCACCGTTTGAGAGCCACGTGCGTGCAGTTCCCATGCGATTCTCTCTCGACAATGGCTGCACCCTCTCGCACTCAAACGCAGACCGATTCTAATAATCTCGGTAAATTAACACTCTGGCGTCCCCTTTTAAATTAAATTTCGGCGCTATCTCGCTCGTTATTCCTGGTAAAGGAGGGACAAATTTTTGGCTTTGCCGGAAAATTAATGTTGTGTGTCGAAAGTAGTGCGGAAAGCAGGGTGCCTGCGGGGGTGAATTTGCATCGTTCAGAGCGAGAGGCAGCTTCCAACATAGTGGTATGAATTTCAAAGCGACGCTCTTGTTTTGAATTTTGATGGAGCGTTATTATGCGCACGCAATTTATTCATGAAAATTGGAATTCAAATTTGTTTCAATGGTAATAAGAATTCATTTAAATGAATTGGGAATAAAAATTGGCAATTGATTGAAAAAGAATGAGAATGTAAAAAATAAAAATTAAATTCAAATCTCAATTTCTGCGTTAGGGCAAAGAGATTTTTAAATTTTTTCTTTTAGAAATTCCAGTTTCAAATTTGAAATTTTGAATTTTCAAAACTAATTTTATAAGCAATTTTGCAGAATTTTTTCTAATACACAACTTGGAAGCTCTTAATGTGATCCTATTTTCATTATCTTACCTTACTTTTATTTTAAGTTTGAAGACGAGATGAGCTAAAATCTAATTTAAATGAACTGTGCAATATAAAATATTATTCAGATTTTAATCTTTGTGTTATGGAAATTTAATTTTTAATTAGCTAATAATATTTTTTACATTAAATCAGTCTCACATTGTATATGTATATTATTATCTATATCCCCTCAAAATATTTTTCAAAATTAGAACACATTCAATATTTTTCCATTATGACTTGGTTATTTTTTAGTTCGCCACTTTCACAGACTTTTCCTTCAGCTTCCTCAGCCGCTGCAAGTTCAATTTGGCGATTTCATCCTCGGGCGCCAATTCCAGCGCTCTGACGTAGCACTTTTCCGCCTGCGTAAGCTTGGCCCGCAGGTGCAAAATCGCGCCCAAGTTGATATGACTGGCAGGATTCTGCAACCCACCGTTATTTACGTATTCGCACGGGACCAAAATTAAATTGTGAATTTTTTACCTCCGGCTCGAGCTGCCTGGCCATCAGATAGAATTTCTCCGCCTGATCCAATCGACCGGCCACGCGTAGGGAAGTGGCCAAGTTGACCAGGTCAGGGTAAAGGGCTTGACCTCGCAGAGTCAGACTGGCGTTCACCACAGCCTGTAGAAACGAAACTGCTTCAGGGTGCCGATCCTGTTGCATTAGAAACTGTCCTGTAATAAAATTAAACCAGACAAAATTTAAAATAGCTCCCGAGTGCTCTATATCAAAAATATTAATTGCAAATTGTAATAAAATAATTGACATTTTTAATAAATTGAGTATTCAGAAAACGCACTTAGTGAGTTTTGTGGCATCGTAATTAAGTAGGAGAAGAAGCCGAGATAATAAAATGTCAACTAAAATTTAAAACTTCCGAAATCAAAAAGACACCATCCGCTGCGAGCCTATATAATATTATAATTTCCCTTATAATCACGCAAATACTAATAAATTTAGAAATTTTTAGCAACTATAAATAGAAAATTTATAAATTTTTTGATCAAGTAATGATATGAATATTATTTTTGAAGGAACTTTTGCATTGAAAATAAATTAATTTTGTTTTGGCTCAATTATTAGCGACCAACGCAAGCTAATTGCGATTGCACGTCGCCCTGAGCAAACTAGAGACGGCTGGATCAATTAGCCTTCGCGCGTGCGACAGAGGGTGGGTCGGGGCTACGCAAGGGGCTGCGTTCGACAAACACATTTGTAATTCAATCCGCCGGCAGCAGCAAACAAATCCTCGCATTACTAGTGCATCGCTAATCCGTCGCTGGCGCCTGCGAGAGTAGCAAGTTATGCAACTCGCAGCACGCGGCTGCTGCGAGCAGTGCCTATGCAAGAGAGAAAAAATTGCAGTGCAGATAATTAGGAGACGCACTTGTGCTCGTTATGGGGTAGCAGCCACCAGTCGCGTGCAAGATTAATCTCCAATCGTCATAAAATATCATAACGAGTGAGAGAAAGAGAGACCGAGCACAAACATTAATCAGCAGTGTGTGCATTGCGAATTATTAATTCCACCGAAGCGGGGAAAATATTGTATGGGGTGCGTCTTTGGAGTGGACCTCTTGTAATTGGCAGTGAAGAAGCAGTGCGCTCGTAGTGTCTTTTGAAAGATTGATGCGGTGTTTATAACAATGGCAAATTGGTTGATATTTTTTACAAAAAATAAATAAAAATAAAATGGCCAATAATTTTTAGTTAACTTAAATTGGTGTGAAAAATGTTAATTTTTGTAAACTGTTAAAAATTTGTTTTAAAATCATTTAAATTATTAATTTATATTTGAAATTATAAGTATGAGTTATTAAAACTTGAAACATTTAAATACTGTCTTATTTTTTAATATTTTATAGTTATTAAAACCATTTTATTGTAGAAGATATTTTATTACCGTTTTGTGTTTTATTTAATTTTTATAAATTGTTATAAAATAAATATTAAATAAGCACATGTTTGTGTGTGATACGTTGAAAGCAAATAATTGCTATCTTGTCTCTCAGATTGCAGCTATTGTTGTTAATACTTACAATATTACAATTTTATAAAAAAAAAAAAAATACTCGGGTGCGTCCAGGAAAGATTTGAGGGTAAATGTTAAAAATTTTTCTTGAAAACATGCCATTCCAATTTTCAAGTATGTTGTTGGGGTGGTCAAGAGGCCTCGCTCACCAAATTTTCAAGTCAAAATAAGGGGTGCTTTTCCGGGAAATCAGATTTTTCCAAAAACAAAAAATATGAAATATCTTTGCTCCTATTGAGAAATTATTAATGATCTTTTCACTTCCAGACGTAACTTTTTACGCCCGACAACTTTTCTGTTGACAACTTTTGCGTACGTCAAAGGTCAAGGTCACTAAATTGCAAATTTCACTTTCTGACGCAATTTTCGCAAAGAAGCACCCCTCAGAAATTTTTCGCAGTATAGGAAAAAATGTAGCCCCAAGTGTGTAGAACAACATTCTTGATTTCCAGAATGGCATTATTTTTAGTTTTTTAATTAATTTTAAATGAATATTAAAAAACTGTGAAAAATCGCTTTTCCGCAATAGAAAGTAATTTTCAAACAGCGATAACTCATTTTCTGTTAGAGATACGCAAAAATGTTATAGAACAAAAAGGATTTTTTTTTGACTTTTTGCATCCAGCCATGTATTGTTTATACAGGTCAGGTCACTTGGGGTCATTGACCTCGGTGACCTGTGACCTCTAAAAATAATTTGTGGGAAATGAGCTTATTAAAACCATTCCATAAAATAGTTCTTCTTAACTATGTGCCAAATATTCAGTAAACTGCTCTTTAAGGTCACAGGTCACTGAGGTCAATGACCCCAAGTGATCTGACCTGTATAAACTATACATGGCTGGATGCAAAAAGTCAAAAAAAATACTTTTTGTTCTATAACATTTTTGCGTATCTCTAACAGAAAATGAGTTATCGCTGTTTGAAAATTACTTTCTATTGCGGAAAAGCGATTTTTCACTGTTTTTTAATATTCATTTAAAATTAATTAAAAAACTAAAAATAATGCCATTCTGGAAATCAAGAATGTTGTTCTACACACTTGGGGCTACATTTTTTCCTATACTGCGAAAAATTTCTGAGGGGTGCTTCTTTGCGAAAATTGCGTCAGAAAGTGAAATTTGCAATTTAGTGACCTTGACCTTTGACGTACGCAAAAGTTGTCAACAGAAAAGTTGTCGGGCGTAAAAAGTTACGTCTGGAAGTGAAAAGATCATTAATAATTTCTCAATAGGAGCAAAGATATTTCATATTTTTTGTTTTTGGAAAAATCTGATTTCCCGGAAAAGCACCCCTTATTTTGACTTGGAAATTTGGTGAGCGAGGCCTCTTGACCACCCCAACAACATACTTGAAAATTGGAATGGCATGTTTTCAAGAAAAATTTTTAACATTTACCCTCAAATCTTTCCTGGACGCACCCACTCCATAGTAGTTAAGCGTTAAGTTTAAATTAGCTTAAATAAAGTCACCTGCGCATTGCAAAATAAATGTGCTACAAGCTGAAGATATCAACCAAATTTCCGCTCCTGCATGCACAACCCATGTGGGCACTGCGTCGGTCCATCTAATTACATCCCCCTCGCGCAGTCTGTGCACAATTACTCAGCTAAGACCCCATATTATGTTGTCCAGCAACAGGGGAGCCTCTCGGCGGGCCAATAGCATAAATTCGGCTTGGGGCTACTGCTTTTGTTTTGTTATAGTTTGATGCCGTACAAAAACTACTATGTGTACTTATCGACGCAATAACGCTCTGTATTCCTACCATAAAAGCACTCTTTTCACTCACCGTAGTGGCGAAGAACGTTGGCGTCGTGCGGGGCCAGGTGCAGCGCCCTCCGGTACCAAGACTCAGCCTCGTGCGAGCGGCTTTTCTGCCAAACAGGAAGTCGAGTGTGTCCGATAGAGTAATTATCTAATTGCGTGCCGGATGTGAGGGTTCATTCATTGCACTCTCAAGCAACAGATGCACTTTTCCTGCTGGAGGTGATACATATATTTTTTACCACCCCGGAAAGTGATCGTGCAATTTTTTTCAACGGGAGGGATGAAATTGGAAAATATCGATTTCGGCTGGCAAATACGGGGGTGGAGGGAAAAAAATAGCTTATGTGTACTTAATGCTTCATTCGCTTTGTGGATTGCTTCCTGGGCAGAATGACAGAGACAATATTTGCTCTGCGGGCTACCCAAGATGGTTTCGCCCGACTTTTCCCATTTTTAAGGAACGGGAGAAAGAAATGACTTTTTCACTTTTTTCCGATTGCCAATTCCGTCGAATATGATCTTTTTAATGAAAAAAGGTACTCACGTTTGTCGCCAAGATCTTGCCGTAGTTCAGATGCGCAGGAATGTGGTCTGGTTTGGACGCCAGTGAAGCTCGCAGCCACGGCTCCGCCTCTGCGTGTTGTCCAAGTCGACCGTAAGTCTCTCCCAGCAAATTATAAATGCTCTGAAAGCAAAAAAAAAAAAAAAAAAAAATTTATAAAGGTTTACTATTGATACATGCAATTTCACGTTAGTTATGATTATTAATTCTGAGAATCTTTGGTTTAAAACTATAAACAAATAGTTTTTTATTAGTTTATTCAACTATGTTTAAATCTAATAAATTGTAGAATGAAAACAAAATCATTCTTAGTTTTGCGTGATTTTTTCAGTTTAATTAATCCGATTCCTCACAATTAACTGTAATAATTTAAATACAATTTTTGATTTTACATAATTAAATTTAATTTTTAATGGCTACAATTGTCTACAAAGCAAGGAAAGTATCAGGAATGAGGAATAAATTAAAAAAAAAATGGAACAACAAATAAAAATGTGTAGGAGAAAAGGATATAAAAAAGCTTTGAATCTACAAAGTGTTCTGCCAACACAAACCACGCACAACTCCGCAGGGAATGGAAACGTGCTAATTTCGGTGCTCACCTGTGGCTGATAGTGGTCGGGCCTTTGGTCTTTGGCCTGCAACAAGTAGATAAGTGCGTGCTGCGGCTGCTCGTGCTCCAGAAAGTGCCTGCCCAAGTGAAAAAGGGCCGAAATCCTGGCGCTCTCGTGAGATTTGGGGTCCTTGAGGCCCTGGCCGTCCGAATTTGCCGCCCGCAAGAATGCCTGCCTCGCCTCGACCGGTCTTTTCGCCTGCCCCAAAGCAACGCCAAGGCTCACGTGGGCGGCTAATCAAATAAAAAGAAAGGGTTACAAGGTTCCCGTTTTAGATTAGAGTAATTTGCGATGGTTAGATACCTGCCAGTCTCGGCCGGAAGAAAATCGCGTTTTGAAAACTTGATATCGCCTCGTCCAGTCTTTGCTGATTCAACAGTAACAGGCCCCTGATAAAAATGCACATTGTAAACTTACTAATTTGAATTTATTTTTTAATACATTTATTTTATTTTATTTTATTTCATACTCTTAATTTCCTATCGATTGGTATAATTTTTGAATAAGCTTTAAAGAAAATCCTTAATAATAAACCTCTTAACTTAAAGTTTTATTATATTCAATTTGTATTCCGTTGTCAATCATTATCATGAAGCGTTACTCTATAGATTGATGCAAATAAATTTCTGATTCTTGATCTGTCGCGCTTAATTGATTTCAATTTAAATTTGCAATATTTAATTTTAAAAATTTGATAATATCAATAATTTAAAAGTGCCAATTTAAAAAAAAAATTAATTTTAAAAATGAGATCTAAAAATTTGTATTTTAAAAAATGGTCGATATTCCACATATTATGTATAAAAAAAATTTAACTCACAAGTTGTAGTGAACATCTGCCATATTAGGTCTGAATTCCAGGGCCCTTCGATAGCAGAACTCGGCTTCGGCAAGTCTCCCCTTGGAACTGAGGACGCTCCCCAAATTTCCATAGGCTGCGGAGAAAATCAATTACACTTACGTGCTACAACAATCACACAATCAATCAAAGAACCTTTTGGCGGGTTGACTGCGACGCCAGATCGGTAAAGGGCCTCCTCGTCGCGCCAGTCGGCGTTTCTGCTCCACGTGCGCGCCGTCAGCGACAGCAGCAGACAAATCGCGAGCAGCGTCGCCGCGCGTCTGCATTTTTTACTCAATTCGCCCGCGCCGATCGCAGTCAATAAGCACAGGCCGACTGAGGGCGCGTAGAGGGTCCTTTCAGCCACCACGAAACCCACGTAGCCGACCGCGTTTGAGACGGGCAGATAGGTGAGAATGACAAAAGCCGCCGACGTCAAGATGCCTCTCGATTTTTTGCTCTCGAAACCGAATCTGACATCAAAGAAATAAATAATATAAAACCTTCATTCGACAATTGTTATTCAAATAATTAATATTTCAAATTTTGACTTCAAGGTTTCAAGAAGGGCTCATTATGTTCCCGCTATGCCTCATCTACAGCAATGTAATATTTTTTTACAGATTTTTACAAATTCTACTAATAAAAGTGGAGTCAAATGAACAACTTTTTTCTAATTTTTTCCAAATTAATTTTTATAAAATCGAACTATCACTTTTTTAGGGAAGGTAATTTTAACTTGTGAATCATAATGCCACAAATTATAAAAAAAAATTCATATCAAGAGACTTTGATTTAATTTTTGCCTGATAATTTTGAAAAATTTTATTTATAATTATTAAATGTAGCATACGACCCCTTCAACGTGATGATATGCAGAGAAATTTTGACCATGTTCATAGTTTCTTGAATATAAAGTATTGCCAACGATTTTTGCATTATTTTTATTACCTCGTGAGAATGAGAGTGGCCAGGAGGATGTAAAAGATGAGAGACAAAACGTTTCTCTGATCGCAAAGTCGCGTGACCAAAGGAATGGCGTCCATGGACCAGTCGAAGCTCAACACCGTCGGAAGCAGGAAAAGCTTCAAGTTTATCACAGGGAGGTGCAGAAACGTCATCAGACGGGTTGAAAAAGAGGCAGAGTGGGCCGCTGGGTTGTCAGCCGACGCGAAATTCGGCAAGGTGGCGCCCATCACGGAAATCCTGAACGCCAACTGGACGAAAAAGGCGGCCGAAAGTGTCACCAAAGTTTTGTCCTTAAAATTATCTTTGAAACTTCTTCTCTGGAGAAACACGGAGGCAGCACACAAGGGCAAGGTCATCAAGCCCTGTTCCTTGAAAAGCAGGGCGAACCCTGAAAATAAGACGGTGGCGGAAAGGTGTCCTCGGTGGAAGGAGAGGAGGGCGAGGAGGAGAAAAGCGGTGGCGCCGAGTTCGGCGCGTCCGACCAGACCGGCGACGGCCTCGCAGTGCACCGGATGCACGGCGAACAGCAACCCGGCCAGAAGGGTGGTTTTTGGCGGCAGGTGCAGGGTGGTCGAGGCCCACAGGGGCAGCAGGGCGCTGACGAGGGCGTGCAGGAGGACGTTGGTCGCATGGTAGCCGACGGGCTTGAGGCCGCCGAGAAGGTAGTTGAGGCGGAAGGTGAGGATGGTGAGCGGCCGGTACGACTTGTGCGAGCCGCTGTGGTGCATTGGGGTGCCCCAGAAGTCGTTGATGAACAGGTTGGTGACGGGTGACGAAGGGCGGATGTCATTGTTGGACAGGATGGCGCGGCTGAAACAAATTTAGCTTATATATTATGTGTTTTTGAACCTTTTAAAAAAAGTTCTAATTAAAAAAATATCTTGATTAATTTTTCAAGTTGTTTTGTCTTTTTGAATTTGCTCTCGTTTTGTGGATGCTTCAAATTTAATAAATTTGATAGGTAAATGAAGCAGAGAAGTATTTTTACTTATTTCTTTCCTTCATCAGTGCAGGAATAAATTCCTAAAAATCCATTATTTGGATTAAACTTTTGAACATAAAATATATTAGATAATATTAGAATTATAAACTCTTGTTTAAGAAATTAAAACAATGCTTTATATGATGCATTGACTGTTTTAATTTACTATTAAAACTGCGACTTTATTTCAAACAAAATACAAATACACTCTTTTTTACTTTTTATAATGATTATATTACAATATAAGTAATTTTTTGCAATAAGATATTATTAAATTTAATATTTTATTCAAAAACTCAATATATTTAAATCGCAACAATAAATATATAATTTTTATATTTAATAATTTTGTGTTATGAATCTGCTTTACATTAATTGAGAGTAATTATTAAATTATCGAAGGTTTCAAATATTTCGTTGATTTATTAAATCTTGGTCGCAACACATTCCTTGTAGTAATTGAAAATATTGATAGATAAATTGTAAAATTTAATTTTTTTTCTTTTTGGGTATCTCTTAACAATGAATGTCATTTAAAGTGTAAAAATTTGAGAAGAAAAAATAAATTAACGTTGTTAAAAAACAATGCAAAAAAAATTCCAGGTGATTTTGGATTAGACCAAATGTCTGAAGTGAATTTCTATTTATAATTAGATAGTAAAATTAGGATAAGAATTTAGAAGTAATAACCAATAAGAGAGACAGAGAGGAAAAAACTAATAGAGGAAAGTTGAGATAACAAAATTCCACTCAATCAGTTTAATTCTATTACTGAAAAAAGACATTCTTCTAAATTACCTGCCAATTTTCTTTTAATTTTGTGTTGCTTTGCCTCAAGCAACAAAGTCAATCTAATAAATTCCCTGTCCAGCTGAAAGCATTTATGACTCTGGCTATATCTTTGCAGCCACGGAGATTGCATTCCTCCACACGTTTCTGCTCTCCATGGATTATTTATATCAGCTTGCTCTAGTCGGAAAATAAGTCACCCCCGGGGGTGTATCACAGAAAAGAAGCTGCACTGCCTTCCTGCCGGGATTTGCACATTGTCCCTCCGGCATGGCAGCCAATAATTTAGCCCGCAGCCTGCGCAACAAGATTACGTCTCGCTGGATCTCGCAGTGCGGAGATAATGCAAAAGTGTGTGCACATCTTTCGCTTCCAGCCTTCGATATATAACAAAACTGGCTTAAATTTACACAGACGCCTTTTTTCCAATAAAAGAGGGATTTTCTTCTTTCTTTGGTGCCGAGTTGCCGACGGAAATAAGTGCCCTCCCTCTTTTTATCACTTTGCATGACAAAGACCAGTGCATTACCGACGCGCGCATAACCGTGTGTTTGCGTATGCATTATTGCATTACCGCCGCCTGCTTTCAAAACGAAAGGAAAAGAAAAAGTGGGGACCAGTGGAAAAATGATCAATTGCTGCAGTTCGTCGGTCGCGGCGTATATTTTTGTTCCTTGTTCCTTCGTCTCTGTGCGTGTGTGTGTGTATATTTATTTAGCGTTCCATCCATAACGCGTGCTGTCATTCACAGAAATATTGTTTTCTACAGAGGGGTCGAAGGCAGAGGGTGACTTGTTCCTTTCTTCGTCTTTAATAGAATTTATTTTTTGCGTTGCATTATTTTGTATATTAAATAATGTAAAATACAATACAATTAATTTAATACAATTATTTCAATAAATGTATATAAATACATTTTAATATTTCTATAATTTTCATACTTAACTTAAAAATCAACTACATTTCTTGGTTTGAAAATATATGATTCACACAAGGAAAGTTAATAATAATTTTTTTAATAAAATAATTTTAATTTTCAAACTTAATATTTAATCTGTAAGCTATGAAGTAAAAATTTGCGATAATTTTATTTCTGATTGCCCTGGGCCAATCTGGGCCAATCTTTATCATATTTGGTATACATTTTTTTTCTAATTTAGATCAGATTTTGCAAGAAAATTATGTAATTTAATGGAATATCATAGTGCGAGTTAGAAAACTTCAGATAGATATACAGTTACTTGGAAAATAAACAGGAAGCAATCAATTTAAATGAAAGTTAAAAACAAATATAATTTATTTACGTATTAAAAATTAATTTTAATAGTTTTTTTGTATTTCTCTAGTAAAAAAATCTCTAGCATAAAAAACACATGAAAATTACAATTTGTTAAATTATTAGAAAGTATTCAAATTTAAAATTTAGTTCTTTTCAGGTGAGAGCACTTTTTTTAAAAATGGCCTAAAATTTTGTTACTAAATAAATGATACAGCTAATTTTTCATTTCAATTTTTATACTAAAGACAAAAATAAAAGTTCATTTTCAATCTACAATGCTCCTCTGTTGATATCGTAATGAAATTTCATTTTTTTTCTTATTAAAAGAGCGTAGTTCAGACTGATTTAATATGTGAATCTATTACAAAAAAAGCCAAATTTTGAATTATATTTCCCCACCAAATAGAACTTATTGACATTTTTCTTTTCTCTCATATTTTAGGGAAATCGAGCGTAAGTGATTTCAAAGGAAAAGAGAGCTCAATTCTTCGCAGTTCCTGTTTCGCACCTCGCACGCACCATTAATCAGAGTATTTACAGCCCGCACGCAGTTTTTCCACGCTTCATTCCCCTAGCTGCCTGCAATCTCTGGCTTTCTTCTTCGATACACACTGTCTGTGTACGCGGCGTGTGTGATTGTGGTCGAAGAAGCGGAAGGAAGCCGAGTGCAATAAAATTGGCCATATTTATCCATTAGGGCGCGCGTGTGTGGGTGGTGATGTCACCCGCGGGAGATTTCCGCCTCCGTCCGAAGAAGGGCGATTTTGCTTGTCAGCTCAAGCGTGACTCCAGACCAAAGTGAATATTTATCAAGCGTGAAACAGCATCGGACGAATTGCAGACAAAAACAAGCTGGGGATCGTTTGCTGCATTCACGCGCTATTAATTCGCAATCGTCTTGATTAAATTCATCGCTGCATTGCTTCCTGGCCAAATTCGATTAAATTGTGCTGTGATTGTGATTTGTAATTTGATTAGAAAGCATGTCGCTCCCGTGGTTATAAAATTGATTTAGATGTTTCAATTAAAACTATATTAAAGCGTTTAGATTAAAATGCCTGTTTTTGGATTTTTTCTATAATAAATATTTAAAGTCTATTCAAAGAATTCCTAAAAATAGAATTGGAAATTTTTATATTTAAAATTTATTTCTATGATCGTGTGTACTCTTTCAGCTTTTATTTTAGTGACAATTATTTTTTTAATCTTGAAGAATGAATTATTTTTTTATTTTTGATTGGCTGAAATTTTTCCTTCTTTTTATTTTGTTTTAAAGGGAGTTTTCTAAAATAAAAAACTCGCTATGGATTTGAAAGATTTAATCCCATGACAAATTTGAAATAAAAATTCCATTTAAATTGTTTAAATAAAGTTCACTCTGTGGAAATATTAATTTATTATATGCGTTTTGCCCTTCTGTTCTGTGCAAATTCAATGATTTTGTATGTAAATATGCTCTATTTAAGCAGAAGTTTGTTTTAAAAAGTTAATTAGTCTTAAAATTACGATATGATTTAAAGGTTAATCAAGATATATCGGTTAATTGCAGGAACACATTAAGCAAACTTAGCAAAACTCAAGTCTTAAAATGAAAACTTAACAATGTCATAAATTATTTGTGTAACGATTTAACTTTTTTTTAGAGTATAATTTTATACTAAATATTAAAAGTTTTCATTAACTTTTGAACTTATTAAAATTTAAGATTTAAAACATTGGGACCCTTAAAAAAGTTAAATAATTTGTAATCTTTGAATAGTTATTGTCTTTTGGAAAGGCGATGAAATGGAAAAATGACATCTCACGAACTAAAAGACTCTTGGGCGTCTTTTGTGCGATAAAAAATGTTCAACCCTCGCTTTTTGGCAATGTCCGCCAATTTGGGCTGATAGCTGGGGCGCGAAAGTAGACGGGCGATAAAATGAACAAACGTCAGCTACCTTAATGACACATACATTCGCCATGAAAAATGCACGCGGCTTTTATCAGGCCGCACAAAAGAAAGGTGAGCCACAAAAGCTGGCGCGCCTCTGATAAAACGCCCCTGATGAGACTCGCTAAAAAACGACGCTTTGGCATATATTTTGGCCTATCTTCGCCCCAAATATTATTTTATTATCACCCCCGACCCGCGGCATATTTTGCGTGTCAGCACCTCAATATTTGTGCCCATCAATCAGCGGATCATCGTGCAGTGTATTATTAAAAGGGAAGACGCAGAAACAAGAAAAGTATACCTAGAGATGATTTTTCGAGGCCGTGACCCGAATCGACTTTCGCAGGCGCCAAAATGAAGTTATTAGACGAGCCATCCATCAAGTCAGACTCCCGAATTTTTTCCCAGAGATAATGTAAACGTGGGAATTCGCTCGAGTGAAATAAATTATTTTTAAGAAGGAAAGGAAGCGAGACGGAAAATTCGTTTAGTTTAAATTTAAACTATTAACCGCCCACGCAGATGACGCACAACTGGCCGTTTGTATCAATTTAGTTAATTAATTGTTCTCTTGTGTGTGACGTTATTACACGCCTGGGTGTGTTGGCTGGCAACGATAAGAGAAAGAATGGGACAACTTATAAGCTTTTGAGTATGTTCTAAAAAGTGATTTAACACACGTTGTTCTAAAACGAGCAAATTGTTTTCAACATTAATTCATAAAATTCTCAGGAGAAGGTTCTCTTTATAGTCGCAATTTTATAATAAATTAGCAACAATGAATACATATGAATTAAAAAAGGTTCAATATAATAGACCTCCAAACTCAAGTGGATTGAATATTTTTTCTTCTGCTCAAAGACGCTCAAAATCGTGGAAGTTGAAATTAAAATTGACTGAATTAATAACTTCGACCTTCTAATTTTGCAGAAAATTGCTTACAACAGACCAAAATTCTCAAAACATTTTGATAAAAAAAAATTATAGAATACATATTATTGTTTTCTATTTAAAACCAGTTTATAAGCTTCTTTAAACAAGAAGTTTATGAAAAATTTAAGTATAAAAGAGTGAAATATTAAAATCACCTAAATACACAAAAAAGCTAAAAAAAAAAAACATATCATTAATTCTGGAAGCACAGCCCAAAAAAATTAGTTAACCAAACTCAATCATTATTTTACAAAGAAATCTTAACTTAAATTCAGAGGTCTAATTATTAATCATCATCATCATTAAATGAGAAAATCTACTAACAAGAGAATTTGATCGCAGCCATCTTACCTATTACCTTTCATGGATTATTTGCATTGTTAGACTGTTTTTTCATTTGAATTTCAGTAATTCATATACATAAACTTAAATGTACAGTCATTATAAGAATAAAAATATCCCTCCCAAACATATCCTTTAAATTAAAAATAACATTTTTTAAACAAATAAAAAATAATCAAAATATAAAAAGTATAAAACTTAAAAAGAAATATAAATAAATATAAAAGTTATTTATAAATATTCTTACTTGTCATCGTAGACAAAGCCTGCGTTCAGGGTGTTCAGGTAGACGAGGGTGGCTGCCAGGGCGCACACCCCGCACACGATCCACATCTTTGTCACGCGGGTTGCCGCATCTGGAGGCTCCGAGTGAGCCTCTGCTCTGCGCGCCGGCTGCTGCTAGACTAGCCAGCCGTGGTGTAAAGTTTGTCTGCCGAGCGAGAGACCAACTGCGCGCTTCACCCTTCTGCGTGTGTCGTCGGCCGCCCCTCACACGGCGTGGGGTGCGTCGAGTTTTGGGGGCTGATTGGCCACACAAAGTACAAAGTGGCAGCAGTTCTGTTGCAATGGATATAGAAACCCCCTCGTCATTACTTGCATTAAAAATTTATAGGACAGCAACTGCACCCCCGAACTATGAGCAGCTTTTGTAATATTATGCGCGCGTATTAATTATGGCCAGATAATATTTTACAATGCGGTGCTCGACAAGAGAGTTCAATATGGCTGAACGCATAAATTTTTTCAAATAGTCAAAAAGAAGTTTAGGGGGGGATGAGATTTCCATTATTATTAAAAGTATTTTCACCCTGGAGATTAATTTTTCCTTTTCATAAACTTTGGTAGAGATAAAGTAAGCTTTTGTTTATATATTATTATTATTATTTATTCTTCTCGGTCAATACAAAATTTTAAATTGGAAAAAAGAGAAGAAAGGGTTTACAACTAGCAGATGTCTGCTAAAACGCCCGACATCAAAAGAGACACGGCCGCCGCGGTAAACCCACACTATCGGAAAAAAAAAGAACGATATTTAATATTGTTTAAAATTTAATAAATATGATTTTTTTACAGGACTTTTTTGAATGAAATATTTTGAATTTTAAGTTCTAGTCTCTAATAATATCTTACAGTTTTAAGTTTCAATATAATTTATTTGGAATTAGGTGCTAATATAAATTGTTTAGAAAAAGTTTACTTACAATAAAATTAACTCATCCAAATTTTTAATTCATTTTGAAATCCTTGCTAGACATTTTTTTAAATGAAATAAACAAAATTACATTTTTACATAAATAGTTGATCATTTTTATTTAATTAAAAAAATGCTAACATTATACAAAATAATCTTGGAATCACAGCACGGAAGTAAGAAGAGAGTCAGTCACACCGCCACGGAAAACTCTGTTCTCGGCCGCAAAAGCTCATCAGCCATCAGCACTTGCACCACTTTGGAACTCCTGCGGCTTTCCATAGGACTTGGCCTGTCCGGTTTGGCAGCGATTGGCAAACAAAGGTAGCCGACAAAGGCGGCCAGCAACATCGAAAAGCCCAGGGCGGCGCCGCAGTAGATGAATCCGTTCTGCAACGGCGGCACCACCTTCAGGCACAAGTTCAACATCCACTGAAGCGTTGATGGAATTTCTTCAAATGTCTGAAATTAATGAGATTTTTAATTTAAATCCAATGCAATCAATATAAAATTACCAGATCAGTCCAAACAATTGGAAGAATCATGTCTCCAAAAGGAGCAATTCGCTTCACAAATCTGTTCTTTTTCAGCACCAGATTTGTCTGGATTCGCATGTGGCCACCAACTGGAATGCCAAGTTGCTAGAAATTTGTAAAAACAAAATTAGAATTGATGGATATTTAGTGTGATGACATGAAATCTACACAGATTGTTGCCCTTCATTCTTATTTTCAATTTATTTAAAAAAATTTGCAATGAAATCAAAATGAGTAAAAAAATTAAGTAAAATATTCTTAGTTGATTACCTGTTGGATGACAACGTAGGCTTGGTGCTTTTCTATGTCGGGGTTGAGCCCTTCGATTTTGTCTAGCAAGGATGGGTCGGCATGAAGGAAGTGTGGGAATGAAGCGGCGGCAGGAATTCCTGGAAAAATAAAACACCGAGAGGTGCTGAAACGTGTGGACACACTTTGAATCCTAAATTTAGTCTTGGTGGCCTTAACCCACTAGCCAATGTGACTTAATTAACAAGTACCTTCAACACGAAACAAAACAAAAAACAACCCAAATAAAAATACCGAAAAATAGATTTCAGCTAAAAATCTAATTAATTATTTCACTTATTGCTTGTAACATATATTAAAAATTTCACAATTGGTGTACCAATGTGAGAATTATTGTAAATTATTTAATTGTTTAAAATACAATTTATTTATTTATATATAAAGCATAATTTCATTAACGAGATCATCAATGAAAAACTTTGTGAGCTATTTTTTTTTTATCAAATTTGAGTTCAAGTGAAAAATTTATAAAACTATTAGAAACCCGATTTTTTTTATTTTTTTTTATTCAATCTTCCAAAATTAACCATTAATTTAATCAATTTGTTGCATGCTCAATCATTTATTAATTAAAAATGCATAAAGAGAGTAAATTCAAATATAATTTTATAAGTTTAAAAAAAATTAAATCGTTAAACTCTTAGAAAACTTGATAATTAAAAAAATATTTAATATAATTTATTAAGCGTTGAAATTTTTATTTCTCTAATGAAATTCTCACATACCATAGTAACAGTCTTGGATGTCCGAGAGTCCGTCCTTAAGGGCGCACTTCTGGTCGGGGCTTTTGCGGCCGCAATGGCAAGAATGCTCTTGGTTTTGGCTGGCGTTGAAGGCCTGCGCCGGGATGACGAAACGGAGGCCACCGGGATTGCCGTTGACGTTTCCGGCGGGTTCCTCCTTTTCGAACTGGATGGCGAGCGTGCGGCAGAAACCCTTTCGGTACACCTGCAGCGTCTTATTGCGCGACACGTTGCGTTGGAATAGGACGCCCTCGGACACGCCGCGCAGGGGCTCGTCGCACATGCCGCTCCGGTTGAGCGAGTGCAGCATTGATTGGCCGTTGTATGTGTCAATGTTTAACGTCGTCGTGTTCATCGTCACGTTGTCAAAACCGGCGTCAAACATCTGCATCAAGAAGGATTTTTTTAAATTAATTTTTGTAGAATTATCAAGCTGTGGTGTAAAAAAAGGATGAACATATTATTTAAATAGAAGAATAGGCTATTAAATGAAATCATTGTTGTTAGAAAAGTGAGTGTGGCATGTGTAACAAAAGAACCCAATAGTTTGACGGAGGTCGTTTCATATATTGAGGAAAATCTTTTTATTAACTTCGTCGTAGTGGGATTTTCCCAGCAGTTAGATTTGCAATTAGAAAAGTGAGGTCACTTCAGATTTATATTTTGTAGAGACGCACTATGCCACAGCTTGTAACAAAGCAAGTAAAAAAATTCCAACGCCTTTCCTGTACTAATGCTGCAATAATTGCATGAAACAATAATACATGATTTCAACAAAGCATAATTTAAACAAAAGTAGGAAACCCCAAAAATCTCAGTACATCGATTTTTTTTTGTTAGATGCGTTCAAATGAAAGCTTGAAATATTAATTAAAGTAAAACAGAAGCAATTCAATAATATTAATACTCTGTGCAGAATAATCACAAATTTAATCTAGAAAACATTTCATTACCCTTTCTGCTCATTTTTCCAATTCAATTTTCATATGTATGACTTGAGTAGAATAAACAAACAACGTTAAAATGTGGATCTCATAACTGTCATACTTTTAAAATTTTCTTAAGCCCAACATTAAGGTATTAATTTAATTAAATTAAAATTTATTTTAGGGATATCTGAATTAAAATCAAGCATCATCAAATTCAAAATCTAAGCAATGAAAAAGTACAAAAATATATAGTTTTCCGTTACAATTTTGAGCAAACAAATAACAATAATTTAATATTTATGAATTTAATTTTTTTTTTCAAAAATTTAAAAAAAAAATTGATTTTAAGAATTTTATTAAACAGACGTGGAAGATGATTTGCAAATATCACTGATTTATTTAAGATAAAAATTGTGGTTCCAGTTGCATTTTGAATTTTAAACTGTCTATCTTCTACAGCAAATAATTCATAGCAGGTGTATTTTCCCATCCCTTACAAATAACAGATATATCTGGAACTCTGCAAATTTCTGACTCTTATAATTTGATCATTTTTCCCTTAAGTATCGCCCAATTGGCGTAATTACTTATCCCAAATAAACCATGAAAATTAAACTAATTGTAAAAGAAAATAACTTTAAAAATTCAATTATCATGCCTTTTAAAGACTGAACTAGGAATTCATGAGTTAATTATTTTAAATCATTTACCCGGTCCAAAAGTCCAAGTTGTTTGAAAGTGACTTCATCTGAATAAGCGATGCTGGCCAGTCGGACGATGGGATCTTCGTAGCCCCACAAATACTGTTTCACCGTCACTTGCTCAAATGGTTGCGAGTCGACGTAGTTGACCAAAGTAGAAAATCCAACCTGCATGAAAAACGACTGGTCCGCAAGTCTCGATGCAACGCCCTAAAAGAACATATTTTTTAAGTCTTAATCAAAACAAATTTCCTGCTTACAAGTAGAGGAATGTTTGGGACGACGAGTTTGTCCTCAAGGCCGCGGCCCTGCGAGGTGTCCAGCACCAGTTTATCAGTCATCAGCGGAAAGCGCTTTGGGACGTAACTCATCGTACCATTCAGGTTGAACCTGACGTGCTCGTGCTCGAGGACCTCTCTGAATAAATTAAAACCATAATTAGTTAAGAAGAACAACACAGGGATAATTTTTTTTATAAAAAAATTTCCTAAAATTTAAAATTTATACAGAATTAAGAATGCTACACTTCTTAATTTGAAAATAATGTATACACAAAAATATGGTCTATGGCAATCAATGATAGGAAGGTTTCAGTGTCGTGGAATTATAGCAAGTAAAACCAAATAGTAAAACCTTTTAATTTGAAATATCATTGCGCAGTAAAATTTTGATTATGATTTTTTATTACATTATTTTGTATTACAAGCAAGCAAATAGGTTAAATAAATTTAAAGTAATTTGTCTATTTCCTTCGGACAGAACTTAAAATTCGAAACGTCCATATCTGAATGAGTATACTGTGAATGATTCATTTTTCATTTTATTGGCACGCTTTCAAATATACTTTACAGAAAATTGTTTCAATTCAATTGAAATGCAAATCAACAATTTACAAATAATTTTATGTCAATTTTATTTTATTTTTTATGTTTTAAAATAAAGTAAAATTTTAAATCATAGAACCAGAAAAAATTAAAAATGTGAATAATAATTGTTATAAAATTTAAATAAATTGTTATGCCATTTATTCTTTACAACTTGTAGCACAAAAAATTAACAACAAGGGAACATAGGTGGGCGAATCTCACTCAGTTTTAATTTTTCATGAAATCTACCTTGAGTGTATCATTCAACTTTCAGCATGTCAATAGTATATTATCAAAATCGTCCTACCAATTTTATAATGAAAATTAAATAAAACTTCAGCTGAAATCACACTAGATTTTGCAATTTTTTTAAATTCATAAATCAAATTCAAGGTGACTTGAACTAGTGCAATTTCCCCAATTTATTCTCCCCATATTTAAAAGTGTTCCACTGTCCAGCTGTCTGTGTGTCACGGATTTCGTGTTGTGACGGGCAGTTAGTGTGGCCGGTAAGGAATGCGCACGTCTCGCATCATTACGTGTGTTTTTTTTATTGTATTCTCTTACAAACATAGAGCGCTCAATGACGCAAATAGCAAAACGCTCCCCCATTGAAGAGCGCACACTCATATGAGTGCCGCTAATTCGCACCTCGCCTTGAGTCACCACTTTGCGTGTACGTTGTGCCCACGCGAAAATAAAAAAAAGTACGCACATTGCATTGTGCCGCTTATTTGCATGACTCGGTTTTTCCTTTTCACCGCGCAACGGCCGTAAAAGAAAACACTAAAGTGCGAATTTGACTGAGAAGACGTTTTCGTCCTTGTAAGTATTGTGCAATTTGAAAATCATTATAATAAAGAAGATATTGACGCGCAGTGCGATTTGTTTTTATCAGAGAGAGGATGCTGCACTGGATAAAGGGAGTGCGAGGCAATTGTGAATTAAAATTAATTGACACGATGACACTGTTGAGAGCGGGGATCAAACGGCGCGACACAACAACATGTAAAGTGAGCCGTACACAAAACATCTTCTGCCAATGCTGAGAACGCAAAGCATACCGCAGACGCAACTCAACAATGAGACTTGTTAATGAATTTCAGAATAGATGAACTTGGCCCTTGACATTCTGTTTTGGCTCATTGTCTGCATGTTGCATTAATTTGAAGGCAAGGAAACAATTTTTTAAGGCGCGGCGCTAAATAACTATTTGACAGAAACACTAAACATAAACAACAAAAGATATTTGCAACAGTTTTTCTTTTTAAAAAGTCAATTCATCATTCAATTTTTTTCTTTTCAAAATTTTAATTTATGTTATAAAAAAAAATAATTATTACCACTGATTTTTTTTTTTACTTCTGAATTATTCTTCTGTCTTTTGATGTATTTGCACAACTGGGCTATTTTGAAATATTTTTATTTAATTTATGCTATATCTGCTTAGGAGTGGTATCTTGATAATTTCTCTAAATTTATTCTGATTTGTTCAAAAAACAGGGTAATTTTATAATTTGTGTTATTTATTGTAATTAATTCGCACAACAAGATAATTTTAAAAAATTTGTGGGATTAAAAACGTGTTGATGGAAAAAATTTGATAATTATATTTGTTTTCTTTGTCATTAAACTATAATGATTCTAAAATTGTCTCTGCAATTATAAATGCCTTGAAATAGTAATTTTGAAAAATTTAATTAAAATAAACCGTCAAAATCGATCAAAGATTAATTCAGGATTAAATGCAATAATTTGAAATATGTGAATATTTTATTTGAGATGTAATGTTTGAATCTCCCTTGTGCAAATAAATTTGTTTCATAATTTAATTTTTTTCCAACCTCTGCATTAGCATAATTAAATTAGAAACTTTCAATTAATTCAGCTTTGAACTTCAGCGCAAAGAAAGAGCTTCATTTATGTTTTGTCATTGAAAAGTCTTGTTAAAGAGCTGTCATGAAATGACAAGATGTGTAATGAGAACGCCCCAACGGAATATCATATTGTATTGCATGCATTTTTTTAACATTTTATTTTTTAATGCGACTGGATGATTGTGCTTATTGCATTGACTGGGAAAACCAAAAGTCAATAATTGTGTCCCTTCATTTTTTTTTTTTTTTTGCATTTTTTGCATACCTGTAGACGTAGGGTCCGACTTGCTCAAGCTTCAGCTTGACGCCTCCCTTGAGAAACTCGTCGGCGTTGGTCACGTTGAAAATGTAGACCTTCAGAAAAACTGGCACCGGCGGCTTCAGCCACAACTTGAAGATGAACGAACCCTCGGACATGGTCAGGACCTGCGGCATAATTATTATCATTGCATTGGCGCGGTCACCTTTGAAAAACGCACACATTGTGCTACAATGTGCTGAAAAAGAAAGAAATTTAAAATCGTGATTTAGCATTTGATCGTTTGAAAGCTTGGGCAACGCCAAGTGCAAAGACAAAGAGACCTGCAGAGTCATCGCCATAGTGACGCAAATCTCGCAACTCGTATAATCAAATTTGGTTTTGGAAAAACACAGATGTGATTTTGCACATTCTTTGCTTTTATACTCACGTAATTGACGACCGCGTTGAGCGGGTCTGAGAGGTAGGTGACATAGGAAAACATCACTAGGGTGATTCCAAGCGTCGTTAGCCACATCAGAACTGTAAAAACAAAATTCTAGTTGAAGATAAAAACAACCATCTTGAACAATCAAAATTTTGTTTTAAACATTCCAATTAAAAGTTTGAAAAAAAAAACTGGAACATAATTATCTTTAAAAAAATAATAAATACGTGTATAATGACAGGTTACTAGATTCCACACTTTTTGCCACTAGGTTTAATTGTTCAGCTCATTGTAAAATGTAATAATTGCTCGTCGGAATATAATTCAACTACCAAGGGCGGCGCCTCTTGGGTAATTAGCTGGTAAAAATAATATAAAGCAGCTACAGAAATCTTGAGTTAATTTTATATCTCAATACCACCACGTGCCCTCAATCTCATAGTCAGAGCGCATTTTTTTAGTTAAATTATACACAAGTCGAGTTCACATGTATAGAGAGAACAATGTCTCTGCAAGTAAGACACAGAGCAATAATTTCACTCTCCACATAACTTGCATGTATATCAATAGGCATTCAATCATCTCACTTGAGAAGCAAAAGTAGTTTTACTTGTTTCAATATAAAAGAGTGCAATGGGTGAGTTTCTCTGATGTATTAACTCGCCACTGAATATTTCTGGCACTCGCCGCGCTATAGCGTTGGTGTAGGTCAGTCTTGTACAAACCGACGAGATTTGAGAAAAATTAATTGCCACTCATACTAAGAAAATTTGATCGATTCGTCAATTTTCATCACAGAACAAAGAGCCAAAAGAGCATTGCTGCTTATCAAATTACTACGGACGTTTTAGCAGACATCTGCTAGTTGTAAACCCTTTCTTCTCTTTTTTTCCCACTTTAAAAAGTTTTGTATTGACCGAGAAGAATAAATAAATAATAATAATAATACTTTCATTTTCCAAAATCAAATAAATAGATTATAAATTAAAATAATTAAATTTCAACCACGCATGTTAATAACAAGATTAAAATCAAGGTGAAAAGTGCCGCTTGTAAGGAATCCCGTGGTTTGGCCTACAAAGTTTCATTATCTCTTACTGATAAATTTATAAAAGTTTTTAACAATGGGTTGGAAATTTGCCCCCTTCTCTTTAACCAAACACTCTGCTGATTAACCTTTTTGCTGATTGATAAAAGAAATTGGTATATGAATTAAAAAAAACCCAATCAATTTCGCGATTAGTATATAAAAAGACAGCTATCAAAAATTATTGCGTTTTTTAGCAGTCTCAAAATGAAGCTGTTCGCTGTCTTTGCTAATGTAGCTGCACTTTTTGGTAGATTAAAAACATTTCTATTTATTTTGAATTAAATTATGTGTACCAAACAAATTCTGCTGCTTAATAGTTAAATTAGTAAAAAAGAGAAATGAAACATCATAAAAAATATAGCCTCTTGCAGGCTTCTTTATTGAAATATTCTATTTTGGTGCTCATGGGGACAAAGTTTAAATCTTGCATCAGAAATTGATATTATGCAATATTTGCATACAGTTAAAAGTCAAGACATGGTTGAAAGTAACTTCTTAAAATTATTTACTTCAATGAAAAAAATTCAGATTTAGTTTTGTTTTTTTTTCATAATTCAAAACAAATTTCAACAATAGTTTTGGCCATTAATTATTATATTTTTCAGCTATTTCTTTGGCGGAGCTTCAAACTAGCAAGATTGTTGGAGGAGTGCCAGCCGAAGATGGTGAATTCCCAACACACGTAATTTAATTACTCATTTTTATTTTATTCTATACTTTGACGCAAATTTAAAGCTTTCTTTGCACTTGAACGACTCTCTGTATGGAGCCGCCAACATTCTCAGTGAGAAATTCGTTCTCACCGCTGCTCACTGCGTGATGGGGTAAAAATGAAATATCAAGGTGTAGAGTTTCAATCAAAATTCAAATATTTATAATTAGGTTAACGCCAGAAGAATTGAGTGTCAGATCCGGCAGCCTTTATTACGATCAGGGCCAACGCCACCAAGTGACGCGCATCATAATGCACGAGCTGTTCAATTTTACCGACTCTCTCATTCACGATATTGCCATCGTAGAGGTATAAAAATACAATCCTTTAATACTGAAACCCACGTTTCGTTATAAAATTATAGTGTCTAAAATTAAACACTGGGTGATATTTTACTGCACATTTGATTTATTTTACAATCAGATTGTGTGTAAATGATAAATAATTGGTCCATTTTTTTCTCCTCCTTCATTCAAATGTTTCATTTTGTCAAAAACAAATTAAAATTGTTAGATCGAATTAAAAAAAACGGAAGCATTTTTTTTACAAAATTATTAATTTAGAATTCCCAGACACTTTATTTTTAATCTCATACTTTGTATTTCTTAAAAAAATGACGCATTTTAGGTTGATCCACCCTTCACATATGGGCCCAACGTGCAACCCATCGTCCTTCCAGAGCAGGATTCCCAACCCGCTGCTGGCACCCCGGCCATAGTCATTGGTTGGGGAAGACTTTACGTAAAATTAAAATCCAAATTTAAATATCAAACGTGAAACATTGGCGTTTCAGTTTAATGGTCCAATAAGTGATGTGGTATTGAAAGTAGCAATCGAGGTTCGAGACCAAACAATCTGCGAAGCTGCCTACACTGAATTTAATTTGCCAATTTATCCGACCCATCTCTGCGCCGACGTGCCCCAGGGCGGACTTGGCTCTTGCAATGTTTGTATATCAAAAATGAATTTATTGCAAAAAATTAATTTTTTTTACAAAATTTAAAAGGGTGACAGCGGCGGTCCTCTTCTAGTGAACGGAACGGTTGTTGGATTAGTATCGTGGGCCAACAAGTGTGCCGAGCCGGGATACCCTACCGTTTACACAAGAGTGCCATCCTATGTGGATTGGATTACGCAGCACGCAGGAATCTAATCAAATTTTGGAGAACTAAAACTGTTTAAAATAAAAAGTAAATGAGACGTTGAATTTTTAAGGGAAAAAAATACAATATTGATTTCTTTCATTTAACTGGAACTTAAGGTGAATGTTATTTAAATAAAAACGTCAACGAGAAATATATAATGAAAAATAAGTTTCCTATCAGTTTGATTTGAACTGAAATTTATTATAGAGAATGAAATTCGAATTTAAAAGTAAAATACTGTAATAGTCAAAAGTAATTTTGCAGCGTTCAGGCTCATTAGAGATATTAGAGGGGTAACGTGCGATGTAAACATAAACACGTATGTAAATAATGGCCCCCAGCGAATGGTATTATAATAGAAAAAACCTTGCCCTATGATTTCCTTTTCGTTCGTTCCTGTTCCCAATTCAACTTTGTATATAATAGTGTTAAGGCCACATTGAATGGGTATTTTTACTGCTCGTAACGGGATTAAAAGTATCCTCCTTTGAGATTATTCCGGGATAAATGTTCATTTGAAATCATAAAATAGAAAGTTGGGAAAATCCGATGCCCTCCTATGACCCAATAATAGGAAACAAATGTGACAAAACTTGGCTTGTGACATTCTTAATCTCCAAAAAAGGTTCAGCAATGAAATAATCTTTTATAAAATTTATTTCCACACCAAAATTCTGGTGCATCTCTTCATCTTCATTTTAATAATGCAATGCCTATCAAAGTGAATGACATTGGGCCCTTGTAAATGTGTGGCGCAATGGAATTATGAATTATGTAACTGGTCGCGGCGAGGTGTGAACTCCATATCCACGGTCAATGTCAAGAAATTCTGTTCGCGGTTTTCGGCGATGCTCTGCACAATCAGCAGCGCGGCGCGTGTCCCGAATGCAGATTCGGCGTAGCCGATTGTGTTTTGCTTTGCTTTTTGTGGTCAAGGATTTGCTTAATTGTCTTCGTTGTGTCGCCGCGGGGAAATGGAATTTGCCTTGTTTTACGACTGGAATAAAAGTCCAGGGTTTGTGTTCAGATGCAATTTCCTAGTTGGATAAAAGATAAATTTGGAGTTTTTCCCAGATCTAAACTGCATTTTTTATATTTTACACAAAATGTAAAAGCCACGTCTTATTTTAATCATATCTAATGCCTATTAAAGGTTTTGTTTGGTGCTTTATTTTTAGTTACTTGACTATAAGTTTGACATTATAATTTACTATATATTGTAGAATTGATTTTATTTATATTTCTATTGAAAACTGACAAAGTGTGATGTTTAATAATAGTTTTTTTAAGATTTTTAACATGATTATACTGACACTGTGCTTGAAAAACTTGGTTTTAAAGACACCACTCTATACTAATTAGAACAGAAAAACACTCGCACACTAACAACAATATAAAATAGTTTTTATGTTTTATTTTCACAAAAGAGAATCTTTTTATAATAATCAAGTTATCATTTAAAACATTTAGTTTTACAAGTTATGCATTTCATTAGCAATACAGGAATAGAAATAATTCTTGTAACTTTGTGATTAATTTTTTTCATGCAACCTTGACTTATTTAAGGCGGCTGCTTTTCGTTCGCCCAAGCTTGAAGTTTCCTCTCATTCAAACAATCCGGTAGACGTTTTGGCAAACGACCAAATACTAAGCGAAGTGCTTGGGAGCGCCGGTTTGAAGGAAAGTGTTAAAATCTATGAGAGTCTGCGATTGTACAAAGAAACATAATATATTTGAAATTAAAAACTTCTAAATTCAAAGAATACATTATTTCAAAATTATCAATCTCTCAATTCACAATAAAATTAAATTAGAATGGCAATGAAAAAAATTGATGCTAGAGTTAAATTTAAATCGTCATCATCAATTCATATTTCATTATGATGAACAATACCTGCTCATCATCCCATTCCTCTCATTTTTCTCTAACCTTGGAGATTTTTTCTAGTATGTATACGAAGCAAGCAAGAGATACGCCACAAAGAAAAAATAAATAGAAAATTACCACCAACTCAACTCTTTTGATTGCTAAATAATCACGCCTCACTTATTCCCCTGATCCTTTCGTCCTGCACCGCAAAATTATTATTTCCAAAGAAATAATGAGCAATGCGTACGTATTTTAAATTAAGTGCATCGCCGAGAGAGCACAATTTTAATTTATTAATACTTTATATTATTATTACTATCTGCCAGCGGACAAATCATGAAAGTGTAAGAATATCTGCTTGGTTTGAACTTTTACTTCCAATGTCAAGCACAATAAAAGTGATCAAATGGCATACTCTATTAATCTAATCAGACTGCTGGCGCGCTTGTTATTTGTGCTGATTGCGAATGTCTTCGATAAATCTAAATGCACTTCTGTCGTGCGTAAATATCTTAACGCGCTGGCAGTGCCCTTTTCTTCTTCATCCTCGGATGACCTGCCCTTTCGGTGACCGCAGACAAAAGCTATAATCTCTTCCATATGCAAGATGTAACAAATAAAAGTCGATTGATACATATTAATTTTTATCAAAACGCGTCAGAATTTCGTCAGAGTGGATTTTCTTTAAGGTCACCACAAATTAAATTTAAAACGTAATTCCGATCAGGGCCGCAATAATTTAAAGTTGAAATTCCCGCCTCACTCGAAACTGAAAGTTTGAAATCGTTAGCATAAATTACCATGTTTTAAAAACCGCCCCAATGAATTCCAATGAAAACGAGTCGCTTTTTTACACTGCGATCTCGAGCAAAGCAGACGTGTAGCGTATATGGAACCACCGATCAAAACTGGACTTCCTCGTCAGAGACGAAGTATTTGCACCAAAAAGAAAATTAAACAAGAATGTGTGTACGTAAACTTGGCACGTAGGCCATCAGGTAAAAATGAACTCGGTCAACCTTGAATTGTTTTATTTAAACCCTGTTCAACTTTTTTTGCGCCCGCTTTAATTAGTTGCAGTTTGTAGTTGACCAACGGCAGGTATATCTAGACGACACAAACGGAATTTTTAAATTGTGCCAAAGTACGTCTGGTTGTTTATCAAAAAGTTGAACACTCTTTGGCACTTCCTTGTTTCTCGCAGGGTGGTGAACAACGCAGAAAAGCGACGTCCAAGGCAAACGCGAATTCGTACAATGCATCAGAAATTGAGAGAGAGACGCTCCGCCCTGTAAGTCTGAACAAGGCGCCATCGGCCTTCCAATTAACAACGTAAACATTACATGGTATTCGGGAAGAGGAAAATTTGCGTGCGAAAATAACTGAATAATATTCTTATAAGACAGACCTTACCGTATTGAGACAAAAAAACTGAGTAATTTAACACTCCGTTGTTAAAAAAAACTTCCTTATGGCAACACGCGTTGTCTCAAAGCTACTCCCAAAATATTTTATTGTTATAATAATTGTTTGATTGTGCCTTCCAGTTACATCAACTAAAATTATAAGAGATAATAATTATTATATCAGATTAAAAACTTATTCATTTCATGTTGTTTAATATTGACGCAAAATTGGCTGTATATGTTGTTGTATTTTGCAAATGGATAAGCTGTTTTTAAAGTAAATGAGTAAATTCATGCTAATGTGCATAATAAAAATAATGAATTAATTCAGTTTCAGGTTTATCCTAAATCCTAATTGAAATGCGTTTTTTCCTTATTTTTATTATAATTTAATAAGTGCTCCACTTCTTTTGGCCACTGCCTAGCCATACCCATTTCCTAAGAGACAAAATAGGTAAAAAAAAATTACTTACATTGAACATGATTAAAATTAATTAAGGAGCATCATACTCTGAAGTTAAAAAAGGCTCTTAATATATTAATTATTATGTAATATAAACAAATGAACATACCTAAATTTTCTTTTACGTTTTCTCGGGAAAGAAAGATGTGTAAATACAATAAAAAAATTATTAACTATACCTACAACTCTTAATTTTGCTTTAAACGATAGTTCTTTTATAAAGCGCCTACGTTGATTTTGTGCATTGAACTATATAATCAATTTTAACATTTTTATAAAACTCAAAATGAGCGTTTTTGCCCTGTAATTTTATAGGAGAATCGCGCGTGTGCTGGTTATAAATTTACAGCACAAATAATTACATAGGTTCTTGATGCCACACAAAAACTCGTGGTGCAAGGTCGTCGGAAAGGAGGCATAAAAATTGTAATTATTTGGAGCAAAAAGTCCATGCAGTCTCGGCCGACGCTGAAAGTGAAATTTGCGTCTGTTTGCGACACGCCAAGAGCCTGAATAACCACTTTCGATTTCCAGTTCACCGTGAACTTGAATCGGTCGCGTACGTCTCGTGAAACGAACGCACCTCTATCATCTCTTAATGCACACGTAGACAATAATTTAAAGTAACGGAGCCAAACAAGTGTGAAGTGAATTTATTTGCTCAAGTAGAAGTGCTTTTTCATGCCAAGCAGCACACACCACGTGCTTTTCACGCTTATCAGCGGCAAAAGCAGAGCCGACGATTTGATTGAACGCTTGCCAAAGGGAAAAGTGGTGCTAAAAATATACACTTGCACTCTGGGACGTCTACAATAGCCAATTCAAAGGGGTGTCCCCTCAGAGAATCAATTATTGGCAACTGTTAAAAACGACAACGAATGGTTTAAGTTTAGAAAAAACAAAAAAAAAATAATGTAATAGGATAAAGTCCTTTTTCTTAAATTACACCGCTTGACTAAGAATAAAAAACACACACACACACGTTTTAAAAATCATTAGAAGAAATATGATAAACTAATCCCTACTAAAATTAATATACTTTTCAATTAAATTCCTCCAGAGCATGATTCATATTACTTTTTTTTATTTAATCATTTGAAAAATGCATATTGTAATTAATAATCATAAATTTCCTTTCAAAAAATGTTGTAAAACTTTGTAAAAATTCGACATCAAATCTCAATTCAGATGCGTTAGAAAAAAATTATCATCCTTTTCTTTTTTTTATCATTTTCCTATATACCAAATGATAAGATTTACTTATATACTCAAAAATAAATTTGTTTATCTGCTGAAGATTCATTTGTCACACACAGTCAGTTAGACATGTTTTCATTCATTATATTATGGCCGTTTGTATTTAAAGAATGAAACCTTCACTGACGGGTCTATAATTATCAAAGATCGATGTTTTCTAGGTCAAAATATATAGTTTATTAACGTCACCAAAAGTGGATTTCTTGCTCTTTGACCTGCGGCGTTTGTTATTCAGTGGAAAGTTATCGATTATATAACTAAATACTCAGCTGATACATATATGAAAGTTTAAGAAACGCAAGTAAATAATTTTTTTCTCATCCATAAATGAAAATAAGTCGTTGGTGAGAGGATCAATCTCAGCGTCCATTCCCCCTGCGTATATGCATTTTTCATAATGTAATTACCTGACAAGACACGCAAACCAACACGCGTCTGTTACCTTCTCATGGGCGAATATCTTCACGGAAGAAAAAAGAAATAAACTCGTACGCGCAATAAATCTTTGTTAAAGAAGAATGAGGTAACCGTCTTGAAATCGAAAAACGTGCCACAGCTCAAGGACGTGCTGATTTTTTTTTGCAAGTCTGTATCTCCGCTCATTAATATCCATCAAACATCTTAAAACGAAACTATGAGAGACAGAATCGAGCAGGCACACGCCGATTGAATGGAAAGTGAGGAATTTATTAGAATATTTTTTATGAATAAAAAATATAGTATAGAGTTATTTATTTGTTGTTTGTTTATTCTACTCAAGTCATACATGACAAAATTGAATTGGAAAAAATGAGCAGAAAGGGTACCACAACTAGCAGAGCAGAGGTCTGCTAAAACGCCCGACATCATCATTGTATTTTAGATTCAATGTCAGGCAACTTTAGAATTGATCCATATCGATAAATTGAAAATAATAAGATAAGAGAGAGAGAAAATTTTCCAAATTTACCTCAAGAGGTGTGTATTTTTTTAAAGCAAACAATAAATTTAATAAGCAATTAGTCGTGATTGGTAATCAATTCCACATTCAATAACATTGAACTTGGAAACATAATTTCAATATCAGGGACATTAAAATAGTCACATAATTTAAAATTTTGCTCAAATACTCTGGAAAATTTTTATTTGCGAATATATACGCCTTTTACATTCAATTTCTACCTATTGAAAATAAAAATATAATTATAATTTAATTTACAATTGATTATGAATTAAAGTTTGACCAATCGAGCTTGAAATTTAAAATTTTCAATAACTAATTTATTCTTGAGTAATGCAATTTACTTAACCTTAGCGGTGGTTAGGTTGGAAAACCATCTTTTGAAAATAAAAAAATTAGGTGTGCAAGAAAACCTGGCGGAGCTAATTGACAAAATGTGTTAATTTAAGTCGTGCAACTTAGAAAATTTTTCGTCTAAACATGGAGAACACTAACTTGTTACTTTGTCGGTGACTAACGGCGTTCACCTCTTTTTTTTTCGTTCTTGAAAATTTTATTTTGGTGTCCTGTACACTCACAGGACTGCAAATTTTATATTAACAGTTTTGCCAATCTTATTGTAAACAAAGTCAAGAGGCCTGTGTTTGATCACGAAAGCAAAATATTAAATATCCGCAGCAGCCAAATTATCTCGCGTTCATGTGGGAAGTGGTTCGCAGTGCAACAGGTGCATGATAAAAAACGCAGGCCGGCTATGTTGCTATACCGCAAGAAGGTAGGAACTTTCGTCTTGTTTGGTTAAATAAGCAAGATCGTACACAAGGACACACACCGGCACCATAATTCACTTGCTGCACCAGACACGCAAATGAAAAATAATCATCCGCGTATTGGCATAAGGAGCGGCAGAATGAAATTTCAAACTTTTTTCTGAGGTTATTTTTATTCGCGTACAAGAGCTAATAAACGATGACCATATGAATTTTCGTTAGTGACAGATGCGTTTAGCAATAACGTGACTTGAAGAAAATGAGTTTAAATTGCGTCTGACTGAAAATTCAATTATCTTAAATTGACTGTATAAAAAGGCAAAAATAAAATATTTAATGTAACAGCGGTAGCTGTGAAAATTATGTCTTATGACGTTATTGGAATTAAATGCATTTAATGATGACTTTGGTAAATATTTAGAGGGCAAGTTCTAATCACTTACTTTTTGGAAACCATTGAATACAAGATTACTAATTGCAATAATATTCTTAGACCTAGATAATTATCATGTATGAGAAAATCATGACTAATTCATACTTTGTAGGCAAGTAATATAAGACATGATACTTAAAACATATAGAATTTAATAAATAAATTTAAAAATAAAAATCTGATTCAATAAATTTAAAGTAAACGTAAAAAAAAGTCGCTGCATTATTTTTATTTTATAAAATTCTTTTATTTCTTTAATTTTATTAAAACGATTTGATTAGATATCAAATAAATGTGTAGCGCTCACCAACTGTCTAATATGATTTAATTTTCTCAAATTGATTGACGCGATATGGATTTGCTTGTATGAAATTTTTACAATTTTTATAGCAAAGACCAAAATATCTGGAAAAAATACCCTCTAAAAAAAATTTCAAACAATTTTAAGTACGATTTACAAAAATGAATTAATAATGGAGTGAAACACTTTCATTTATGATATAAAATCATATGAGATATCAATGATAATAAAATAAATTAGTAAGAAGAGACATACCTCGGAAGTAGGATCGGTCGGAGAGGGTCGGCATGGGCCTGTCGGGCCCATTGAGCGGCGCGATTTGTCGGTGCCAATCGCGGCACTTGGCGCACAAGCCGCAGCAGCAGCCAGGCTGCAGTGGCGACCGCATGCTGACTGGAGACACGGACTCGGAGGACGCGCGCGTCAGGACGACCACCGAAGCCCCCCGCCCGAGCATAAGTCGAGGGCGCCCCGTCACTCCGAGGACCATGCCTCTTCCCAGTACCAAGTAAGCTCTCTTTCACAAACAGGTGAGAGATGCAATTTGTTCTATTTTATCTTCACACCGAACAGAGAAAAATCTCGGTTGATGAAGAGAGGTGACGTCGTCGTCCCTTTTATTTCGGGCACCACTTGACTCTCGCGGCACCGGAGGTTAGACTGACTATGAGAGTCAACGAAGCGGCTGACTTTTGTATTAACGTGCCATTCTGTTGGCGGTGCGTGTGACAGAGGCCGCTTGCTCGCCGCTATAAATGCAATGCCGTATGTCAAATAATTTACGATTCGCAAAACGTGTTGTCCTAATTTATGAACAGCCCGTCCGATTTTGCGTCCAGGAGGTCTTTGCTTTTCATCGCAACGGGATGTTTTCCCAAAGGTAACTGTTAATTCATGTTTTATAATTATGTTTGTTACACCTCATTCATTTGCACCACTGGCCGATATTACTTAGCATTGAACACATCTCATGAAGCACACGTGCCAGAAGTTTTGCTGGTTCACAGGATAATATCATCATGAAACCGGATTTTGATTTTTTTTTTTCACAAATTATAATAGAAAATCCTTGTAAAGTTGTGTAATAATTCAAATTAATTATTTTAAGACTTCCTTCCAAATAAACGTGAAAAGCGGCTAATTAGTTGATTTCAAGGCTAATATTAATTATTGAAAACTGCGGCAAAGTCCCCACTAAAATTCAAAGGAAATTTTCTATATTACCCTTAATGACTATTCTCGATCAATCAGAATACGTTGTTACATTTCCACAACTTTTTTGTTCAAAATCTTCACTACTTTATAATCACGCATTCATCTTATTACCGCGACTGCTCAGACTGCCCTAGTGACGATAATTGCAGATAATTGTAGCGTAAAGACAAGACGATATTGAGTTTACTTACCTCCACTTACCTCTACACAATCTCGCATTTGATTTATCAGCAATTTTAATATAACTGATCTCATGTTGTATTTTTACCACTCTATGCAAATCGTATGATTTATTGAGATGCAACCGCAATGTAATAAAAAGTTATTCTTTCCTTTTTATTAACACGCCCAACAAGAGAGCGTCACTGCAGTACCTCTTACTTTATATTCTATATAAAATCTATCGCCGGAGAAATCGCCCTTGACACTTGAACTTGCCGCTGACACTACACTTATGTTGATGCATTTTTAACTAAATATATACGCATCTTTTCCGTATATTATGTGAATAATTGCACTTGCACGTGCAGCATCCACTCCATCATAAATCTTGAGCACGTTTTGAAACCCTTTCGTTCGTTACGTCAATTGCAGTTAAAAAAAATATATAGATAATAGATATTCTAACGCGTCTTTTGCGTTCAGGAAGTAGAGGCACGAGAGGTATGGTGTTTTTTATAGGTTTGATGGATCGCAATGTGTTGGCTCATATGTGTAAGTGTGCGACAAGTGCAAAGGTGCTTTCAAGTGCCTCCAGTGCATTTGGATAAAAAGAGTGAGCGATGCTATCTAATTAAAATAGCACTACCGATGTTTCACAAGATAAACAAAGGGATATATGGGGCCATTAGATCGCAGATTAAGGGCATTGTGATTAAATCTCATTTTAATTATTAACACAAACAGATCAGTATTATAGTTCGCTTACAATTAATTAAATTGCATATGAATTTTAGATTTTGTAATAAAATATATTTTTGCTTGGTTGTTAAATACGTACGAATTTGAAAAACCTTGTTTGAAAACGCAAAATCTAATATTTTATGACAAAATCAAGCTAAATTCTTGGTTATTGGAAGTGATTTAGAGCATTATTTATTGTGCAGGATGCTCAAGGTTGTCAAATAATAAGTATTACAAATTTTTCCTTGCGGCGGCGCACTTTTTATAATTTGAGGTTCTAGAACATACTATGGACTTTCTCTGCACCCTAGGCGTTGATAATATTTTGCATATTGAGCTCGGTGCCATTTTTAATAAGCATTTTCAATTGCATTAGAGGAGGAGTAAAGTTTGTAACACAAAAAATGTGTTCCAAGCCGCTTTTTCTATCCCTCATTCTGGAGTTAACAGCTTTTTAAAGTATTAGTGGAGCCTCATGTCAAGGAACCTGATTGGGGTTTCTCTTCGTCTCAATTATCTTGTATGTTGATGTATACATTGCGATAAATCGTCTTAATTTCTAAATATTATTTACCTTAGATATATGAATTTTGACATGAAGTACTTTTTTAATAATAAAAAAAAAAAAATAGTATAAATTTGGATTATTTAAGAAAAAAATTTGCAACAAATTATAATTTGCATTTCATTTCTAATTTGGTGCCTCTTAAACCTATAATAGAATGTATTTTATTAATTTAATTTTCTTTATGGGCAATTTTTCTTAGTAAAGTTTATAATCTATTAAAATGAGACTATAATAATTAGACACACTCTCAATAATTTTTGGATGCAGAAACAGACACTTTCCAACGCAAGTTTTAACCTTTTCCTTTTGTAAAAATCAAGGTCGCTTTACTCTTTAATTCTTTCACGGAACTAAGTGCCTTCTAAGCCAATAATTTTTATAAAATACAGTGTGGTATGCTAAACAATTTCTTTTGTTTTGTTCCTATCTTCTCGTGTGAAAAATCGCACAAAAATATAAAATTGCTTATAATAAATGCGCCCTATGAAACCAGGAAGCGAGTTGGTGCTTGTGGAATGCTTGTCAGTCTTCTCTAGCTCTACGCCCGATAAGACAGCTAGACATATTTCTTCATTGCACGATTTTCAAGATGAAATCCAACAATTCGGCCTTGAATAATCCTGGACCGGATTATGTGGAACGAATAGAGTTACACGACTCGATTGCCTATGTCATTGATTGCAGTTAGCTGCAATCGGCGTGCTGGGCAATAATATAAACAAATGCACTCTCCAATTACATGCATGTGCAACGAGTGTTCCACGTGCAGTGAACCCGTCCGTTCGTAAGAAGTTGTAAAAACTCCCAACGCAAGGTGACTTCAACATAATAAGCCGCGTAATGACTAATGAGGCAAAACCCCTGCCTGCGCGAAACGATCAAGTGACTCCGATCCAACCGAAGTGTGCGACCGACTACTGCACCACTGACGTCAAGCAACGCAATTATTTTTGAGATCATACGAAGCATGTATATTAACGGTGCGAGATTAGTAAGTTCTCCTTTAACAGTGTTAAAAGTCATGCTACACATCAAAAGGCAGATGCAAGAAATTTTATTCGTCAAAGTAACTTTTTCACATAATTATATATTGATGTTTTGCTAATGGAATTCCCTGTTGCCTCGAAGCAATCAAAAGAAAAATGACCTTAAACCTTCAGTTTTCCAACTTGCAACGTTTGCCTCGGAAGATAGATTCCCTCAGGGCATGAAAAAACAATCTTAGAAATCAAAATGATAAACGTTGGAATAAGGGTTTAAAAAATTATTTAATTTATTATTTTTGTTTTAACTTAAAAGTACAAATGTTCAATAAATTAGGTAATTTCAAAATACTGTTTTCCGAACAATAAATCTGGCATGATCACTTCATTAATAATTATTCTTCAAACACATCTTAGCGTTAGATGACTGCAAAGCAGCGTGCTTATCCTCATATAAAAATACATCATGTTTTGTTTCTTCTCCCGCGCTGTGTGAGCATTCCGGTTAATCAGTATTATTAAAAATATTAAGGCTGAACTCTCAATTTGCTTATGTACGTACAATCTCGCCCAAAACAAAGGCTAAAAGCACCCATAGAAGAGTTGCTGGGAAACAAGAATAAGCACAGGAACTGTGACGATTTCTCAAAAGACAGAAAAAACGGTCCAGAAATCTTGAGTACAAAAACAGTCACCATTGCCAAAATTGTTGTAAAAAGTGAACAATTCTTCACTAAAATAGGACAGCTCTTTGTGAGCATAACACAGAGAAAATTTTGTTTAAAAACTGCAGGCTAACAAATGATCAATAGGTTTTCTTTTTAACTCGCAGTTTACATATAATTCAACAAAGCACCCTAAAAGTTTCAAAACATTACCAAAACTACTTCCTATTGATCCAATTTTCTTTTTGGCACCTTTGGGCGTTAAAATTTTCAGATTTCTCTAAGAAGCGCGCGGACAATTACAAGGCCCTAGTAAATTCGGCAATCAAATCAGACCTGCCAGAGTTGTGGTCTGCAGTCTTTCAAGCGGTTTGTAAGTTGTACTTGATATTGCCCATTAGTAACAGCCGTCCATCCACTCCTGAGTTTTTGGAGCTCTGCAACACGAGCACAAAATCAAAATAAATTTAGCTCCGGAAATTTCCAAACACCCAAAAGTAAAGAGTAAATTTTTTGGAAAATAAAATAAAAATAAAATTACTTCGGGATATAACTTGAATTTGAGGAAGTTTGCAGAAACAAACTTACAGCCTGGTCCTAGGAGCCGGGATTCTTGAAATTCTTGAGACCCCCTGTGGCCGGGGAATACCGCTCTCGCCTGAACTGATCACGGGACGCACCAGGCACTGCGGCTTTATTAGAGACGACCCCCGAGATCTTCCGTTGAGCACCGGCCTGGCCAAACCGCTTACCTTCAAGGAAAATTTTAAATTCAATTGAAACGACTTGACTGTGGGAAGAACTGTTTGGAAGAAAGAAGTAAACATCTGGAAAATCATAAATGTAGTAATAAAGTGTCCTTTTGAAAATAAACAACTGACCGAAAACAAACAAAAATCAAACCATGCAAAACACAAAACAAAATAAACCAAACGGACATTGACTTGCCTTGACGAAGTCACAAGATATTAAAGTTGAACGAAACCGAACGAAACTGATGGAACTAAACTTGAAATTCCTTCTAGTTCAGTTTAAAGTTTAACAAAATAAATTTTTTCTTGGTTTAAATTTTAGTTGTTAAGTTAAACTATAAATTATGCTATATAAGTACCTACGAGTACCTAGTAAAATTTTATTTCAATTTTTTAGAAGGCTAGCTTATGAAATTGCTTTATTAATTGTAAGGCAAACTAAAAAATGTAATATTTGCAAAGTGATGAGTGTGCAAATTTAAGAGATTCAAGATGAAAGCAGTATTAAATTTTTATCAATTTGTGCAGCATTGTGCCGTCTTGACTCTTACCTCCACCCGTTGCTTAAGGAGCCTAGGCGGTCTGTCGAGGGTTTCGTTACTTCCAATAAGCATCCCATCTGGTTATTCAAAGTGCATTTAGACATGTTTCAACCACCATTAATTAATGACAATTAAAATTCACAATCTAATAAGTCGAATCGAACCAAGAAGTAAAAAAAAGCATGCCCTTTATACCTGGCACTTTAGTAAGGGCCTGATTTGAGCCGTATGGACTTCCGGAGGGACTGGAATGAAGTGAATCGCCAACCATCGAACTTCTGGAGCTATGATCAGATTGGAAGTCCTCGGTGCTACGGGTGATGGGGGAAGGCAAATCGGGTGACAGAACACGGCTCTCGATATGGTAGGGAGTTGAGCTGTACTTCAGACCTTGGGAAAAATTATAAATTTATTAATGAGTTTTGTAATATATTTACTATTTTTACTTTCTTCCTGCATTCTGGCAAGAGTCTTGACCTCTCCTGCTGTCAGGGCAGCTCTGTGGCTACTCGAGAAGCTCGAATCTGAGGCACTACTAATTTGATCTTCTTCTAGGTGATCATTATGGTGAGACTGCAAATGAAAGGTAAACCTCAGTCTCAAGTGTTGTTTTAGAAAGGAGATTTTAAAACATTCACACTTTTAAAATATTACTCTATTAAAAATTAACACCAAGAAGTTAAAGAAAAAAACACTCACAATTAGTTCAAAAGGTTCCTATTTGCATAGATTGTTTAAAAAATGAAAGGATAAATTTTATCGCTAATATAAAGTAGCATTTTTTTTACCTGATCTAAGTTAAAAGTCCTATTGAGTTGTGATTCGACACTTCTTCTCGGCAAACCCGATGGTGTCAACCTTCCGTTGGATAATCTGTCAGGCGTGCTCCTGCCCTCCGCCCTATGCAGTTGGAAAGTCGAGTCCAAATTGTGTCTGGGCAGGCTACTCTCCCGAGGCTGCAAATGAAATTGGAAACTTGTGTTAAGTGGCAAAACGAAACCCGGGGAGGGCAACTTGAGCCTATACCTGTCGACTATGCTGTTCCATCAACAGGTTTTCCTGAGAGGAATTTCTGCTACTGTTCATTGATTTGGCCACCGAGAGGGGAAGAAGGCGCTTTTTGGGCCGCGTGAATGTGCGAGTGTCGAACTGGCGCTGCTCTGTCAGTTCTGCAAACACAGAAATTGTAGATGTTACATTAATTTTTTATAATAATTATTCTCAAAAACGTTAAAACCGGCCAGTTCCTTTAATGGCAACATTTAAGTTCAAAGTTTCATTAATTTGTTGATAAAAACTCATTTTTGTTATGAATTTCTAGTTTTATAAATAAGTATAACTGCTAAAAAGTAAAAATATTAAATAAATCTATTAAAAAAGGTCCTTTCAAACAAGAATGGACAAAATCGCAATCGCACCAATTTTTGAAAAAGATGATCGCGATCGCAATCGCAAAAGGTGGTTGATCGCAGGCGATCATTTGCGATCAACGAAAGCAATTTTTATGCTTAATCTGGGCGAATTTAATGCTAAATCTGAAAGAAAAAATGTCAATTTCAGGTAATTTGACAGAGAAATTTCTTTAACTACGGCTTTTCATTTACGGAGTTCATTTTTGTTCGGACTCCTCGTTCTGAAACCAGAATTGATCAAAAACCGTTCGGAAATGTATATAAAAAAATTTATATATCGCAAATGATCGCAACGTTTCTGATCGCGATCTCAATCGCACGATTTTTCAATTTCATGATCGCAATCGCACAATTTTTATTTTTCAAGATCTCGATCGCAATCGCAATCACATAAATTTGAGATCGCGTCCATCCTTGCTCTCAAAACGCATGTAAATTAATTTTACAGAATCAAACTATATCAGTAAAAATTTTATCCCAGTGTCATATAATTAAGAAAAAACACGATCTTAAGATTTCAGTCAATATTTAAATATGATATCATCAATCTGTATTGAGAGTGGATCAATTTACGACTATCGCACCACTTTCCAATATTGGTATCAGGATTGACTGATAAAAGATAAAATGAACAGGGCGCTTGCTTTCATATTTATTATGAAGTACCATCATGAAGTTTACACCGCCTGATAAGCGGAAATGGGTGCGACTCCACCTAACAAAACGCCAAAAACTGCCAGGAAATTAAACTGGTGCCAGACCATAATTTGTGATTTAATCTTCCTGTCTCAAAATTAGGCACCCGTCGGTCTTTATGACCAGTTGGCGCCAATGAAAATTTGAAACAATTGGTACCAGAATTAGAAAGAATTTATGTTCCCTTTTTGGAAATTATTTTTTTTTTAACAAGCGTGGCCTTCTGGAAAAAATTATAATACAGGCCAATGTTATATATGAGGGCTTGCTTGCGTCACTTGATTGAGAGACAAAAAGAAGCCTTAGTGTAAGGTGGTTAATAAAAATAAATTTAATAATCTCGGTCATTGAAAGAGGCTCCCAGCAATAAACCCTAAATCAAGCAGCAGTTTTTGCAAAGTGTTAAATTCAACTCTGAATAAGGAAAAAAATGAAGGAAATAATAATAATATGCTTCAAATAAATACATCAAAATGATGATTTTTAGTTATTTATTTTCTTCTTCTTTTTACTTTCGCAGGAATTTAAAAATAAAAATCATCCACAGACCCAAAAACTGGCGTTCAAGAGGAGCCTTTCACTATAGCTGCAGAAGATTTAAGACTGCAGCAGTAAGACAAAACGCTTTGTGCCATAAATCGGTGTCAAGAGTGAACGTCCGAATGCTTCGAACGTTATTTTATGCATTTCAAGTTCCCATCGTAAAACAACGGACCCGTAAATAAAATATGCAATTAAAACAACATCCTCACGTTTGGGGGCAACGTCCTCGGCGTCGGCAGCGGCCGCGTTTCTCTGCAACTGCTGTTGTTCCCGATCCAGTTGTCTCCGAAGTTGCAGGAGCCACAGGTCAAGATCAGGGTCAGAGGCCGCGGCGTCGAATTGGGAGCTGCGGAACAGCCTGACGGACATGCGGAAAGAAAGAGAACATAACGGTGCGTGAGTCAACCTTCCTTATTTGTCTGCACAGTGACGTCATTGCAATTTTTTTATTTTGGTGCTCGTTTTCATGATTTATTTTGATACGCACCAGGTCTGTTCGGTGTCCGAACAGTCGTCGCCCAGGGCGACCAGGGAGTCGACCGAGGCACTCCGTCTGGCCGCCTGCATCTCGCCGAGGCCGCCACTCGGGCCGCCCTTCCGCAGCTCCTCGTTCTGGCGCTCCAGTTGTCGCACCATTTCCTGCAGCTTTTTCACCTCCTCGATGGGGTTCAGGATGGCCGTCGAGTCCATGGCGGCGTGATCACGAGTGAACAGGGTCTTCGGCACTCATCAGCAGCGGCGACGCAGGTCGATTGCTGCTTGGCTGCTGATGACAATGTAATTACTACGACGGTGCCTCTGTCTACGTCTCTTTGGGCGAAGGAAGGGAAATATGGCAATGGCACCACCCACCAGTAGCGCCGTTTTGCAGTTCTGCCAATCAGACGGAGTTTCAAGACCACACCCAACATTCATTTTTTCCTTTGGTTTACCAGTTTTTTAAGAGTTTTCAGCAAAATAATTAATTAAAACCATTTAATATATTTATTTACATGGATGTTTCGATTATAAGCAGTTCAGATTAAAAATTATTGCAGATTTCAGATTAAAATTAATAGAACGGAACTTTATTAAGTTGGTGCTAAATCTACAGCAGCTGAAAAGAAAAACATTCGCAAAATCGCGGATTATGTTATGTACATACATATGTACATAATACTGCTGTTTCAGTGCTATAGTGCTATTCATCAACTCACAACTGCAGTAAAAATAGTGAAATATAACTAGAAGGACTTTTAAATAGTGAGTGATAACGCTAGTATTTGAGGAACAGTAATTAATTAATATACGTAACAAGATCCAGACAAATCGCAGATGCATCATTGAGGAAAATGCTTAACGAGGTAAATGAAGTCTTTAATGACAAGTCACTGGACCAAGAGACCCCCATTGGAGTGCCCTTGACCGCCAAGTACAAGAGGTTAATATTTTTTCCCTCGCCTTAAATTGTTTATGTGTTATAAAATGATGTTTAATTTTAATTTTTATGAACAATGTTTTTACTAATTTCAGAAGTTTTGCTTACTTGACGATTAAGGACAGGCTTCCAGTCATTATCACCAAAATTGTAGACCATCTTTACAGAGACAAACAAAAGATTATTGAGCAGTTTGGAGAGGTATATGCTAAAAGCTGCCTTGCATATAGCAATAATTTAATATAATGAAAATTTAAAATACACAGGATGCTACTGAAGAGATAAAATCGCTAATTGGAAGCTTTTCCAAATTGAGAAACGAGCTTCAGACAAACAAACCTCTCTTGCCGATTGCAATTGGTGCCGATGCGAATTTGTGGAATTCTTGCATACAGGACTGCCGATGGTTTGACTCTCCCTGGCTGCTAGTCGAGTGCTACCTTTACCGGAGAATGAGGGACAACATTGCTCAAAGGTTTCGTTATTAACAAGCTTTAGAAGATTGTCAAAATAATTTAAAAATTTGTAGCCCAAGTCTGGTTGACTTTGACCAGTTTTTGGAGCAGAAGAAAAGTGGATTTGTTGCATCTGTTCCGGCCATGAGAGGACTGGAGGCCCATCTTAATCATTTAACTGCCAACCCACTTTCCGAGACTGTCAAGACAGAATTGATCCAGTTGTTTAAAGTACGTTTTTGCATCTTTTTGTTTCTAAGTCCCAGACTAATATTTTTGTTATGTTCTTAGGTCGCTCTATGGGGAAACAAATGTGACATGTCCTTGAGTGCTGGAGAACGCAGAGAGCAAATTGTTGACCCAATGAAGCAACTTGATTCTCTAGAGTCCAACATTTTGTGCAACCACTTGGAAAATGTTTGGGAGAAAATTTTAAAGCTCAAGGAAAATACCTTATCCGTCATTGGTAAATTAATTATTGAATCATGATTATTATATCTCAACTCAAATAACTTAATTAGACATTGTCTTGGACAACGCCGGTTTTGAATTATTCACCGACCTCTGCCTTGCCGACTTTCTTGTCAGTCACGAATTTGTATCTACTGTTCGTCTGCATGTGAAGAACATGCCATGGTTTGTCTCTGACGCCACCCCTGTGGATATTTTCTGGAGCCTTGAATACCTCGAACAGCACATGCCTGAGCTAGGGTCTCGTTGGCGCTCCCACTTCCATTCCGGCAAGTGGATTCTACATCCTAGTGCGAAGTCCTCATTTTGGACTCTACCACATGCTTTTGGAAAGATGCAAGAAGTAAGGATTTTTTTGTATTAATCCTGATCTTGTTAAATAATGGCTTTTCATCCGAACAGGTCGATCCTGAACTTTTCGAAGTACTCAACAACTCTGGTCTGGTCATTTTTAAAGGAGACTTAAACTATCGAAAACTAGTCGGCGACTTAAACTGGAGCCCTGAAACTGAACTGAAAGTTGCTTTGGAGGGGTGCCCAACTCCCCTACTTGCACTGAGAACCTTAAAGGCTGATGTTGTTGTTGGTTTGGAAAAATCTGTTGTGTCAAAAATGGAGGGTGACTGGATGGTCAGTGGTGAATATGCCGTCATGCAGTTGCTTGATAAATGATCCTCTGGTAATAAAAGGCTTGTTTGCTTTTCTTACTCGATCATGCTTAAACTTTTATTTCTTTTCATCAATGGAATGAACATTTCAGTTAACATAATTTTAGTAATGATGAAAATTATTTGTTCAAAAGAAGTCATGCAACTTGCAAAAACTAATGTACTGTCAATTAGCAGCTTGACAAAATGATAGGTTTATATTTTGGCAGGCAATCTAAAAACAAAAATATTTGAGGTATTACCATATAAGGGAGCTTATAATTCAATCAAGTTTTCCGTTCAGTACTTGTAATTGAACTTCATCTTCAGCAAGTACTCGATTTTGACCTGGGATTGGTCGTAAACGATGTATTCATTGTAGAGCAGAGAAGTCTGGTTGTTGTCAGCAGGTTTGGGCTTTCCCAAGGGAATCTTAGTTCCATGGGGGAGCTCGACAATTTGGGTAGGATCTGGGTGGGTTTTTCCAACACCCTTGACACTGTGGAAGGTCTTAGGCAGCTTGTCAATGAAGTCCGCTTGAGTGCGTTCTGCGATGTTACCCAAAGCCACGTCGCACAGTAGCAGCAAGCCATAGGGGTTGTTCTTCGAGGTGCAGCAGTAGTTGGCCGACTTGGAAACCATGTCGGCAAAGTAGATGCCTTTGCCAAACATGTAGCCGGTGACAGGTGCTTCAGGAGGCGCGATTCTCAGACCCTGCATTTAAAATTTATGATTACTCATAATTAATAAATAAATCAGATATTGTTACCTGAGAAAGAATTCCTGGGAAGTTTGTGATTCGAGATCCGTGCCAAAGAAGATGCCTGTTCTTCCACTTGTTCAGAACCTTGTGCCTCTTCTTCTCTTCGTGGCGTTCAACCTTGAATATCTCTTCAATGTCCAAAGAGTATTGCTGGTGGGTCTCGGCATGAGTGTTTCTGACGTAGGCCTGTAAATGACCAAATTCTTCGGATTCGCGGTCTAAAACACTGATGGATGTTTTCAGCTTTGAATACTGCAAGTCCAGAGGATGCAACACCTTCTCCTTCTCCATATCTTCTTCCTTGACCTTCATCAGGTTGTAAGCCACCTCAAGCTCCATGAGTGAGTTCAGCATTTCAAGTTTGTTCTGAAACAGAAATTCAAATGAAAATAAACTAGAAAATTTCATTTTTGTGATCATTATTAATTAAAAGTGATTAATTAATTAATTAGTGATGCAAATTATATTTAATTTGGTTCCATGTTTATACCTTGATCAACTCCTCATTATCCAGCAAAGGCAGAGCATCCAGACCAGCACTGTGAGGAATCATGGTGTAGAACTTGTTGCTCAAGGAAATGAGCTCGCTCTTGCTCATCTTCTTGTCTCCGTGAGCAGCCTCCTGCAGCTTGGCCAGCTCGGAGTAAGCCTCGCGAATCTGTCTTTGCGACAATTTGCCCAAAGGCATTTTTTCCAGGTCAAGTTCAAACTCGAGCATGGTCTCCCTCATGGCCTCGACGTTGAAGAGCAGCTTCATCAACTCCTGAACAGGCTGCTCCAGTTTTGACTGGATGACTCCGTCCTCCAGTTTGATCAACTTGTCCTGCTGGTCTTGGCCGAAGTCAATATCCTGCATAAAGTACTTACCAGGCCGCTTTTTGAAGCTGGCCCGGTTGCTCCACTCATTTCCAGTCTTCTCTTCGAATGTTTCCTCAAAGTCAAGAATGGCGATTTTAGGGTCGTTGAACTCTTCAAGTTTGTTCTTGCCAACACTTGTGCCAATGCGGCCCCAAGCTTTAAACACCCACCACTTGTTGCGGCGGTCAGACTCGACAATTTGGAGCTTATAGAAGGAATTCTTGCCAGTGGAAACATCACTGTTGCTCAAGACAGCTGTGTAGATGTCTTTTCCGTCTCTATAGACATGACCTTTTGACTCGAGGCCTGATTCAGGATCAACGTAGGCACCATTCTTCATTTGGATTTTAATCTTGCTCGAGCCTTGACTGGCATATCTGTCTGCCAAGCCTGAAATTTTATTAAAATATAATTGAAATTCTAATTTTTTTAGTGAAATGCATTAAACCAATTAATTTAAAATTAAAAGTACATTTGCTATTGCTATACAAATTGAACTATAATGATTAATGATCAATCCAACTCACTTCCACTTTTCTTCAATGATTTCTTAGCCTTCTCCTCTTCAGTTTCCTCAGGCGGCATGCGTTCCTTAGGCTGAAATTGTTATGAAAAAAAAATATACATTCCCAGATACTGAGAATTGGAAATTTCGTGTGTCTGAACCGTATCTGTCTCAAGCATTTAACTTTCTCTTGCAAGAGTCATCAGAGTTCACTTTTCATGTTGGGAGAGCAAGTGGTGAGAAATTAAAATTTTATAATTTTTCACGTATCTAGACTCCCTTTTCTGGAAATAAGATTTTCATGCTTACATCATTGCCCCATTTTGAAATTGACATCTTCAAGATCAGTTCAGGGATATCAATCTTGGCATTGTTGAGGACAGTTTCGAAGAACTCCTTGGGCACCACTTGGATCCCCATCTCTTCAGCATCTTCAATCTGCTTGCCTCCCTTCTCAATACATTCTGCAATGAAAAATTTATTGAAGAAAGGAATAAGCTACAAATTAAAAACAACCTTTGCTTGAAATGACAGCCATCGTCTTTTCAGATACCTTCGAAGCAGCCTTTGCGCCAAGACGAACAATCTGTTTCTTCATCTCGTCTTTCTCATTGCCCTTGCAAATATGGGTGTGAAGGACAAACTCCATGCGGTCAAGTGGTGGCTTGGGCTTCACTATGGTAGGACCAGTGGATGACGAGGATGGCACTGAGCGCTCATACTCCTGGATCAGTCGTTTGCCCACTTTTGATTTGTACTTTGCTCTGAAAAAATTGTACGATAGTTTAAAATAATTCAAATTTACGATATTTTAGAGCTCTTACAGGAATGGGATGTCTTCCCTGAAGGCCGAAGGCAATTTGAATTCCTTCCTCTCAGGATCCTTGGTTTTGTATGTGCATTTGGCCCATTCAGTCTCAGCGGAGCAATGGTATAAGCCGTTTCTAAAGTTAGCAGTGACTATTAAATATATTCTAGCTGACAGTGTTAAGCCAACCTGTAGTAGAGATCGCCTGTTTTGCACTCCGGGCACTTTTTTAAGGCTCCAAAAGTCATGACGTCTGTAAGAAGATCAAGCAGGCGCTCTTTTCCAGGAGGAATCTGTTGTTTGTTATGCTCCAAAAGGTCCTGCAGATTTTTTGGCTTCAAAGTTTCCAGTTGGTCCCTCAGCTTGAAAAGTTTCTTGCTCTGCTCTCTCATCTGGTCATCGGTGAACTCAGACTTGACCTTCTTTGAAGGTGGCTCGTCACCATTTTCTTCTTTTTTCACCCTTTATTTTAAAATCAAATTAAATTTACAAGAAAAAATATTTTTATTAATAACTCACGCCTGCATTGCTGGTATTTTCTTCTTCAGTTCATTCCTGTCATCTTGTTTCAAAGTATTAAATCCTGGAATTGCATCGACGCAGTCCCAAAACTCATTTTGGGCCCTGGTTTGGATGAAACAATCAACGTGGTACCAGCGTGGAAAACCTCCAAATCGGATGGCCTTTTCAGTTTCATAGTCCATTTTGGCAATCCTGATCTCATCCTTGACAATCTTCAGCTCGCAGCCGATGCAAACCGCACGACTGGATGCGGCATACTCACACTTGAAATCAGGCAGGTTCCTTTTGCCACTGCTCTTTCTCTTAGTGGTGGTTTTCTTGCTTTTCTTTCCACCTAAACAAAAAATTACCTTCAAAATTATCTCTAAAAGAAAATCAGAAATAGACATACTTGATGGCTCCTCACTTGCACTGCTGCCATTAGCTCTGTTCTCAACTCTCTCCCTGATGTAATCTTGGTCTTCAGGTCGAAGAGAGTCAAACTTGGCAATGTCCCCCAATGCCTTCGGCCTTTGCTTCTTGAAAAAGCAATCTTTGTGGTGCCAGAAAGGAACTTTGCCATCAAATGCAGAAGACTGAGAGTAAATAAAATCAGAAAATTAACATAAAAAATAAAATACATACAAAATTTGAGAAAGCAGTAATTTTGCATCAACAGCAAAATTAAATTGCGGAATAAAAAAAATTATATATATTTAATATGTGGTATTTTTATTTTTTACAGTTTAATATATGTAATATTATAAAAAATAAATATTAGAAGACTTCTAAGTATTAATTTTGTATGGGACGTGACATGACAACCACCCTGAATGGATGCCTCTCTCCCTCTGAAAAGTTGCCATGCGAGTTTTTTCTGGCTGCTTCTAATGATAAAAATGGCAGCTACATACTTTTGGCCATAGTAGCCCATGACCGAAAATTTTCAGTAGGTCATCCTCCAACACAGTTAATAGTTTTAAGCATAATTCTTCAACGGAAATAAAATGAGAAATCATCAACGGGGGAAATCTCGAGAGACTTACATTGTAAATTACTCTTTGCAATAATAGGAGGGATTCAAAATTTGATGTGTACCTGCGACATGAAGGCCAATCGCAAAACGCCGGACTCGATTTTCTGGCGACATACTCGGCAGTTCGCACGGTTACTCTTCGAATACTCGACTTTATACGGCAGATCTTCGTCCATGGTGTTTGATCTGTGGTCGATTTGTGTAATTCAAGTCGAAATTCGCGACAAAATCGGCGAAAAATAACGCAAATTTGTAAAGCACGTCTTCCCGCTAAATCGTTCCACCTACACCGGCCACCGGCCGACAGAAATCTAGTTTCAAAACTTTGACACCAGAGAGCACACGTAGTGCAAATGCGGGAAAATACGCGTTTTTAGGATGGTGACATATTTCCAAGAAGTATGTTATACTTCTTGCTTATTTCATGCGTTTGTTTGCTTCAGATTCAAGGATTTTAGCCGATTTTAGATTTGAATTTTACTTATATTTTAAATATAACCCCTGTTCAAACAGAGAAATTATAACAAAGCAATAATATATTATTTATTCTGATATCATATTTACCAACAATAAATCACAATTTGAATCGAAGAGGAAATTATTTTTGAAAAATGTTTAGCAAAACTAAAAATTTAATAGGACGAGAAGTGCAAGATAAGCTGTTAATTTTTATTACAAAGTTCGCAAGAATTTTGGACACCAATGTAGAATGTATAATAACGTTCATTCATGTATTACGCTTTTTAATTTAAAACTGGGCAGAAAGTCTCTCTATATCAATCATATCGTCCAAAATGTCATCAACTTTGGTGCCTATTTTTTTGGCAACATCCCACTTTTCACCAACTGGCAGATGAAGAAACTGCCACACCAATTCCCCATCAACAATTCCACGTGCTGCATTACCTAAAACTTTCGTTGTGTTTCGGAATGTCCTATAATTCAACAATTTTACTTTTATTCAATGGTTATCATACGAGTATTTACCTAAAAGCCTTCGGATTAAGACCAGCAACATGCTGCAGGTGGTTTACTAATACATTTTGCAACATAAGTAATCTTCTGTAAGTCTTCTCGGGCAACGGGAGTATGTATCCGAGACCACCATCAAGAGTTGCTATTTTTTTTTTTTTTTTTTTTTTTTTATAAATTACGCTTGGGATAAAATTTAAAATGAACAGCTTACCAAACATTGAAAGTTGGCGCTTGTCTGAACCAGCTGGCAACTTTCTCTCCACTGAGTATTCTGGCTGCCATCGACACCTTACTCTGAAAAAGGAATTGACGTGTTGACCGAGATGGAAATCACCCCTGCGAATCAATCGCTGACCTGGAAAAATAAAATATAGAAAGAAAAAAAAACAAGTTCTCTCATTTTTTACCTCCAAAGCTGTCTCTAGATTCAGGCTGGTACATGTAAAGAACTATGTTTTTTTCTCTGTCGGAGATGAGGAATCCCATTTGTGAATTGTCTACTAGAAACTCTGTGGAATATACTTCTGCTGGTTTGAAATCCTGAAAATATTTAATAAGTTGACATGGTTGAAGATCAAATGATAATTCTTACTTTGCTCACAAGAGAAAGTGTCCTGTACTCTTCTTGAAAGCGCAAAAGTGAGATTGACTTGTAGACGTCGGCAACCAAAATGAGACTGCTGATGCAGAACATTTGGTGAATGTAGACCTGAGTATCAATGAAGGCAATGCCAACCAGGTCATTGTCTTTCATTTGCCAGATGTAGATCTAAAATTTTTAGGTGAAGTTTTTGCATGCAACTCAAATGAAAAAAAAAACCTTTTGACCAACTGCAGATACTAAAAATCCACTGCAATGGGAAATAGCTGTGACCGGGCCTTTTTGTTCCTTGGAGTAGAGAGACTTAAATCTGTTTTTGGTCAGTGGCTGGCCTGGTTCAGGTACAACCTCGATGATGTCGAAGATCAAAATCTATAATAAATTCATATTGAAACTGATTAGTTAATTCTGAAATACTAAATTACCCTTCCTCTACTGGTTATGTCCTCTCCATAATTGTAATTGGTCCCAATTGCCACAAAACCTTTCAAGCCCGAATGAGAGCCTTCATCGGCAAGGCGAACATTTTTCAAGCATGTCACATGTTCCCATTCATCCAGTTCTGTTTTTGTATTTGGGATGACCTAAATAAAGGAAAAAAGTAGTCAATTATGTTTGGGCTATGTAGAAATCAATACCTCCCAGGAAACAGGAGAGAAAAGGAGTAAACTGAATCTGGGGACTGAAGGCAAGGGAAACCGTTCATTTCGTTTTTCTGCCGTCAATTCCTTGTCTTCTCCATTGAATCGGAAAATCTGGCTGGATGGTTCGGACGTGCTTGTGACAACACAGTACGTTTTACTTTCAAGATGGTACGCCACAAAGTGTGCGGTGCACCGCAGAGGTACTTTTCGACATGGCCAAGGGGCGTCATACGAAAGGTGTGTAGGCAAAACGCAGATTCGAAGCTCAGACTGCAAAGAGAGGTCACTGAAGTCAGTATTTTTCCTAATGAATTTAAAATTTATAAAATACCTTATTATTGAAATAGAGGAAGCCCTGTGAGCAATTGACATTGTGGAAAGGCGCAAAGCAGGGGATGGGCCCGTCGATGTGCATGGGGTGGGTTCTCAGCTCACCCCTGGCTGTGAGAAATACCCAGTGAGGAGAAACACCACAAACTAGAACTCCGTTGTAGCCAGCTATGTTTCGGAAATACCGCAGTTGGCAGATCACAGGATCAGTGGTCATCACACTCATTTCCGTGGTCTCTGCTGGTGCATCTGCTGCGTGCTTCTTTTTTGACCTAAGGAATAAATGCATGTCTTAGTTGTTTTGAATTTGAAAAGGAAATCTTTTTTTCAAATTTACTTTGGTTTGCGTTCCCTTGTGAAAACGTCGTGTGCCATTCTGCTGAAACGGATGGGCATAGGATGTCCTTTGGCGTAATAAAATGCCTGATAAAGGAGCAGTTCTTCATCGAGGCGCATCATTAAAAGTGGCCTAGACCCCAAATGGCCAAGTGGAGCTACCAGGAGCTCCCTAATGATCGAGATTGGCACTTCAGTATCTAATAAGCTCAATTCAGTATTAAGTTTTACAAAATATTTGTTTTTTAACTAGATGTCGAGGTGTTTGTTGCTAACGGAGCAATTTCCAGATTATCTACCAGAACCCTTGGGCCTGTTGAAACGTGCTTAGACAGGAAACAGAGATTGCAATCCGGCAATGAATAAATTTCTAGAGTTCCGTTCTCTCTGACCAGCAACAACCAAAAAGTAGGTTTTCTTTCTACTAAGTAATGCTGCCACCTAAAAAATAACGGAGTAAATTCATTTTTACATACAAAAGTAATTTGATTTACCAAAGTGTATTTTTCTTTGGAGCTTGAGGTTCAGGATCTGGAGCAGGTGGCTGCAGTACAATCGGCATGTCGGAATCGCCATAGAGCAGTTCGTCCTCATCGTCCACCTCTTTCTTAATTTCAAAAGCTGGAACCTCAGAATCTATTTGTTCCACCTCATCTTCCCCGTCTGCAAATGCCACGGCTCCACAGAACAGTCCACTCACATCTCGATAAGCGCAGATCGCAGTGACTTGGGGTCGCTGTAAAGAAAATCAGCTGATAAGAATTCAACTTTTTTGCACTTGTAACTCACATAAGAAATGCCGGGTTTGGAAACCGCAAGTCTTGTCATGGAAGGTTGTCTGGCCTCCTTTAAGGTTAGCAAAATCACCTGGCCGTCAGAGCAGAGCAACACAACGTAGGGATCGGCACAGGAAGCGTGGACGACTGGGGATCCAAGGTCCAAGGGGATGTGCTGCAGCAGGTCAACACCTAGCAACAACCTGACACCCATTTGACACACCTGCACTATGTACTTGTTGTTTCCCAGGTTGCCTGCGTAAACAGTAGGGCCTTGCGTGCTAAAGCCTGAACTGTCCACCTCATTGATCTCATGACCGGTTTGAAGAACGATTGAACTGTCAGTGCGGGAAAGAACAAGAAAGGCGTGCATAGGACCAGCGTCGACGCCATCTTCGCCGTCCTCCAATGTGATGGTCGTCTTTCCAGGTGCAGCTACTGTCCACATATCAGAGACACCTGGCAATTCAAACGTCGTCACCACTTGCGGCCGCACAGACCTTTGCAGAACGCAAAGAGCACCGTTTTTTCCGTGGCCGGCTGTTGTCAGTAGTTCCAAGTCTGGATTGGCTGAGGTGGAAAATTCTTCGGACAAGAACGCAGGCTCGCCAATTGAGATGTTTCCACAAGGTCCTATGTTGAGCAAGCTGTCGCAAACCTATGAAGAATAATAAGCAACTTGTGTTTTAGTCACATTTATATCTTTACCTCAAAAGAATAAGATGTGATCTGTACAGACGCTTTGTCCTCCTTTCCGTACACTTCAAGTTCTTCGGGATCCTTTAATTCGGCAACATTTGTTGCCATGCAGTCACCTTTTGAATGAAATATTTCATTTGAGAGGTCTGAAAAGGAAATTCATCTTACCTAAATTATCCAAGTGCTTCTTTTTCTTAGACGGAGGCTCTGAATCGTCTTGTTTGTCATTCACAATGACAACATCGTCATCTTCTTCATGTCCATTTACAGAAACAGATGGCACTTCATCTTTCTTGGTATACCTCAGAAGCAAGGAATTTCCTAATCTGGATCCTAGGAAGAGGTAGTTGTCCTCATAGAGAGTGATCTGCATGCATCAATATTATACACCGTAATTGATATTGTATATAAATTTCTTACACAAGTTGTGAGGACACTTGCAGCTGCCCTTTCAAAGTGGAAACCTCTCACACTTCTCATACTGTCTGCCATTAGAGAAACAACATACAATTCTCCACCGTGCAGTGATACTACTAATTTGTCATTTCCGATAAAACACGCTTGTGCAGAGTCAAAGCTCAAGTTCAACGACGTCTGCGTTTCTGCAAAAGTATATAAATTTTGATTTTATGAAGAAAACACAAAGAAGCCTACTGAGAAGGAAGTTCGTAGAGGTGTCAGCAATACAGTTGACTGCAACTCCGTAAGGTGGGACGCTCTGGTTTAAATACAAAATGGAATTGGTGGCCAAGATCAAAGTGCCTCCAAGGGGTTTCCGCACAGCCACTGCTTGCAGACAGTCGTGGGGCAGACCGGACACAGACCAAATGGTAGGGTGGACACGAGTGTTTAAACTTAAAGAGACAGCCACCATGCTGCATGTGTCTTTCCTCACTGCCAAGCGCCTGAAGAAATTATTTTTATATAATTGCTGTATTTTTAGATGTGATTTATCCTAACCCTGGAAACGTTTTTATGGGCTCAAAGAGAATGAGGATAGTGGGTTCATAATAGCCATGCAGGAATTGGACGTCAATTATGTTGTCCATCTTCTCGTCCAAATCTTTCAGAGCAATCGAATAGGATGCTAATACTGGAGATTTTGTATTAGCATTGGCTGCATTTGCAAGTTGCTGGGCTGTAGGTTTCACATCAACTGTGATAGAAGGCTGAAGAAGTTCTGCGTCTTCTGGGGATGGTTCTTTCCGAAACGGAAGGATAATAAGTTTCCGTCCGTACCCCAGCATCACAGCACACCTGCTCTCAGGGTCTACTCTAACATCAGGCAAACGGTGCTCCATGTGGGTCCATCCGCCCTAAAATTAAATTTCAATTATGTAAAAATTATATCTAAAAATAAATATTTTCATCAGACCCTCATATCATCGTCCTCAAAATAATGCAGGGAGAGGGTTCGCAGGTCATTCCTGTCTGGGTCGTACTCGACGAGGGACAGTTTTGCTTCTCTGAAGCTGATCAGCAGGGCGTCTCTGGCCGAACCAGACAGTGTGGCACTGGACAAAGAAACAACGTTGCCCCACAGGGTAAATGTCGCCAGGCACTCCAGCTTCATTTTCGGCGGCCGGTTTTCTGAGCAAAAGACGAGTTTTAGGTGGAAATTTATTAATTCATCGTGTCGATGTAAATTTACCTCCATATTTTTCTTTTTTGCGATGATCCACATCTGGTAGCAGACGAAATACTCTGAGCACATTGGCGCCGGCAACAACAAGAGACTTTTCGGTGCGGTTAAAAAAGTGGCACGAGATCGAGTGCTCTACCCCCGTTGGCGGATGCGTCTCTTTACAAAGCGAAAACATGTTTAGATACACAAATTCCAAGAATCTTAATCAATTAAAATCGATATTGCAGGCATAATTAGCAATTAAAGACACTTTTCTTGCAGCCTTTGCCTTTTGCGTTCCGCGGCTTGTGTACCGTAAAATGTAAAATCGTAAACAAATCAGTGAAGACACGCCCACATTGAGTGGCGCCAAAGTTCAGAAAGTTGAATTCTTTTAATCATTTTGACAGGCACGCGCTCTCATAATGCTGAGTCCTTTTGAGATTTTTTCTTTTCCAGTTTTGCATCGGTACAAAGCATCTGCATTTTCAAAAGCTGCATTTCTCAACGCTGTGATTTCCTTGCTAACTTATACTTTGCCACTTCTCCTTGCTTATCGCAGTTTCGGTATATGTAGTAAATTTATTCTAATTTTCTCATATATTTTTATATGTTCCAGATACAAGTTTATATAATTATTTTAAAATTGTCACACTTTATTCGCAGGGTTTTGGCTTAAGACGGATCAATTTGATGAGCAACCGTCTGTTCACTTCAAGCATCAATTTCTGTTTCTCGCCGACATCTCGGGAACACAAGGGCCAATATTCTGTGGCACATTTCCTTCCGTAGCCGGCCAATTTAACAGTCGAAAAAACAGATGCCCTCTTGTTAAGGTATTTAAATGCACTTCAATTGTATTAATTAAGGTGAAACTTTTTTAACTTCAGTCAAAAGAAATTGATTTTGATCATGATGGGAAAATAGACGAAATTCACTTTGATCTGGAAATTCTGCTAGACAATGACGAGGACATTTTTGGTACCACACTACTTCTGCTGCTTGACTACAAACTAAATGTATAATTATAATTTAAAATTTTGTTCCAAACAAAATTAAAAAATCATTTTCATGGCAAAATCAGGCGCTCTGTCATGTGAACATGGAAGGTGTAGGGCTAGTCCAATTTAATCACCCTGTAGCTGGAGGTGCACTTAGTGTTGTCGGTGACCTGGAATTGCTGCAAAAAACGGCATTTGGAAAGAGATTTGCGCCAGGAGAGAAACTCCAGGATGTTATTTCTGCAGATAAGGAGGTCACTTTTGACATCGCCAATTTTCTTGAGAATTACGCCAAAAGAAACGGTAAGTAAATTTTTCATTCGAATGACGGAGCCTAACTTTGTTTATCTAACTAGCAAGTATTCAACTGAGGAACACATACTACTCTTGGATAGGGGGTAGAGCATCTGACCAGCCTTTTAAATTAAATGTTAAGCTGCTGGTGCCGCAGCAAAATGTCAAGTATATTCCAGGCTTCTGGCAGGTCATGAAATGGGCATGGCTCCAGTACTTGTCCATGCTTCTAGTGGTCAAGTGGGTGGCATATAACTTGCGCTACTACATTTTCACAAATCAACTTGTACCAGTCATCAAGATGCCCTTGCCCTGGACAAAGCAGAACTTTTGATTTTTACCACTTTTTCATTTATTATCAAACATTCTTCTGCCTATTGGATGTAATTATTAAATAAACTTAAACAATTAAGCGAAGCAAAATTTTCAGACAAGACTTGGCGGACGTCACTTTTTCTTTTCATCTTTCACCTCCTCTTTCTTTGCTTCCTCTTTGTCTCCCTTTTTGGCCACAGTCGTACCAGCACCTTCTTTCCTTTCAGCATCCCTGATTTTGATATTGAGAATGTTAATTTTCAAACTCGAAGATCAAATATATCTACAAACCTATTTGTGAGCTTGTTGTTGATGAGATTGTGCAAGGCAAGAACGCACCGCACCAAAGCTGCCAAATAAACTACCAGCATTTGATCGTTTGTCTTGACGTACAGTGACGACGTGAAGTTCGGCTGAGAGACATCAGGCAACAAATTGAAAATGTCCTGCAGGTGGTAGATAATTTGATGGTTGATGGGGAGTCCATTTGGAGACACCTATTTTTTGTTTTAACTTAGTTCATGTTTTAAAATTGGATCTAATTTTGACTTACCACTTGGTCAAGGTAGTCTTTGATGGCTTCAACCTGCGAGTGAAGCCCGCGAAGGCCAAGGAGCTGTGCGGTGATACGCTGCGCTAATGTCCCAACAGTCGTGTCCTTAATGTCCCTAAGCAAATGCTCCACACCAACTTCCTCAGCTTCCTCTGCTCCAATTTCACTTGGGACATGTTCGAAAGTCTTTGAAGTGGGAGTTCCATCCTTTAAACAAAACATGTAATATGAAACACATTCGCAAGCAAAAATTTATTCTAATTACATCGTGGACTTCCTCTGTTGCACGATATGCCTCAGTGGGCAGACCAAGCTCGCGGGGCTTGGCATCGATGATGACCAGGACAGAGTTGGGACAGTACCTGCGCACCAACTCATTGATGGCCACGTCGTTATTGTGCAGTTTTGGTCCTGTGTGGTACCAGCCGACAATTTTCTCTCTAGCATTCACTTTCTTGAACATTCCGTACATGTTCTCCAGGTAGTCGTGGTCCAAAAACCACACCGACTTGTCCTTGTCGTCCTCGTCAAATGGAACTACAATAATTTTAGGTCAGTGATTTTGAAACAAATTTGGAGAAAAATCGTACCTGCAAAGCTATTGGACACGTCGAGGACGCCTTTGGCCCGCCAGCAGCCGAGAAGAACGCCGACCACGCGTTTTTGGTTGCCGATTTTGCCCATTCGGTTGAAGTGGTCGACGACGCTGAGCAGCACCAACGGGTGCACCACCACTTTGCTGATCGCCACTTCTTGGCCCGGCATTTTTTCTCACGGTGATTTGCTCAACAAGATGCTCAACTTGCCTCCAGACTCGCAGGCGAAACTCTTGGCGCCGAAATCACGTTCTTTCGGCAGCCGAACGGGAAAAGTTCACGCCGCTTTTATTTTGCTTGTCACTGCTGCCTGCTGATGTGAAAATTTGCAATTCGATGATTTTTGATGATGATGCGTTTGGCGCAAGAATTATTCTTCCGAGAGTAAAAATGATTGCCCTAAATGAAAACAAAAGGAAGGGTGGGAGAAGGTTGCGGAACATTTTAACCAATGAGCTCTCGGGAAACACTCGAGACTCCTCCTTCTCCCTGAAATGTTCTACGAGCACGCAAGGCGGGTTTTGTATCAGGAAGTGGAAAAATTGGTATTTAAAATACCAACTTTTCAAAACCAAATCACAAAGGTAAGTAAGTCAATCAAAGTAACTATATCATTTTTTATAAAATAATTTTCATTTTAAAATAATAAAAAATTTTCAAATAATTTTCTGCATTAATTTAAGAAAAATTAAATAATAGTTCTTGATTAATTAAATTAGTAATGTTGGCTACGCTAGAAAAAGTCATCAAGTCATCGGCAGTTAGCACGCGAAGAAAGAAACAAAACAAAACTCGCGGTTTTGTGTTTTTGAGGCTTTAAAATCTGAAATTTCCACTTAATTTGGATTCGGCAAAACCAGCTCACAACACAGACCACGGCTTGCAAATTAATTGTAAGTTTGTTATTTTGCATACAGAAAATTACGCAGATTTTTTCATTCCAAAAGAATTTATTCATAAATTTTCCTTTGCTTTGCCTTTTGTACATATTATATGATTTATATGATTGGAATGTTGGAATGTATTACATAAATACATCTATGTACAATGTTTATTTTCCTGAATGTGGCCAGGCTACATACATATTGATTTATAATAGAGCACAACATAAGTTCATGGGCCAGGCATTATTATTACATATTTTTTTTCCAGCTTCCAGCAGACAAATTTTGATCGTCCTTGGGGTACCATGGCTTTCAGTTTTACATCTAATCAAAATAACCCTAGCAGTTTTGGTGGATTTGGAAACCCTGCTACTTCAACTCCTGGTAAAATATTTAGAACTTTTGTATGTATGCAATTTTTGTAAATAAAATTTATGTGGATTTGAAGGATTTGGTGGATTTGGCGCAACAACATCCACCTTCGGTACAAGTGGCGGAACAACCTTTGGGGCAACTCCAGCCACTAGCACGTTTGGCACTGCTACCAACACTGGGGGGCTCTTTGGTGCAACTCAACAGAGCCAAAATCCAGCCTTTGGGGCAACTGCTCCACCTGCTTTTGGGGCCACGTCTACCTCAAACACAACAATATTTGGCTCTACACCTCAAACTTTTGGGCAAGCAAACACAGGAACAACTGCTTTCGGAGGCACTGGTGCTTTTGGTGCACCCACAAGTACCTCCTTTGGAGGATTTGGCTCGTTTGGAACCACACCAGCCTCTTCAGCAGGCGGAACTCTCTTTAGCAACACAGGCGGTGGTCTCTTTGGCGGAACGAGCACTTCTGGAACTTCAGGCGGCTTTACAAGCTTTGGTGGTACAAGTGCAGCGGGCACATTATTTGGAGGCAACACATCCACCCCAAGCTTGAGTAAATTTTTTTAAACTTATCCAATCAGACTTCATTCACAGAAGAATTTTTTTTAGACCTTGGTGGCTTTGGTACTAAAACTACAAGTTCTTTTGGAGCTTACGGAGGATTTTCTGCTCCTACACAGTCCTTTGGAATAGGTTTGTAGTGATTTATTATGATATAATCGTTATATTAAAATTACAATTCTCATCAGGCCAGCCTTCAGGAGGTTTATTTGCCAGTCAAGCACCTCAACAGCAGCAGCAGCCTCAAGAGGATCCCCTTGTTGTGTCTGTGAACAATGTCATTATTTTCAATGATGAGCGAGATGCTGTTCTCAAGAGGTGGAACGGTGTCCTGGCCCAGTGGGGCACTGGAAAAGGTTAGCTGCAAGTCTTTTATTGTCACTGGTTTTCAATACAATTATTTTTCTAGGCTATTACCACAGTCAAGCACAGCCAGTAACTTACACACCTCAAAACATCTACAGTAAATTCAAAGCTCTGGGCTACAATCTTTTACCAGGAGGGAAAGATGAAGACGGCATTGTTTCAGTTACTGTTGGCAAAAAGGAACCTGAAGTTCGGTAAAAAATTAAATAATCTTTTACGTAATTAAAAATAAATGGGAATTATCATTTTTAGAGCTCAACAGCAGCAAATTCAGATCACCCTTCAAAATCTTTTAGTTGGACGACAGATGACGGTCGCTTTACAAGAAGTGCGGGGAAGTACCAACGACACGACACAAGTGCTGGTCACCGTCACTGAAAAAAGCCAAACTGGACAAACCAGAAAGATTCCTGCTACTGAGTTTGCCAACTTCCTGAACAATTCAAAAGCTCAACTTGGCTCTATTGGAGTCACTAATGTGGCAGCAGTTGTTGCCCCATCCCAGGAGGAAATTAACAGTTACTTAGCCAACCCACCAATTGGTAATTGTGAAATAAATTTTTTAATTCTAAATCAAACTATCATTAAAAAGGAATCGAGCCAAGATTGTGGAACCAGGCAATATCTGACAACCCTGACCCCAAGAGGTATGTGCCAGTGCCCATGATTGGCTTTGCTGAACTTCGCAGTCGAATGAATTGCCAAGAGGCCGAGAGCGCCCGACACGTTGCTTTCTTGGCCCAGGCCAAAGATCGTCTCCAGGAAATGCAAAGGCAAGCATCCGAGGCTAGGGAGAAACTCGAGCAGCGCACCCTGAGTCTACGGAGTTTGCAGCAGCGGCTGATGAAGGCTCTTATCAAGCTGCAGGTGTACCGCCGTGAGGGAACAGCCCTGTTGCCTATCGAGGAGGAACTCCGAGCTCGTCTTGAGCAAATCAACAATGCTGTCTCTCAACCAAACCATTGCAAAGTAAATTATTCAAAAATGTAGAATCTGAATATTTAACAAACTATTTAACGGTAGGTGCGTCTAAGCGAGCTGATGTCACAGACTGAGCTCAAGAGCTTCATGGGAAGCAATTCCGATTATTCAGGAAAATATCAACTTGATGGCGACAGCCTACAAGAACTCCACAAGGTACTTATCATTTTATTGAATCAACTTAAACTCAAACTGTCGTCTTTCTAAATTTGAATCGCTTATAAATCTCAATCATCAGAAAAAATTAATATAACATAATATGATTTTTATTTTATTTTCTCTTAGTATTTGAAAATGGAGCAACAGGGAATCAGCCACCTTATCGATATTGCCACAAGTGATGCGGAAAATGTTCAATTCCTGCAGCAGGACATGAGCCAGGTAAGTCAGGCTGCTAACGACAATAGCATCTCATTGCGACGGTCTCAGCCAAACGCAAGCCTGAGCGCCTTGAACTACCCAAAGTGAAACTAAATTCCTGTCTTGACAGACTTGTTTATGGTTAATTAAAATAAATAATTTAATATTTGATAAATTCTCACAAAAAAACAAGCAGTGAATAAATTTTTCTTGTGATTTTTTTTTGTTACTCTGAAACAAACAGCTACTTGTAGCCTATTTTCACCCTTGCGTATTCAGGAGGTAACTTAAAAAAATCGTTCTTCACATAATAAAAAAATATATACATATTTTAATTCTTTAAAGTACGGAGTTATAAATTCAATCATCTTCGACATTTTCATCGTCTGAAGAAATTACCTCATCCTTATCTTTGTCGACCTCATTTGTTTTCAATCCCAAGGCAGTCAGGAGTGGTAACAAGTCCTGATAATGAATAACCGTAACAACGTCTTATTTTTCTTTTTAAAACAAACCTGGGAAGACTCTGTGTCCTTATGTGCAGCTTCTCCGCCAGGAAGAACGGCAGGGAGCAAATCAGGGCTCTCCACTTGAATTGGAGGCGGCTGTGTATTTTGGTATTGCAAAAGAGGAGACTCGGCCACAGGTTTTGGCAAATTGTGCATGGGTTGCTGCACATGGTGCACCATCAGAAGGGGAGGGCCTTCGATGCTGGATGGGAAACGCTGAGGCGAAACTGGAGAGGGGAAGGGGTTCGGTGTGGGGAGAGTTGAGCGCGTCGAAACTGCAAACTCAGGGATGTTTATCGACGGACTGGCCGGTGCATACTGATAGCTCATCCTTGACATTAACAGGCGCTGGCCGTTCTACATAATAGTCATAAATTTTAAAAATTAATTTAAAAAAAAGTCTTACCATATTAAATTCTCCGCTGTTTCGGATGTCGTAAAACCTTTGCAAGTCAAAAGGAGATGGACTGAGAGGGTATTGTGATGCCACGCTAGGGCCCCTACTTGGCACATTCAACCTCTCAAGGGCTTGCAGTACCTCCAGCACCTCAGGTCGCACCTTTGCCCTTTCTGCAGTGCACATTCTGCCAAGCCGGACAAGTTCGTTGAAAATTTGCCGTGGGAAAATTTGGTCATACGGGTCCAGCTGACTACCTGCACAGTCCATGAGCCTTTCTGGATTGGGCTCATCCCTCATAATATCTTTCTAAAATTTAGTTTAAACATTTTTATGGACAACTGTTTTACGTAATTTGTTACCAATGCTTCTGGTTTACGTTTTCTGTCATATGCCCGCTTTCCTGTTGCAATTTCAAACATAACCTGCAAAAATTGAAATTCAATAAGAGGCAAATATTTAATTTTATTTATATCTTACAATTCCAAAACTGTATGCGTCTACTTTAGTGGAAATTTGCCTGGACATTAGGTAGTCATGGGGTAGATAAGGTTTCGTGCCATTGACATTGAGCACTGTCAAGTGTGTCAGCGTGTGGATTGGCCCTTCTCTAGCCAAACCAAAATCACCTATGTACGGCTTATAGTTGGCGTCCAATAAAATATTTGCACTAAAATAATTCCAATAGAATTGGGTTGCGATATTTCAAAAAAACCAAATATGATATAGAAACCTTTTGATGTCCCCATGGATGAGCGGCTTTTCACCCTTTGTGTGCAAAAATTGCAGCCCCCTTGCAGTTCCTCTGGTGATTTCAAATCTCTGATACCACGTCAAAGGCGCAGAACCTCTCTAGAAAATTGTTACATATATTAGTTTCATTTTAAACATATAATTTTTATATCGGAGTACTTTGCATTGCAGTCTGTCTTCCAGGGAGCCATTCTCCATCAACTGGTAGACAATGCACGGAGCAGAGCCGTGTCCAAACGAAAATCCGTACACAGATAAAATATTGTCATGCCTAATCGAGTCCAAAATTTGCATTTCCCTGATGAGTTGTTCCATTTGCGCCTCATTTCTGTCATTGCCACTCTCGGGTCGCTGATAAAAAAAAAAAACTTATAAAAATAAACATACAAAGAAAGTGTTGAACCTTTTTGAATACTTTGACAGCGACTTTTGTGTTCTTCCACTCGCCCTGGTAGACCGTACCAAATCCACCTTTCCCTAAAATGTTTCTCTCGCTCCAGTTTTCAGTCGCTCGCTCAAGCTCGTGAAACGGAATTTCGCTTATGGACCGCTTAATATCTTCCGTCTGGATATTTGATTCTCCTATAAATTTAATTAAATAAATTGTTTTGAAAAGAATTTGGTTAGGAATATGAAATTAAATAAATTAACCCACTTGAGAGAAATTCTCCCGAGCTTGATTTTGCTGGACTTATCGACCTCGCCTCCCCACTGTGGTTTTTTGCTTCATTCCTACTCGGTAACCTATGCATAATTAATTTGTAGTGTATTCTTTTTGGTTTAAAAGTGATATATGCTTACACAATATTGAGTTTTTTCTCTCCGAGTTTGTTATCAGCAAGGTCGTAGCTACCCTTAATGTTTAAATCATCACCTCCTGTCGCACCCTCATAACAATTTAATTCTTTTGGTGTCGTTTCTGATTTTTTCATCGAGCTTAAAAGTCTGGTCAAACTATTGTCACCCTCTTTAATTAGACCGTGGTACTTTTCGTCAACTGTAATGATTTTTAATAATGGTATAGCCTCTTTGGTGCTTTTAAGTTAATGTTTACTGTGTTTTTTGAGCACTGCCATCGCTCGGTAATGATCCATTTCGTAAAGACAAACGAAGAGCTCTTGCACTGTGTGATTTTTCTGTTCCATTATTTCCAGAAGTGATTCGGTTGGGTCAGTCTGCCTGCCAAGACAACTGATTTCATGCGTAGGCAAATTCATGAGTTTGCCAGCAGCTGCAAATGATATATAATAACCCAGCAATACTTTAAAAAAATGATATTTTTTTGTATTATTAATATACCAAGCTCTTTCCACTTCTCATTTTGGTTGAGAATGTTACACAGCTCTCGTCTTTCCATGAAATGAAGGTCGTAGATAAACATTTTCTAGCTTCTTGAAAGAGTCACAGCTCAAGAAAATGCATTGGAATAATATTACGAAAATAACAATGCGCTCGCCGTTGAGTTGAAATGGTGCATTAGAAAGTGATTGAGGAAGGAGGAAAAAGAGATCAACTTGTTGTTAGATGGCTTTCGCCCACTATCAATGAAAGGGCGTGACCCGCCTGTGAGCACCAGCCAATCGCAGAAGAGCACCAGCCTATAATCGATAGGGTGGACGTCGTTTTTCCTGGTACACAGGACAGCCAAAAAATCCAAAAATCCCTACGGTATTGCGAAATTTGATTCGCTGCGCCGGACGTATGCAATAATTTGATTATTCCACCCTATTGTTTGCAATGATACGCTATAATGTTATAATATTTATGAAAGCTGTATAAAACGGTATAAAAGTAGCTTTATGTCCCAAAATGCAAAATGTATATATAATTTCTTATTTTGACTTTTCTAGTCTAGAACGAATATCGAATATTTATTAAAAATCTTTGCAGTAAAGCTAAAAATGTGCCTTTACTAGTAGAAAAGATATAGACCTTTTGTACATCCGTGGAGTTGTGCGGACTGCCTAACCAAGTTCACTGCAGGCGTTAATCGGGAACATCAATTTGCGGTGTTATTCCAAATTAAATCATATTAGATATTAGTATGGTGAACGGCTTCTTTGATTTTAAAAGAACAATGAGTACGAAAAGTCATTTGGAAAATTTAAAAATTCGTTGTACGCAAGAAGCTTCCTGATTGAAAAATGTTTATGCAACCCGCCTGACACTACTCATCCTGCGATTTTCCCGCTCTACTGACTGTCCAATAGGAGCACTTTTTCTCTAGCGCCCCTGGTGGACATTGAAGAATCAACTGTTAAAAACAAATCCATGCTGAACTTTTTCTTTATTAATAATTCATTTTTATGTCTTTACTTCTATCGCTGAACGTATTTATTGTAGATGTAGAGATCTATCGAGATGAGTGTCATCTTGCGTGATAGCAGTTCTGGCGCTTTTATTTCCCATGAAGTTTTCCTCAAAAGGACTTATTCGACAGCCGGTTTAGCGCCCGCAGATCAAATGTTTGGCCTGCGGACACCATTCATGACGGAAGCCCAAGCGGCCAAGACAGCAGCCCGGATGATGGGCGAGTCGACCGCTGGACCGGCGAGGAAACGAATCCGATCACAAAAAACAGAATCTCCCAATAATACAGAAGAAAAATTAAATGAGGTTGGTACATAAACATATTTTTCTGGCCTATACATAATTTTATATATTTTTTTATCTTTAATTTTCTCTTAAAATAAAGGTCGGCGATGTCCAAGAAAAAATGAGCTATGTCATAAAGTTGGCCAAAGCTTCTGGTTTTTTTAATCTTGAACTGACTCCAAAAGATTTTGTTTCAAATAATTCTCCAGCTAGGCAATTTTCAGGTACGTAAATACATAATTATGTCTATTAAAATTATTTATTAAATTACAATAATATTAATTAATAATAAACGATTTTAATTTTTAGATATGGTTTTTAAGCAATCAAATCTCTTCGGCGATTCAGCGTCATTTCAAGACAAGAACACAAAAAATAAACCTGTTTTGCGTTGCATCCGTGGAGAAAATTATGTTTTGCCTGGAAACTGTCGGTTCTTTTGTGGTGACTTGTTCAACTCGATGAATTTCTTGAGTAGCGAAACTTTTGATTTGGTCATCGTCGACCCTCCGTGGTGGAATAAATACATCAGGAGAATAAAATCTGCTGCTCGTCACTCAACGTAAGTTTTGTCTCCATTTATTTTCATTCCTTTAGTAATTCAAATTTGATTACATGAGATATCCAATGATGTACAATAAAGACTTGTCCAAAATTCCGGTGGGCAATTATTTGACTGCTGAGGGACTAGTTGCTATTTGGTGCACAAATAGTCCTAATAATATTAAAGAACTGATTGAAATGGTCCTGCCTGAGTGGGGTTTTCAGAGTGTGGCTACATGGTTTTGGGCAAAGGTCACCAAGGCTGGTGAAACGGTAGGAAATAATTTTGTAAATTTCATATTATTCAAAAGATTTTTAAACAGGTGTGTGCTTTTTCTCAACCGCCAGGAAAACAGCCTTACGAAAGAATTATTTTTGCTAGAAAAATTTGCAAAACGGATCTGCCGAATCCAGTTGATAAGCAGGTACTGATCAGTGTCCCAAGCGCAGTCCATAGCCACAAGCCACCTCTCACTGGTAAATTTTTATGACAAAAATCCAAATTTTATTTATTTTCAACCGTTTTAACTTTCAGAGGTGCTTGCTCCGTATTTGCCACAAAATTTTAAAACGCTTGAGCTTTTTGCACGAAATTTACTGCCTAACACAACTAGCTGTGGACTGGAAGTACTTAAGCTGCAGCACGAGATTTTGTTTCAAAAGCAGGTATTTGCATTCACTTTTTCGCACTATTCATTCACCCTTTTTATCCTATTTATTAAATCAACACTGAAGAACATAAAGAAAATACAAAAAGAAGAAAGAATTGTCAAAAAGTTGATACTTTGACCAGCTACATAAAAGCAAATTCCAATAGGATATGTTTGTGCGTTTACGTCGATGATCCCGTTTAGGGCCTCTGCACTGAACTGGCCAGATTGGCCTCTCGTGCATTGCTCATTTTATTGCTAATGACATTGCTTGACCTGTATCCGTCAGGGTTCATTGTCTGCCAGCGCCAGAAGTCCTCGCCTAGTCCAAACAGATAAATTTACTAAATTCGTGAATTGAAAAAAAAATTATATATATTATGCAACTTACACATTTGTACGAGATTATGCTTAGCTTTCCAGTTGAGCTCGTTTTCTGCCAGCTTGCAATTTGTGTAAATCGCATCAACGTCCCCCTGCCTGCGTTGCTTAATCTCATAGGGCACCTTAGTGCCAGTCACCTTTTCGAAGGTCTTCACCAGGCGCATTACTGACACTCCCTTACCATTGCCCAAATTGTAGATCTAGAATTCAAACTTCAAACCTTAAGAAAGAATAAGAAGCAGGAAAGTGTGCCATTATTATTATAATTTACAAGCTGATGCCCTATCAAATTATTATTATTATTTTAAGGAAAACATATATTATATATTTATTCATACCTTGATACCCGAGTGCAACTGCTGTAGCTTTGCCAAAGCGGCTACGTGCCCACTGGCCAGATCCATGATATGGGTGTAGTCGCGAACACCTAAAAACAAATTTCTTTAATTGCAATCAATTTTGAAATTTTGTTAAAATACCAGTTCCGTCTTTGGTATTGTAGTCGTTTCCAAATATCATCAACTTGTCTCTTACTCCAATTGCGACCTTAGCAATGTTCGGCATTATGTTGAACTGTTTTTTCGGGTCTTCACCAATGAGGCCCGAAGGGTGGGCGCCCACAGGGTTAAAGTAGCGCAGAATGATGATGTTCCATTGCTAAGAAGGGTTAAATTAAAAACAATAATTTCAAAAAAATTGAATCATTTTATTGAAAAATTGAGAGATGAGGGATGAAAAGTAAAAGGAATACTTTTTCGGCAGCGGACATATCCTTGAGCATTTCTTCAACAAAAAACTTAGTCCTTGCATACGCGTTGGTCACCCTGCCAGTTGGGTATTCCTCAGTTATGGGCAGGTAATCGGGTTTGCCATACACAGTGCACGAGCTGGAGAACACAAGGTTGTAACAATCGTTCTCTTTCATCACCTAAAAAGCAGAATTTTTATAGCTAAATATTAAAAGTTTAAAAATGATAATAATACATAATGGAGATTTTATAAAAGATCATTATTTAATGAAGAAATTCCAAAACAGCAAGCAAAAATATCAAAATTTGTAACGTCCAATAAGAAATCTTTAATCATTTCAAAACCAAGAAAAAAATTAAAGACTTCAGAATTAACTTTAATAAATACAACCCCCCTCCCCATACTCCAATAAGATCAACTAAGAAAACCTACGAAAAAGAAAATATTTAAAAGAAACTGAGGTGAAGGTCTTATACTTGAAAGTCAAAAACCGCAATTTTAGAGGGTTTATTATTGATAAACCCGACAAATATCTTAGTGATGTAGGTACAAATTGAGTTTCCATTCCAAAAACTGTTGTTTTATAATCAACTGGTCTTATTTTTAATTGGAAAAAAAATTAGATTTATTCATTGTTTTAATAGATTACAGCGAGTTCGGGATTCTCTATTAATTCCCAATGAAATCATCAGGTAAGACTGATGTTTCCCATTTCCCATGTCGTCTTTAACTGATGTCTGTCAGTAAAAAAGTACACGTGGTCCGACTATGCCAACACGTCACTGTTAAAAAAAGAGCGTTCGTGTGCGTGATATCGACACGCGGGTCCTTAGGGCCCTTACAAATTTCAAGGCGCATTTTTCGGAACTTACCTCGAGCAGGTTGAAAGCGCCAATCATATTATTGCGGTAGTAACTAAACGGCTGCAACATACTCTCGCCAACCGCCTTCATTGCCGCAAAGTGGATCACGCTGTCGATTTTCTTCTGCAAAATGCAAATTGAAAAAATAAATGTTATGAAAATAAAAATTAAAAATGCATTACAATTTTAAAGACGGTTCTCAAATCGTCGATGCTGAGCAGGTCGCATTCCACAAAGGTGACGTCTTTGCCCGTGATCTGCTTGACCCTTTCAATGGCCGGCGCCCTTAGCAGGCCATCGTTGCCACGTTCGCTGACGCTGTTGATGAAGTTGTCGATGGCGACGACGTCGTAGCCGGCCTCCAACAGAGTTACGATGCAGTGGCTACCTACGAAGCCGGCGCCGCCCGTCACAAACACCGTATGCTGTGCCATGTCTGCACTCACTAGATATAAAAACTAGACTGAGAAAGTGTGTGTCCCTAACTGCCACTGTGTGGGTAGGACGAAGTACTGATAATAAATTAATGGGAACTTTAAATTTTTCTCCTGTGATGAATAAATAATGCATTTATGCCAATTAAGCGCTGCAATTAGCATAATATATATAACTTTAGGGAATTACTGACAAGAAAAATAATTTCAACAATTAGACCTGTCACTGTCACTAAGAGTCGATAAAAAGAAAATATTTTATCCTTTCTATCCACATTACGTGGCGTGGATTAATTTTAATTATTAAGAAATGCGCCTGTGTTATTAAAAAAAAAAAGAATAATTTTTATGACATTTATAATTTAAGGTTTCTTTGGCGGAACCAGCACCTCTGGAACTTCAAGCGGCTTCGCAAGTTTTGGTGGTGCAACAAAATTTGCTGCCTAACACAACTAGCTGTGAACTGGAAGTACTGAAGCCGCAGCACGAGATTTTGTTTCAAAATCAGGTATTTTGCCTCTTTCTCTTTTTCCATTATTTGTTCACACTTTATTAAGTCAACACTGAGAGTCAAGAGAAGGAAAAAACACAGAAAGCATGAAAAATATAAAAAAAGTTGATCCGTCGACTGGCCACTTGGAAGCAAATTCCAATCGGATTCGTTTACGCGTGCACGCCATTGGTACCATTTGTGGCCTGCACTGAACTGGCCACATTGGACTCTCCATTGCTAGTTTTATTGCTGATGATGTTGCTTGACCTGTATCCGTCCGGGTTCATTGTCTGCCAGCGCCAGAAGTCCTCACCTTTTCCGATCAGACAAATTAATAATTTTATTTATTTATTAAAAAAAGGAATCTTAAATTAAAACTTACACATCTGCTCAAGACTGTACTTGGCTTTCCAGTTGAGCTCCTTTTCCGCTAGTTCACACCTCGCGTATATCGCGTCAATATCTCCCTGTCTGCGCTGCAGAATCTCAAATGGCACCTTAGTGCCAGTCACCTTTTCAAAGGTCTTCACCAGACGCATAACTGACACGCCCTCGCCGGTGCCCAAATTGTAGATCTGTAATTATTAATTCAGGAAAGTCTTAATTAAACTTAAGTGGAAATAAGACAAACGTGTCAAAAATAGAGCACTTGTGATTTATGAAAAGATTGACAAAATTTAAGTTTTTTTTTTTATATGAAATAAATTTCCAAACCTTGATACCCGAATGCTCCTGCTGTAGCTTTTTCAAAGCAGCAACGTGACCGCTGGCCAGATCCATAATATGAATGTAGTCACGAACACCTGCGCACAATATTAATAATATTTTCAATAAATATAAGCTCATTATAATACCAGTTCCGTCGTCAGTTTTGTAGTCGTCTCCAAATATCGTCAACTTGTCTCTTCCTCCAATTGCGACCTGAGCAATGTAGGGCATGAGGTTGGTGAACGGTTTGGTCGGGTCTTCGCCAATGATGCCCGAAGGGTGGGCGCCCACAGGGTTGAAGTAGCGCAGCATGATGATGTTCCATTGCTGAGGATGCAAAGTTAAATTTAAATATGTTTAACAAAGAGAAAAATTTATACCTTTTCTGCGACAGACACATCCTTGAGCATTTCTTCGACAAAGAATTTGGTTCTTCCATACACGTTGGTCACCTTGCCAGTGGGGTGTTCCTCGGTGATGGGCAAGAATTCGGGACTGCCGTAAACGGTGCACGAGCTGGAGAACACCAGGTTGTAGCAACCATTTTCTTTCATCACCTAAACGGAGAAGATCAATTTTAAACTAAATATTTCAATACTTCTTAAATGGGTTTGGGGACTTTTTTCACCACTTAAACAATATTTGTGACAAATTTAATTATTTTTATTCATCGTTATCTTATAAAATCTTGCAGTTCGACCTTGTTTTTGGGCCTCAAACCCACTCAATTGGCATGACTTGTTACTTATTTGTCAGAAAATACTTTGTTGAAGATATTTGTTTTTAATTTCTGGCGCTGAAGTTTATAAAACAATATGCCTGGTGTTCGTGGATATTTTGAAAGTAACAAATCTGTATTTATTTAAACAGATACAATGCACTACAATTTTTCTGGATTTTTTTTTAATGTGAAAAAAAGCTAAAGCTAACAATATTTCTCCTCTATTCCAAAATAAATTGCAGGCAACTCTGGCTAGCTTTTTTATGTACGCAGCATTTAACTCCATGACATCATCAGCCAAGACTGATTTTCCCATGCCATCTTTCTCTCTGCGCGTCTGTCTGTCAGTAAAAAAGTAAACGTGGCCTGGCCATGCCAACATGTCTATCCTGTGTTGAAAGGCGCAGAATGCGTGCGTGTTTGTGATATGCACGCGGGTCCTTGGTCATATCCGGAAAATTTTCAAGGGCGCGTTTTTTCCGGAACTTACCTCGAGCAAGTTGATGGCACCCATCATATTGTTGCGGTAGTAAAGGAACGGCTGCAACATGCTCTCGCCGACCGCTTTGATAGCCGCAAAGTGGATCACGCTGTGAATTTTTTTCTGCAAAAATAATTTTAAATTTTTCAAAGATATAAAAAAAATTTAAAATACCATTTTGAAGACGTTTCTCAAATCGTCGATGTCGAGCAGGTCGCATTGCACAAAGGTCACGTCTTTGCCCGTGATCTGCTTGACCCTTTCGAGGGCAGGTGCCCTCGGCTGGCCATCGTTGCCACGTTCGCTGACGCTGTTGACGAAGTTGTCGATGGCGACGACGTCGTAGCCGGCCTCCAACAGGGACACGATGCAGTGGCTGCCGATGTAGCCGGCGCCGCCCGTCACAAACACTGTGTGCTGCGCCATGTCTGCACTGGCAGGACAGAGAAACGAGAATGAGTTGGTGGCCAAGCGCCAGTCCCTTCCTCCCACAACGCGGGTAGGAGGAAATGCAGGCAATAAATTAATGTGAACTTGCATTTTTCTCCGCAAAAAAAAAACTGATGAAATATACAATGCATTTTTCCTGCTAATTATGCGGTGCAATTAGCATGGGCACTTCCGGGAATTACTCCGAAGTAACTTGAACGATTAGACCTGTCAATAAGAGCCGATAGGAGCAAATTTTTTATCATTTCTCTCCACAACACTTGATTTAATTTAATTTGCATTTAAATCAATGTGTCTATAATGATCTTTTGAAAAATGTGTTAACAAAAGGAATAATTTTTGTTAACTTACAAGTTATGAATGATTGGGAAAAAAATTCAGAATATTTTTAATACATATTTAATAAAATTGGGATATTCTGCCTTTTTAAACGTGAATGTTCTTTTGTTTTTAAACTCTGCTCAAGTTGAATAAAGTATCATAGTGCATTTCAATTTCAACTCATGCTAATTGCACAGGTACAGCCATTAATTAACACGTCAATTTTCCCACGGCGATCAAATGATCGATGTTCTCGCATAAAGTTAATGAGAATCTGCGGTTCGCGTGATAGACTAACAATAAGCTGCGAGTGAACTGAATCGGAGCTCGTCTCAAAGGTGTGTTGAAACAGGAGCCGCCGACCGAGAGTGGCACCGGCGTGGCAGTGACCTTGGACGAGGTCACACACCTATTTGTTGCGACAAGCAAAGTTCTTTGTACTATTCAAGAACATTAACAAAGCTACTTTACTAGATTTTATTACAAAAAAATCAAAAATGTTCCATTGCAGCGTCACAAATGATCAAACAGTACAGAAGTGTTGTGTCAAAGTCAGGTTTTCAAGTTCAATGGTAATTTTGCAGGAATTATATAATTGTTTCAAAAAAATTAATAATTTAAAAAAAAAACGAGAATTTTTTTTCGCGAGTGTAAATTTTTACCTGGTAATTGAAGCGGTTATTGGTGAGGTGGCTGCTTTTTCTCGATCGGGGCTCGTCTTTTCCCGTCAGCCGACTCGACTGTACTGCGAGAGAAAAACACGATCACATACACACGTCACTGAAAACGCCACCTGACCATGCGGAGTGCATACCTTTTGATATACCTGCCGCGGGGCCGTGCCTGCTCATTGGCCGCACTACCTTCCTTCTACGCGCGCTTTAATGATAATTTTAATGGCTTTTCCTTTATTTTGGTCTCCCCTCGCCGAATTCTTCACGAATTTCCTTTGGCAAGCATAGCTTTTACAAACTGAATAACTTGGGCGCAACGATGGAAAGCGACAATGACATTTAAAATTCAGGGATTTTTATTTACACAGAGAAAGTACAATGTATAGTGTTGATTTTTTTTATAAGTTTCTCTATCAACAATTTTTTTTATAAACAGCAGACCCATTTGTTAAACATATTTATACAGTTCTCATTTAAGAAATAATCTATTAATTTTGAATTCAAAATTTAAAATCAGTTTGTAGAACAAGTTTGGGGACCCTTGGGTGGGCGATTGTTTCCGGGTTGCTCAAAGATAGTGCCAAGTGAGGCGCGCACTCTTCCACGAAATATCTGCGTTTTGCCATAATTCGCTCTTGCACTTCAATGCGTTCGTTTATCCCAGGAGTAGTGGTCTTTTCAGGGCCGTCTGATTTATTTGACATCCTATGCATAATAAATTTAAATTTATTTTGGATAATATTTTTTCAGTCACGAACCTTTCTCGAAAAATTTCAACTGCTGAAATAGGCAAATGTGGGACTGTGCTTGCAGATTCAATGGAATTTGCAAAATCGGTCAGACTCTCTTCCGTTTTAAACTCCGAAAATTCTTGCTTTTCTTCATGTAATTGGGTTGAAAATCGAGGGGCTGAAGAACTTTGCGAGCTGACGGACTCAATTTCCTCAGGACTGCTGCGGAAAGTGGTCGGATCGCCTAGTCCGATTTCTGCTAAATTTGGTCCCAATGAGACAAGCACATTTTTGCCGTCACCTAAGAAAATATTTCTGGTGCCACTCCATTTTGAAGTCGTGGGAAGTTCTAGCTGCACTTTCTTTGCCAAAGCGCCTCCCTCGTCCCAAATTCGCATTTCCTGCAAACAAATTAAATGAACATATGACACAAAAATATCGATTTTTTTTTTATTAATTACGGCATTTTTGCACACGCTAAACATCGTTTTGCCTGAGAACGAAACGTCTACTATTGGAGCGTCGTGCGCCTGAAAAGCGAGCACAGGGCATTTCGGCACCAGTGGATTCCAAATTCGCAGAATTCCGTCGTCACTGGCAGACACGATTTCAAATCTCTGGGCGTTGAAAGCAAAACGCCGCACACCCTAATTAAAAGTAAATTGATTTTAATTTTTCTCCAATTCGAATTGGAAAATTTATCAGACCATTTCGACAGAGAACTTATACGAGGGTAAGCGGCGGTCGGCGTGCGTCAGTTTCATGGACGTTCTGGCGTCCAGCGAACACGAAATGAGCACTTGGTGCGTCTCGCAGAAAAAAAGCTGCAAAACTGGCTCGGCGTGGACGCGGCGTTGTGTCCGAGCGCGAGCAAACGCCGCGTGCATACTTTTTGCTCCTTCGAATAATTCCTAGAAAATCAACAATTAATGAATTAATTTTTCAAATTAGATTATTTAAAAATTTACAAGCCAATAAATTGTTTCGGCTCCACCCGCTTGGTGCGAATCGGAAACTCGATGCCCAAAGAGCAGCAATCGGGGCTGAAGGAATGTGAGGGTTGTTACATTTCCTTGCTCGTCCCCAAGGTAAAGAGCGGAGCAGGGGTCAGATCTGTTGCTGGGGTGGTACCACAGGGATGTAATGCAGTTCTTCAAACCGATCTTCATTAAATAAAACATAAAAAGGAAAATATATATGCATTATTTTTGTTTTCAATTTTCAAAAGTTATTGTTAAATATTGCGCCAGGATTTCTCTAATGTGAAAATAGATTGCAAGGAGGGTTATTAATTTTATTTTGACAAGATTGTAGCAAATTCCTATAAGATTTAGTAAAAACTGCGAAAGAGGGAATTTTGATTTTGTGCTATTCTATCATTTATCACTAAAAATAACAATTAATGTCAATCACTCTTTCCAACTTCTTACTTTTTAATTTCCCAAAATATACCAAATTAAGTTTTATCAATAACTTTTGATATTTGTGAGAAATTAGAAAGAGCAGCAATTAAGTAACAAAAATTTGATAATATAATTTAAATAAATAATCCAATTTTGATTTTAATGATAGGAAACTGCACTTCTTTTTATTAGGAAGTCAATTATAGAAATTTTTATTCAAAAATTTACGAGCCATCTGTAACTCTATTTACAGGGTGAAGCTGAAGCTACCAACCATTCTCCAGGCGTGTCTGTGTTCCTGGGCGGCGTCGCTGCGTCTGGAGCAACTGGTGTCGTAAAAGAGGATCGTCCTGTCGCTCATGGCAAAAGCCACTGCACTCGCGTCCTCCATCAGAACGGCGTCGCACAATGAAGGGCCGCTTTTTCCATTTCTGGGCAACGCGTACGAGGCAATTGGGGCCTCGCCGGGGGACGTCCCGTTGGCCACCACCACAGTCGCTCGCCGCGACGCCAGCAGCAGACACGAGGTGGTCACCGCCTCCATACGCATGACCTGTACCAAAGTGTCCCTCTGGGCAGGAGGGTGAGATTTAATTAATAAAAGGTTCAAGCATAATTTTGTTTCTGTATTGACGGGAAAAGTACCTGACATTTGAATAGCGAGTGGTATGTGATGTGCTCGATGCTGATTTCGCTGGGTGCGTTTGGGTTGATGATTTCGTCATCTTCTAAATCTTGAAGTTCCCTCTCTAGAACATATAAAAATGAGAGTGCAAAATAAATAAAACTTGATAACTAGCATAGACCAGAAAACGGTCAAATGTTAAAGATTTTCAGCCAAATTTCAAACAGTGAGTGATATTTTTGGCCAATTTTTATCACTGTCGATTTCTTGTACGTGATACCAGCTTTAAGTGTTTTTTCCGATTCATTTCTTTTACAAAAAGGAATTTTCAAATCAACTTCCAAAGTCTCATGAGAGGTGACCTGAACTTTACTAAAAAAGAAAAAATGTGGATTCTCGTATAATTTATTTTAATTATCCTTTACTACATTTCAAATATACGTCAGGTCCTTTTTACATTGATACTAAAAAAAAAGAAGATTGATCAAATATTATTTAGTAGTAATTAAATTTTAGAATTAAAATTGCAAACCGTTTAAACTTCTCTGGTTCAGTGCGGATTCGACATCAAAAGGCAATTGTGCGAGCAAAAAATTAGAAAAGGCCATGTTTTCTGGTCTCACTTGGACACAAATAAAGCTGAAAACTCGGTTGCCAAGGCAAAACTCTGATTATTGTTGGTTTTGTGCATGCAGCTTTGGCGCGCCTGGAAGTCGCGCGCGCAGAATGCAGGCAGAGCCACCTGCGGTCGGCAGCGGAGTGACAAAAGGACCGCAGGACGAAGTGTTGGGACGGACACGCCTTTCAGCAGACAGATATCGAGTCGATACGGAGCGCTGTGTGTCCGAGAAGGTGCGAAACGCTGGTCGGCAGAATGAACAAGTCGGTGGGCCGAGGCAGGGGCAGCCTGTACTCGTCGCAGAGCAGCGTGGCGCCGCTGCGGCGCCCTGGCGAGTCGCTGCGCTCGCCCGACGGCCTCAAGAGCAACCACAGCCTGCAGGACGTGATGGTCGACTCGCTGATGGAGGACCTGCAGTCGTTGACGCTCGACGACAAGGCGCTCGCCGCCAAGCAGCTCAGGGTGCTCGAGGAGTCCTTCAGGGACTTTGTCCGCAATGAGGAGAAGCTCAAGTTCGAACCAAAACCAAAGAGTTCGGCGAAAATTATTGTGGTTCTTTCGCAGGCTAGTAGTCCGTGCCTTGCACGACCGGAGTCTGGACAACAGGCACTTCGGCGCCAGGGCGGCCCGTCTCTGCGCCGCCCTTTACATGTTTGAGACTGAGGGAGTCGCCCTGAGACGAATCCTACTAGAAACTCTGCAGGCCGACTTCGAACGTACAATTTTTTCCAATTAATTTTACTTGCAAAATGCTAATCTATGAGATTTGTATTCAGGTCGTGAAGAGATACGTGCCGAGGGACTGGAGAGCTTGACCAATGCTATAGAGTTGGTGGGTAATGCCTTAAACTGCATCCAGCTGCCTAATGGCTCAAGGGTCAAAATCCTCGCGTACGCCCTTCTGGATTACTTGTTTGAGCTGCTCGAGGACACTAACGAAACTTCGCTGCGTGCCTTCACTGTGCAGGTAATAATAATGTTTACACTTTCTCATGAAAACAAAAAAAAATCTGAAATAAAATTAATTAAAAAGTTAGTTTTTTATTAATAAATTTTAGCTTTGAAAGAAATTTAATAAATCCTTATAGGTAATTAGTATTAAAAAAAGGTTATTTTAAATATTTTACCATGAAATTAAATCAGAATTTAATAATTTCAAATTTCAGTGTATTAAATTTAAAAGAAAATGAATTAAAGTTTTTTTTCTTATAAATTCGACTTATCAGCTCGCTTTGAGTGGTGCCGTGCTGAGTGAAATGCTGGCCGACAAAGTGAACGAGGTGATGTTCAAGGTGCGAGAGCGGCTGGCTAAGGCTGCGTTCAAACGCGAGTCCTCGGCCTACTGGCTGCTGCTGGCGCTCGACCTGGCGCACCACAAGTGGGCGCCGCTGCCGGAGCCGCTCGCCACCTTCTATGCGTCGCGCCTCGGCGGCAAGAACCAGGTCAACCAACTCGCCGCCGCCTCGGTCGCAATGACACCTTCAAGCACAACCTCGTCGAGTTCGCAGTCGTCACACAAATCAAGCAGCAGTGGCGGCGGAGGCGGCAAGAAGGACCTGGGGGTGAGTTGTGGCAATTTTGGCAAGGAAATTTGCAAAAATAAAATTGTGCCAGTTTTATTGCCATATTCACATACTTTTAGGTCAAATTAATTTACTAAACTATCACTTTTGAAAAATTTATATTGATATTAATTTTTTGAAGATCATACATATTTTTTTTTTAAATATTAAAAAAATGTTTTTTAGTAAAAAGATCAAAAAAGCTTCCACTGATTGAAACCATTTTATTTATTTTTTCTAATAATTTTTACCATGTGTGTGCAGAAGGACTACTGGCAGCATGACGACCGAGTACTGAATGACAAGCCTCCCCAAGGGCGTCCCTTGCACGGCCGGAACAAGGACAAGAACGACTCGTCGCACTGGAACTGATCGAAGCTGACCACCCGACCGCCTGCCTACGCACAAATTTAATCAACCAAAAATGAACAGACACTCTTTTGTACAAGAGACTTTTTTACAAGCAAAGTGTCACTTCGGGGAAATCCGCCTACCTGGGGAAGCTTGCTAAAAAAGACTGGCTTCTCAAAGCGCTCTTTTTTGCAACTCGATTGGACGTGTACCCCGTAAATAAAATTTGATTGTCGCCGGTTGCAAAAAAGGGTCATTCTGCGTACTAGTTTGTTGCTGAGGAGGAAAAGGGTCTGTAGCAGAACCCATCTCGCATTCTAGTTGACTGTTGTTTAGCCAGAAACTGATGCGTGCGCCACCATCCAGCAACAGTTTTAGATGTGATAGCTGAAGGATGGAGTGTCATTTGTTGTTTTTGATGTGCTCTATTGCGCACAACACGGTTGTCAAAGATTCATTTGTCTCTTAATTGCTTTTTTATTAAGAGCTCGCAATGATTCCATTTTAATTTTTATACTTTTTAACTGCTATATTCCTGTTCAAGCACTATTTTTATAGTGTGGATTTTAATCGGAGCTACCTATTGTTATTATTTTACTTGCGACCGCAGTTATACAGATACCAAAAAAGCAGCTTGGTGTCATTTTGTTTGTTGATCATAAGACAATGTTACTTTGTCGACTCATGTTAAAATTAAGTCTGTGTGACCCCGGTGCAGAAATTCATTATTGCTTTGTCAGCGTTCTCAGTGCAAAGCGAATTGAATTTTCAAATTGAGAAAACTAAGCGAGAAATAAACAAAACATTATAAATATATAATAGAAAAGAGCAAGTATTTTTATTAATACACAATTTTACTCAATGGAAGTGAAGGTTTGGAAATTTGCAGTAGTCACAGTGTGCTCGTTTTGAAACTCTGCCCTTTCGATCTTTGAATAGGGACTGCCTTCCCTTTGCAGCCACTCTTTCATTAGGTTCACCTTCTCAGGAGGGCCTTCTAGTTGGCCCTGTACTGTGCCCTCGGCAGTGTTTTTGCACCAGCCACACACCTGCAGTCGCTGTGCTGCTTCCAAAGCGTACTTCCGGAAACTTACTCCTGTATAGACATAATTTAATCTAAGGCTAAAATTCGATTTTTAAAACTACCTTGCACTTTTCCAAAGACTTCAAAATCTACTGCTAGCAGTTCACCGGCCATGCTGAGTGAGCTTTATTTTTGGTTCGTAGTGCCACCTCCCGAGCTAAAGCAAAATTGCTTATTTTTAGTTAAATCAATAACACAGCTCGCAGGCTAGAATTTTTTTTTTTAATTTTTTAATTAATCTTTTTAATTATTTCTCCTTAAAAAATTAAGTTTAAATTAAACACTTTCATTCGCTTACAAAATTTTTATTATACCAATTTGCATCAAATAAGCCACTGAGAACTGAAATAATAATTAATATTCCGACAGTAAAAATTAAATTTGTTTCTCTTTTAGGTTAAAAAATCATTTTTATGCTGTGGGTTTATGATTTATTTTTAAATTGAGCATTATTTAAATATTATATCCAATAAATAATTTACTGCTTCGTCCTGCCCAACCATTTTTTAATGCCTCTATTTCTGTTATTTCTATCGGTGCACTTTGAAGTCCGAATACTCAATGGTAAATTTGGTCAAAGTCTTTTCATTCCTGAATTCCGCCTTCTCGATTTTGCTGCTCGGACTGCCGACGGTGGTCAGCCAGTGCTTCATTTGGTTGACAGCCTCTTCAGAGCCTTCCATGTGGCCCAGCACCGTCCCGTGTTTGGTGTTGGAGCACCAACCCCGCAGACCGAGCTGCTTGCCGGTCTGGACAGTGTATTTTCTGAAGAAGACGCCTGATTTTCAAAAACAGAGCGTAAAAATCGGAAAATTTTCAGTGGGGTCCGATAAATAATTCACCTTGAACACGACCGAAAACCTCAAAATCCGCAGAGACGATCTGCTCCGCTGCCATGGTCGCTCTCTGTCTTGTTGTCAAATTCTGGTTCAAAAAATTAGCGCGCTTTTGCTGTTAGGCAACCGGCGTTGCAAACATGTCGTGCAGGCTGCAGACTTTATAAATTCAAGTGATACAAACGCAATTTCTATCATTTAAGAGGGGGGAAATAAAAATTGAATTTATAGGATTAAATAAAGAACAATTTAAATTATAAAAATAAATAGAAAATTGCTCCGTGGATTTCATATCTTTTCTTTTTTGATCTTAGTTTCTTTTGTAATTTGTTTTGATGTGTATCTAAATAAATTAACACTGAAGTTGCTTCCACTGAAATTTAACTTTATTGGCCTTAAGTACAACTTGCGCTCATATTGTGTCGCTATTTTATTTTGATGTGGACAAGGTGTGTTTCTTCAAAATGAATTGACGAACGGATGCAAGAATGTTTGGTGAGGGACACAAGGAAAAATTCGTCGGTTTCGTCTACTTTTCCCAAAGAGAAGAGAATTTAATTAATTAGAGAGAAGAGACAAAGAGATGAGTGCAAATCGAAGCGTGCTCTCGTGTTATTGGTTTTGTAGACGTAGGCCTGCTTTCCGCGCTTTCAACACATACACACAAAAATAGCTTGGATATATAATGTAACAACATGAATAACTATTTCGCACAGCATTAATAATGGGTATAATAACATCGACGTAGAGAGTAATATAATATATTTATACTAATGATCAAAAACGTGCAGCTAATCAAAATTTCGATTGCGGTTAATTTGAATGGAAAAAGAGGAATAGCCACAGTAAGTCTGATCAATTGACACGTTTCACTTCTTCTTCTACAGGTCAGGAGATAATAAAGTGGTGAGACCTGAGCTTTTTTAGTAAAAGCATTTTGTTAGCAAACTATCAATTAAAAATAAAAATGTGGAAATCTGCAAGTCAATATCAAACACGTCCAATTCAGATGAATTTCTTTTCCTGGTTTTTTTTGTCTTCATATAAAAATATATAAGAAAATAAATAAAAGAAGTTTGGAGAAACTGCTTTTTTCACTAATAGCCGGGAAAATGAAACTGGAAGGGAGGAAAGGGCGCCAAAGGGCGGCTCTGAGCCGGTGGTGACGTCAGTCTGTGGACAATGCTGGAGGTATTTGAGAGGCTGGGGTTCAAATACCCCCAGAGTGCCCGGCACAAAAGTCACCATCGGCCGGAAATATATAGATTTTATTTCTCCTTCAATTCTAAGTCTAAAATATTTCTGCGTATATTAACACGTATCATACGTTAAATATCCAATAGTATATTCATATAATATATTTATCTGTATTTCCTTCTTTTTTTTTAATCTGAGACTGACTAGAACGCAAAACACAAGAGTGTGTGTAGTTTGTATTTTAATGATGATGGATTCGCTACACGTTAACCTTCTTTTGTATTATTCCTTCGAATATGCAAATCTGAGTGGGAAAAAATCAAAACGGCGTCGCGAGTTTGTGTCGAGAACCGTCAGCTCGTGCGGCGCCGCGGCCCGGAGGCCCCGCCGGGCGGGGCCGCGGGGCGACGGCGCCCCGTGGGGTCGCCGGGTCGTCATTAAATTTTTCTCTCTTTTCTACTGGGGCAGGGCCTTGAGGATGGCGTGCACCTCCTCAGCCACGGCCATCAACACCAGTTCGAACTGCGCTTTCGAACGCACCATGCCGCACCGTTGGTCGCGGATGTGCTCCAGCGTGGCCGCGATGTCAATCTCCTTGGCGCCCTTGGACATCCGGTTCAGCACCATGTCCAGCAGGCAGTAGGTGCCCGTCCGACCGGCGCCGTCGCTGCAGTGCACCACGATGGGACACGAGCGACCCCGGTAAGATTTGTTCACCTTCCTGCAAATAAAGGCGCAAAAGAAATGTTTTCACTCAAATATTTCTAACGATTGCAAAAATAAACCCAACAATAATAAATCCATTTTACAAGCATATAAAAAAAAAAATATATAAATATATTACGGACTTATAATTATTGGTAATACTTTTAGCTAGAAAAATAAAAAATGTTTTGGAAAAGTTTGATTTTATACAAACGAAAATATATATAAACAAACTTAGAATATGAATTTGTTTCAAATTTTAAACTTTTAATCGCTTTCAATAAAATGGAATAAAAAAAAATTAAATTTGCAGTGACCTTCTAAACTCAAGCAGCGCCTTGATTGAATGCGGCACTGCGCCTTCGGGCCAGGACAAAAAGTGGAACTGCGTGACCGTCCTTGTCTCTCCAGTCTTGACGTTCTTCAGGTAGAAACTTCTGACCAGGTAATCGTCGCACCACACATGCTCACTAACCAGATGCACCTAAAACGGTAGAATTTTTGTCTTTTATTAAAAAAAATGGACCAAAAAACTTATTTCGTCCAAACCTCGTAGATGTGGTAGAGGCCGGAACCCTCCTCGGGCCAGTAGCGGTGGCACATGACGGCGCCATTCTCGTTCAGTCTGGTCAGCATGACCATGACGACGCTGCCCTGCTCCCAAACCATTTGCCAAAAGTCGGCCACGGTTGTTTCCAGCGGCCCTTGCGTTGCAATGTATGCAGGGTTGCGTGGATCGTGATCAGTCTGTTTCAAAAGAAAGTCAGTTTTTTATAATGGATATTACATTAATATCACTCCTCAGGATTTAATTAAGTGTCACAATTAAATTATTGGAAGGAGAGGGATTAACAACGCTCAGAAAAATTTCTATAGAAAAAGTTAATGGTTTTGAGAGAAACTTTAAAAATCAAAATTTAAAAAAAAAGACAAAGATATATCTCAAAATAATAATACGTAATACAGCAGTCAATTTTAGCATTAAATCTTCCATAATCATATATTATTCTAATTCATTTTGAAATATTTGTACTCACGATGGAAGAGGCGTTGATGTAGTCGGAGCCGTTGGCATTGGCCAGTTCATTAAGCACCACTCTCGCGTGATCATATGGCAGTGCATTCTCATACCTGTTCCTTGCCTTGTTTTCTTGCTGGATTTTTGATACATCAACTTAGTTGAGTGATGATATTTTAAATAAATCTACTACCTTTGTAGCAACGGTGGTCTCGTTAGGCTCTGCCTCGTACGCGCAAAGAGCTGCCCACTCCTGGTCCAAACGTCCCTTGTTGTGCAAATGGTCCTCCATGTATGACTGCAAACGCGAGTAATTTGTTTTTATTGGAACATTCAAATATCAAAGACTTTGACATAGGAATTAAATTATCAGAAATTATCAGTATTGACGTTTGGGTAATTAATAGCAAGGAATAAAAAAAGCATAACTTTTGTAACTTTTGAGGTTTCTAACAAAAAAACCAACATATTAAAAATGGTTTTGAATTGTTTTCGTCCATTTTAACAGAATACTTCAAATATTGCCAGCATTCCTTTTCTTAATTTTTTTAAATCTATGTTTGCATAAAAATAACTCACCAGCACCATGTGTCCAGTCGAGATGTCCATATTAGTCAAAGCTGGTTCCTCACTCCTATACACAAAAATTTCAAACTCAATTATTTCAAAATTAAATAGGAAAATTTAAACAGACCATGACGAGGTGCTACTGCGGTTGCTGTTGGGACTGTTGTTGCCGTCGCCCTCCTTGGTCAAACTGACGACGCGGTGCGAACCGCAAATTTCGCCTTTTTCCGACTTGGTGGCCATGCGAGCGCGACACAGGTCCTGGTAGTCCTTGCTGGCCTGGTCGGGGTTGTTGAGCTGCTGCAACTTGGCCCTGGTCTTGGCGTGCCGGCCCAGCAGGACCAACACGCCGGCGGCGACGGCGCCCGCGAACAGCACGCCGCTCACCAGAAGCCCCAAAATCAGAATCTGCCGCTCCGTCTCCGCTCCTGCGCCCAAACCGGTCACGTTTGGCAGCTTGTTCTGCTAGAAAATTAAGTTGAAATTCGCGCAATCTTCACAACAAAACAAACATTTGTGTTCCTAATTTAATAAATATTTGAAATTTTGGCATATTTTATTTCAAAATATTTTAGTAAATTGGATAATATAACAGAAGTTTAATTATTATTATTTTATTTACATAATTATATTCAGAAAAGATGGATCGATTTAAAAAAAAGGAACATAAAAAAGAGGTAAGAAGTGGAAGGAAGGTTAACCCATTGATTAAATTAAACCTCAATTTTCATGATTTGCTTCTTTTTTAGCAGTTTTCTTCCCCCAATGAAATTAAAAAATATAATTAATAAATTAATTAATTAATTAATAATTTTCCTACCTTGTCACCAATTCCTGACGAGGACACTTCCACTCCGATCAGATCCTTCAATTGCTGCTTGAGACTGTCAACCCTGCGCGCCACCTCACTCGCGTTCAATCCCTGCTCATTAGGTTCCTCCACCTTAAAGGTGACTTCATTCACGTCTACCCTGACGTTGCTCAAATCACTACGATCCAGATGTAGCAAATCAGCGATCGCGTTTACCACATCAGCGCCCTGTTTCCAACTGCTCACCCTTTAATAGAAACATTAAAAATCCAAAATTATACAGCTAACACAGCAGACGGTAATGTTAGTTTGAAGAAAAAAATTTTATTACTGCGTCCAAAAATTTGAAAACTTACAAAAATTAATTGTAAATCAGCAAAATCCAATAAAAAACTTAAATATGTGAAAAATGTGGTTTATTGTATTTTTGCAAATAATTTTTCTAAAACTTGGTTTAACAAATAATTTTAAAAGTTTTAGCATTATTTTCTTCATTATCGGTTCAAACTCGAATTTTTAACTGAAATTTTAATTAAATTTACCTGTTCTTAAATCCAACAAATGCGTAGCTGGGGTCAACCAAATCCAAATGCGACAGGTCATCCTCTCCTGGGGGTGGTAGTGGGGGTTGCGGGGGTGGCGGAGGTCGGCGCCGCGTCTTGCTCTGCGGGATTTCATTGGTGTCCGCCGACACATGTTTCTCCATTACTTCCCTCTGTCAATGCGAAAACCAAAAATGAACAACTTTTATTCTTTGCTTAAAACGAATAAAATTGTCGGACACAATATAAATATTGATAAAATAATTTTTAAAAGACTGCTAGAATAATATTATTTTATATTCTCTGTAAAAGATAAACTATTTTCCAACCTTAATATATTATTTTCTTTAAAATAAAATTCAATCATCAACTTACCGTGAGCTGCAATTTTTTACTGCTGGGCTGGTCGGACTGCATTTTCTCCTCTTCCTTATCGTTCGAGGGGATTTCATTGGTTGTGTCCTGGCGTGTCAAAATATTAGCCCAAAAACCAATTTATAAGTTTTCAAAATTTCCATACGTAAGCATAGCTGTTTGTGTGGAAAGGCGGCCCTGGTTTTTTCACGTCCAATCGTTCCCTCCGCTTGAAGCCCCAGTCCAGATCTCCGTACTGCGCCAGAATTGCCGACAAACGCGAAGCCTTGGCGTCCAACGAGCTCTTCCTCTTGTTTTCCTCGCCTTGGATTGTTAATTAGCTATGGGTGTAAAAGAGCTTGAAGAAAAAAACTCACCCTGAGGCAGGTAAACTAGACCACCTTCAGTGTAGGCAGGTTGTGAAGCGGCTAGAAGTTGCTCCTCCTGCTCGACGTCCATCACCGAGGGGTTGCTATTGTCGTTTCCAACTTGGAGACCCAGGTGACGGGAAAAGTGGAATGGTTCTGGCTTCTCAGATTTTTTCTCATACGCAAATGCTTCTACATCTGCAGTAAAGTTAAGCAGAAAACAATCTCATTTAGTTGAAACTAAAAAAAAGCTTGTTTCTAGGACGAAAATTTTCCTTTTTAAGCACTCACGATGACATAAATTTTAACGTTTATATTTTATAAAGCCGCTTTTATCAGAGGTGGTGAAGATAGATTTTATAAAGAAGATACAATTATAATTAAGATTTTCTTTAAGTTTAACTGAAAACAAAATGATTACAAATATTGAAAATGAAAAAAAAAAATACACGCCCTTGTGTTTGAAAACTACAGTTACAGTTGCAAATGAATTTAATTAATTATTTTTCGAACAATTCAAATTATGTCAAATTAGAAAAAAATTCCTACCGTTGGAGGCGGAACGCTGCTCAAGAGGTGGAAAGTAGAGCTCGTCGGCAAAGTCGGGGTGTGGGTTTTTGGCGCTGGGCACAAAACGGACGAAGGCGACGTCTTTGGCGTCTATTGCTCCGTCCGTTTTGCCTTCGTTTTGGCGCGGAGTTACTTGCAGCGCCAGGTCGGCCAGTGGCACGCACTCGTCAGGGTCCGCGTCCTCGTCCAGCTCCTCTCTACATAAACATTTTTTTAGCGTTTTTTTTCTTCTTCTTTGCAGCATTTTCAATTTTTACGTACCCAAGCTGAAGAGTGCGCAACGACGCTTGCATGACGCACTGCGTGTACGCGTGACTCCAGCGGAAACCGGCCTCGAAGAGTCGAGACATCTGCGCCTCGAGGATTTGCAGCTCGACGGGCCCGAGTTCGCGCCGGTGCAGGAATTCCTCCGACACGTGGCCGTACAGTGGAAGACACCGGCCGAATGCATAGTCTGAGAATTTTACTCATAGAATAAAACCTGCTGAAATATTTGAAGGAGAAACTCACCATCGAAACACCACTCGAACTCCTCGGCGCACAAATCTGAGCTGAAGAGGCAGCCTATTAACAACAACAACAAAAATATATTTTCATTCATTAATTTTTACATGAAATTATGAAAAAGTTATAATTTTTTTTTAATTTAGGCCTATAGAAACGGAAATATGGAAGAGAATCCACAAATTTAATATTTTGAGCATTAGATTTTCAGATGTTTTAAAACCATTTAATTCTGAGAATTAAATTAAAGGCTTAAAGGATAAATTAAATAACATCTTTTTTAAATTTCCTCATAACTTACAAATAAAGAGTCAACTCTATGGTTCAATTTTACATGGAAATGGAAACCCCCTAAAATTTCTGATCATTTCAAGTTCTAAATAGTGAGGTTTGAATTTCAAGAGGAAGTAAGATCAATTTTATTTCTTTTGTAATTAAGGATATCTCTATATATTTAGAGTTTTCAGATGGTTAAAAATTATCATTTAAAATTTGATATCAAATTTTATTAAATTGTGCTGAGAAATTCCAGCCTTTAAGATTTTAAATATGTCCACAAATTTCGTATGTATTATTCTTTCCATTTTTTTTCTACTGTGATCTCAAAACGTATTCCAATGTGAGCCAATATCCACCAATCAGCAATTTTTTTCTTAGAGTCTAAAAAATATAATTTATACTTTCAGCTATTCAAACTCGACGTGCACCTGGATAATATTGTTACATAATTCAATTCATTATTGGTACAGTGTCATTATTATGAGTTACTATCTAGCTTGGCAGCACTTGACAGTACGCAATTATATGCAGAAAGGAGACAGGTGCAGTGTGTGGGCGAGCCGACAAAAGGGCAATTTTTGATAAGCGGCCAATTTTATCGCGAGTGTAACTTTCCACCTTTTTATCGCCCCCAGCTCGCTTGCTGCCTGAAAAGTCTGAAAGCCGAAAAGGCCTCGTTTGCTTCTGCATTAGCTTTTCCCGATTTTTTGCCCGAGCTAACAAGCTCTGGGCCAACTTCAAAAGGCTTTTTTTAACGAGATGTGCCAACACGCATGAAAAAAAACCAAAGTAGGCGGTCGTGTGCGACTCTCCGGGTCAGGTTTGTTGAACCAGCAAGAACTTCCATTCCATGAATGAGGAGCAGGTCACGTTTGAAAGAATTGAAGCATCTGTAGCTCGCGGCGGGGTGCGGGTGCGACCCACAAATTTGAGCTGCTGGCGCAATTTATCGATTCGCCCCATCAACACAAAACACAAAGGCAGCGAGATAGGCGCACTACTTTTTTGCCTTTGTTCCATTTTTCTATCAACTTGTTCCCGAATATTCTGAGCAATTCCTTTTTCATTAGAAGAATCCCAAATAGAACTAAAAAGTAAAAATATGTTTCATTTTCAGACAAGATGTTCTTCTAAACACAAAGTGCAAATTGCGTCTCTCCTCTAAAAGTGAAGATGAAGCTTTCGGTGAAAAGGACCTGTTGATGCTACGTGGCAATCGATCCGCCAGAAAGTTGCACCCCTCTCACCCGCAGTCCAACATACCCCTTGGGGTGTTGCTTTTGTTAATTCCTCGTTACGCCTAATTGACTAATTTGTCTTTGAGACACAATTTTCACTTCTTCTCCATGGCGACAGAAATTAATTACATTGTACATCTTGATTAGGCCTTTTCTAGAGAAATTTAAAACAGTAAGGAGAACTTCTCTCAATTTGGGATCCCATAAATGCAAGTTAATTAAAATGAGGATGGTAAAAATCTCTGATATTTATTCCATGGCACCTTTTGAAAAGTACCCTTTATACTGAAAAGTACATTGGCTAAATCGCCCACGCATTTATTGTATTTTTTTTTTTTTAAGAAAATTTTAAACTTTCTTTTTGTTATAACGAAAATAATCTATTTATTTTTCTTTCATGAAACAGCCTTATTGGCTGCTTATTGGAAAAATAAAATAAAATTACCACATCTAAATGTTTAAATATTTTTTGATCAAGAATCATATTAAAAATCAGCTTAAAATAAAACTTCTGTTATATCTTGGCAAACATTCCACTCTATTTTGAATTTATTTCATATCGATTTTGCACAAAATTTTTACCAAGTTGAAATTAAATGGTGCGTGCATGCTTTAGTTGGGCCTAACATTTTTTTTTTAAATATTAAATATATTTTGTATGTTCATTTGAATTTTTAATGTTTTGCGATTGCGTGTTGTGGACAAGCATTATTGCACAAGAAGACTTTAAGCCTTTGCGTGAATGATCTTAAGATAATACACTGCTGAAATATAAATACGTCTTAAACGTGACTATCCAGATAAACAATCACTTCAAGCTTTAGCCTTTAAAATTTTTATTTTCATATTTTCACTAACTAATTCAATCGTTAAAAATTCAATGTGTATTTTTGGCCTGATTATAAGACGACAGCACATTTTTAAAAGAAAAAGTTTGCCCGGCCTCAAGATTTTTTGTTATACTAATATTCCTTGATTGATGAATTATATCCGAAAATGGGTTTTAGAAGTCTAACTCATTGTTATGTTTTTATTAAATTTTGGCCAGGGTGCGTCAAATCACAATTAGCAACCCTGGAAAAATCGATCAAAATGGTCAAACAATAGGCACTTGTATTCTCCTCTCCAGTTTGACATCACAAAAGTCAATAAAAAATAGCTTTATCAAGAATTATTCAGGCTTATTTTACTTTGTTTTCATCGTAACAATACAAGTTTCCTTTTCTCCTTAAATTTATTTTAAACGCTCGCGTGCTTTTCTAAGAGCTCTGCTCTTACTCAAATTGTCACAGACCTCAAGAAAAAAAGAAAATATTTGTTTTTAGAGCGTCCACTTAGGAGGCGGTGGTTAATTAAGGAAGGTGCGGCGCAAATCCGGGGGCGAAAATCGACTGGCGGCCGCCCACACGCGGGGTCGGCGGCGCCGGCGCCGCCACCCGCTGACGTCATCAGCGCCACCCACTCGTTCTCTGGTCATGATATTGATTCGCCGCCCGTTTGCTCGCTCGTCATCTCGCGAGGAGAAAGGAGGCGAAAAGCAGTCGACGAGAAATAACAAAAACACCAAAGAAGTGCAACCCCCGTTAAAATTCATATTTCTCCTGTATAATTAAAATTCATTCCTGACCTCATTTCAGCTCTTTTCCGAGCAATTATGTTTATGTTTGAAAAAAACACACATGAGATTTTTAGCGCTAAGGCTAAATAATTAACCATTGCTCTGCGGATTCGGGCGTCACCCTTATCTCTCTTTTCTCCCTGCCCAGAAATCGCGTGTTCTCTCCATCTGATCCGACCATTGGCAGGCTATTTTCATCCAAGGGCTTGACGCAGACCTGTTGTGTTGAGATCGACCCAAATTGCACCAAAGTGAACAAAAATCCGAAACTCAATTTTTAAGTCATTTGCGCAATGCCTGCAGATATTGAGCTAATTGTCCGCGTCACCCCTGTCGATAGCAACCTGCGTTATGCAACCAGTTTGGCGTGCGTGACGAGCGGCACAGCATCTCTGCGTAACAACCCGACCTTTTGCCGAAAAAATTGATTTTGCATTCAGCGCCAATCATAAAAAAATAATTGTTGTTCGCTATGACAGTGTCACTTCCGGCGAGTCCGCATGTGGGTAGAACAACGAACGATTCACTCGAGCGATAAGAACTGCTTTGATTTCCCCTGCGAAATGGAAACTGCCTAAACGATTGGCGAAAATCCAATTCCAGGTTTGAATCATTGATTTGCCAACAGACCTCTCTGAATGATTAAAAAATGCTTTTTGGACTTAAAGCTAGGCGAATTAAAATTTATTCTTGTTCGTATAATGATAAAAAAAAGGAAAAGGTCGACTAATGAGAGGCAGGTTTTTTATCACTTTTTTATCAGCAAGGTTTCTTCCCTCTTTTTCTCGAAGGACACCACGTTTTTCTTTTTTGTAAAGTTGGAAGTTAATTTCAGAGATTCTCTTTTCCAGCTCTTTCCGTCTCCTTGATATTGAAGTGGCGGCGTTAGATTGTTTGAACTGGGTGGAAAAATATGCAGGCGCGCGTTTGATCAGAGCACAATAATCGCCGCGACACAATTTTCAGCCTTCAAAAGCTACCTCCACTACTTGCTGATAAACCTCCAGAGTTTAACAAACCCTCCTCATAGTGTGAATGCAAATTGGTGGCTTTTCTAACAAAATTTATTCGACTTTGGAATTTTAAACCACAATCAATGAGACGAGCCTAGACACACTTCAAAATAGGAAAGGGATGTGGTTTCGAAAGACATAAATCGTGATGTTTACAGCCGATTTCGACCTTGCTTATTGTTTTCCACTTTGACGGGATGTAATTCACCTAAATATAAACCAAGTTCAATGTCACACGAAAATTATAATTTATCAGTAAAAAAACTTATTTTAGTTTTATGTTCAGACATAGTTTTTTTTTGTTTGGTACAAAAAGAAAAGCAATTCCATCAAAAGAGGAGGATAAATGAAAACGGATGTGCGGGAGGATTTATCTTTCATCTCATGCGCCGCTAGACTTTTTCCCACACGCTCAGAAAACGAAACTTTTTGCTTTCCACAAACAAATTGCCTCAGGAGGTTAAATGGACTCTTCCGAAAAAGCGAAATGTGGGTCGCATTGTTTGTGCTTGCAAGATATCCTTAAAGATCAAACAAGCAAATTTGTGTAAAAAAAGAGACAAATTTTGATGAAAAAATAAATAATTTCATTCTGTATACTTTTCAGGGGTTAAATTTTTGGCGACTTTCTAGAAATTGTAACAACAAAAAATATTCTCACCGATATTTCCAAGGGCGAGGGCGGCCGGGGGCCGTAGAAGGGCCGCCTCCAGGAATAGCAGCAGCAGCAGGCGGCTGGGGGTGGCGCCCCCGTACATGCTGCGAGGGTGGTTTCGGTTGGAATCTCACATGGCGCCAGGTGGGCCGCCCGCCCGCCTGCTCACCATAGTCGCAAATGACGCTCAAAGTGCGAATGCGGCCCCCGGCCGCCGCCGCTCGCCCCCACCCGTGCGCCCGCCGCCCCTCTACTGCCTCCGAGCGCCGCACCAGCGAACAGGTGGCGCCATGTTCTCCATTCCGAACGACCTTTACTCTTTCTTCCTTTACCCCGCAGCGTATGCGGTTTGACTTCCCAAGTAGATAAAATAATGCAAAAATTTGGCAGAATTCTTCTGTTATTATTATTATTATTTTTTTTTTGCTGTTGTGTTTCATCGATGTTCGTCCTAGAAACACTCTTGGAAGTAAGGTGGGGGTGGTTCTATTTGGGGAGTTGGAGGGTTTTGCGTGGGTGAACAAAGAGGAAGGGAAGGGCGCGGGGGTTGTGCGGAGGCGTCGCTCGATCGGGGTGAATGGGCCCACCGTGAGCTTTTACTCAACCCCACGCCTTACACGCGTTTTTGCGAATTCCATTCTTCTCTGATCAAACTTATAAAACAATGTTGAAAACTCATGAATTGTCAAATACAAAAGTTTTTATTCAGGAAAACTCGCACTTTAGAATTTGAATATGGAATTTCAAATAAGCTTTCTCCGCAAATAAAATTTTGATGTATCAATTTTAATGATTTTATCTGGAAATTGCTTTTCAAAATAGCAGAAAAATTAATTAAAAATTTTAATATTTTTGCTTTGTATAATAAAGCGAAATGATTGATTAAAAATATAGAGAATATTATTAAAAATTGCAAATTGAGTGCGTTAATAGCTTATAAACAAAATTAACTTTCTTATTATTTTTTTTAATATTCGTTTTTTATGCATATCTATCATGTTCTATCAATGCTAAAATCTAAAATATTTAAATTATCATTACTAAAATCCATTTTAAAATTTTAAAATCTCGCTCGCTGACATATTTCGACAAAATAATAACATATTTTTCTGCCGTTAGATGTCGGTTGCGCCTTAATTAATTAATGTTTTCATATCTGATCCAGTCTGATCTTTGCGTCACCCAGAGTCGCCCGTTGGATTCGGCGGATGCTGCGTATATTTATCCGACTTGCCTCTCTTTAAGTGCGGCCGCTTGCTGCCGATTGCCGACGCATTCGATAATCCAAGTTCGTAGTTCCGAGTCAATCAAATTTGCTCAGACTATGTTGGATGGAGGCGCCAGTGCTAACGAAAAGGCTTAAAACCAATTCAAGGGTTTTAAAATTCACATTAAATAAAAAGATTTACCTCTTTTCAACAGCAATTCTATTATTTGTGGAGCCCTTCAAATTCTTGATATCATATTTTTCTTTAATTACTGTTTGGTGCAATAATATTGTGATTCTATCTTTTAATGGCAGGCAAATTTCTTCAGTGCTCATGTTATTGTTGTTATGTTGTGGCCCGATCACCGCATGTTAAGTATTGTTTTATAAAAATAAAGGCGTTCCTTTTTGCCCTTTTTTATACCAAATAAATTGGAAAAATTCCACGTTTTATTAGAAAAAATGCCAATTTATAACTTTAAACTTATCAGTAACACTTTTTCCTTTTTATTTTAATTGAAATAATTATTGAAAAAAAAATGGAAAATTAAATGACGTGAACAATAATTATTTTATTAAACGCGTTTGCGTACAACCGTGAAGAACATGCGCCCCAATTGTCAGCCTTTACCGGGCTTTTAGCAATGATAGTAACATTTTTTACCGCCATCAGATGTCGGCGCTCCATGTTTTCAGCTGGTCTGTCCGTCGACAAGTCACCTGTTGTAGGATGCACTGACTTATTGGTGGATGCTGCCTGTTTATCGTGTCCTTGTCCTGTAGCAAGGGCAGCATCCCGACCTGCCCTGTTTTAAGGGCAACCTTGCTCTCAACCCATTCGTTCATCCTGGTTCGTATAAATTTGCTTCTTTAGCCGGATATTAATGATCTCTTACAGTGATCTACTTTCGTTGTTTTGCAAATTGTAAAAAGGTTTTTCTCGCAATTAGTGAGATCAAAGAAGAAAAACGACGATGAACTTTCGTATTTAAGATAATTTTAGATTGCGCTCACGTGGCAGTCGATAAATGTTAATCTGCAACACGTGGACTGAATAAAAAATCACAATTATAAAATTGAGTTTTCATCAAAGCCGATCAGATTTTTTTTTCATCAAAGACAATTTTTAAAAAATTAGAATTATATATAAAAAATATTATACGCAAGTACATAGTGGTCGGATCAATTTTTAAGATTTAAATTATTTCCAAATTAAAATTTTGAGCCTAAAAATTTTGCGAATGTTGTTTCAAGATCATATAGAGGAACAATATTGTTTTATAAATATTTTCAGCTGGTGAACTACACGTTTAGGAGCGCGGTTGGATAAAAGTTAGAAAACTACCTAGGATACAGCTAGGATATTTAAAAAAAAAATAGGAACAATGTTTGCCCAACTTTTTGAAGTGTCAATGGCCACTGCCTCCAAAGCAATGGTTAGTTTTAAATAAATTCGTCTGAACCCCTGGCCTGGCAGTTTAGGCTTTTATTTTAAGGAGCATGGTGCATTTTTGAGGTTATGTATCTGTATATTTTTGTATTTAATTTAGCATGAGTTTGAGTTGCAACATTGAGGTGATGGCAATTTATTAAAAAAAAATTCATTTCCGTTTTTAGGCGTTTGTGAGCTTAAGCTGTACTATTATTTTAATTTACAGTTTCTAGTTTGTTTTACTAGGAAATTTTGTAGCGTGTTACACAAATTTAAGTTCCATAGGTTGTTTCAGATTTAAGTTTTTATCTCTGCAATTAATTCAATTCCTTTAAAATTGTACATTTTTTTATGCCTGGTAGCTGGATTGAGTTTTGATTTTTTTTTCTGTTTCCTGCAATACGTGTTATGCTTGTATTTATAAAAAAGCTATTTTCAGGCTTCTTACGTGAGCAGAAGTTTTGCCCTGAAGCTGCCGAGCAAAGTGTGCGGCTCGATGGCTCCGAACGCAAGATTTTTCTCCCAAAATTCGCCACAACTGCCACGGCTGCCGGTGCCGCCGCTCAAAACCACCCTTGAGCGCTATTTGAGGTAGAAAACTATAAGGAAAAATAAATCGGTTTTATAAAATTTTAAAACATTTAATTCAGATCAGTAAAGCCGTTTGTCGATGAGAAAGAATTTAAAGTCACACAAGCCTTGGCTGAAAAATTTAGTGGTGGAGTTGGCGAAAAACTGCAGAAATTATTAGAGGACAGGGCAAAGAAAACAGAAAATTGGGTAAAGTTTATTTAATTATTTTTATTCTTTTAATATGAAAATTGTGTTAGCTGGCAGATTGGTGGTTAAATTCTGCGTATCTGGAGTTTCGAGCGCCTGTAGTGGTATTTTCCAATCCTGGTTTAGTTTTTCCAAGGCGCCAAATTTCATCCAGAGATGAGCAAGTGGCCCACGCATCACAGGTTATTTCTGCTGCTTTGGACTTCAAAGTCAGACTTGATACGTAAGTCAGATTAAATTAGTTTAAATAAAATAATTTCAATTTTCGATTAATTATTTAGGAATCAAATTGCGCAAGAAAAAATGGGACCTCATTTGCTGGACATGTCGCAGTACTTTAAGGTTTTGGGAACCTGTCGAATTCCAGCCTTGAAACGGGACAAGTTGCGCCTGCCCGACCAAAATGCGCCTTCGACTCACATTGTCGTCATGCACAACAATCACGTCAGTTAATTTTGGCTGATATATATATACGAAAATTAATTTTTAAATCAGTTTTTCAAAGTAAATGTCTATGGAGACCACGGCGGGCCCATCAGCCAGGGTCAGATTTTAGCCCAGTTGAAGGATTGTGTTTCCAACTCGAAAGAAACGGCCCCTCCTGTTGGCATCCTCACCTCTGAACACAGAGACAATTGGGCAAAGGCGCACGAAATTCTCAGCCAAAGTAAATATTTTTGAAAAAAAAAAAAATTATTCCCCTTCAAGTAAAAAAATTACTCGTTCTCAGAGATAAAAATTAATAGTTTTGAAGCTACAATTTTTCATTGTAATTTTTAAAATAATTAAAAAAAAATATGTTTCTTAGGTGCCAAGAATAAGGCTGTTTTTGACGCCATTGAAACGTGTCTGTTCCTGGTCTGCATCGATGGCCCTCCATCACCGGCAGAAAGGGCAGCACCCAACAAATTTACCTCGGCAGCTCTCAAAATGACTCACGGTGGTGGTTCTCTGGGTAACTCTGGAAATCGATGGTTTGACAAAACCATCCAAGTATGAATTTAAATTAATTTGTTGAAACATATATTTGAAATAATTTAATTTTCTCTAGTTTGTTTTTGGTCCTGACGGAGAGGTTGGCTTGACCTACGAGCATAGTCCTGCTGAGGGTCAACCAATTGCTGTCATGATGGACCATATTGTCAACTACTGGTTTGTTTTAAAACAAAATATTTCCAACTTTAAATTCAGCACAATCAAATTCTAGTGCGCAGCAACCAAGACCACAACAGCCAGCAATAAAATTTGCAAAACCTTTGAAATTGCAATTTGAGGTCAAAAGTGAAGTGTCTGGATTGATTGAACAAGCAAAAACCAACCTGGATAAGTAAATAATTATTCTTCAGTTGAATTTTAAATTAATATAAATTTACCTCCAGACTTGTAGATGACTTGGAAATGTACAGTTTTGCCTACACTGGATATGGAAAGGAATACATCAAATCCCAAAAGCTCAGCCCAGACAGCTACGTCCAAATGGCAATCCAGTATGCTTTTTACAGGTGAATTTATAATTAATGAAAAGTTGAAACATAACAACTAATTTTTTTTTTCACTCAGGCTGCACAATGTTCCTGGTGCCCATTATGAGTCGGCCGCCACTCGCAGGTTCATCCACGGACGGACTGAAACAATCCGCTCCTGTTCCTCCGAGTCGATCAAATTTGCTCAGACTATGTTGGACGGAGGCGCCAGTGCCAACGAAAAGGCCTCGACTTTGAGAAGCGCCATCAAAGCCCACAAGGATTACGCTACTTTGGTAATATTATTAATTAATAATTTTCCTGTGATTTTAAATTTTTTTCTAACTAGGTATCTACTTTTGTGCCTTATTTTTTTTACTCATTAGATTTATTCTTATTTAATTTTAGTTGTGTAATGCTGAAAGTACAATAAATAAAATTTTAGGCTTTGGCTGGAGAAGGTGTAGATAGGCACTTCCTCGGGCTTAGACTGATTGCCACTGAGAATCAAATTGAGCTTCCAGAGTTCTTCAAAGACGCCGCCTTTACCCGGAGCTCCTACATGCGCCTCTCCACCAGTCAGGTGGGGTTTCATAAATTTTAATCAAGAACATTTTATTGTAATGTGAATTGTAGGTGGCAGGGCGCAGCGAGTCTTTCATGTGCTACGGTCCTTTAGTACCCGATGGTTATGCTTGTTGTTACAACCCGAGGGCCAACGACATCATCTTCGGAACTTCCGCCCACAATTCATGCTCCGAAACCAGCGCTCGCAATTTTGCCAGCGCTTTGGAAGAATCCTTCACCGATATGCAAAGAATCTTGAACCTGTCGCCTCTGGCCAAACTGTGATTAACTAAGAACGCCTTTTTATAAAATTCACATGAAAAATAAACAAGACCACCTTTATAATTACCACCCAAGACTGCAAAAAAAATAATTTACATGAAGACAATAAAATATATTCAAAAAGTGTAACATTATCAAAATTAATGAACTTCGTTTGAAAAATAAAAATATGTTGCTTTATGAAATTTCTTCCTCCTTTAATTAGTGTAACTTGTTAAAAAATTGATAGAAATTATAATTTATAACTCACTAAGCGGCCAGATCACATAAATTAAATATCTTTTATAATTTATTTAGCTGCTAATAACAGTACAATGTTGATTACAAAGCAAAGAAGTTTCCAATGGAAAATGAAATTATGTTCGAAAAGCTAAATGTAAGTAAATTTTAACCTTTCACATTTTTACTAAGAAAATATCGCTTTAACTTTATTTACTAGTTCACCTTGTTGATCCTTTAACTCTTAAGTTTGAGGTCAATTTTGAAGATCTTTTTTTTCCAACGGTATTAAAAAAACATCAAGAGGCAATTTTTAAAATATCTGGCAAAAGTTTTTGTATAAAATAAAACAGCTCGAGGGAATTTTTGTGCATTTTCGCTATATATTTTAATTATTTATGATACAGCAGTTTATTATTAAGTGCAGCACTACAGGGTTTTGTAGTACACATAAATAAAGTGAAAACAAATTAAAAAATAAAATTGATGGATGAATAAATACATTCCAGTGTGTGTATGTGTGTCGTCTCAAAAAAGTTGACAAATTGTTTGTTCCAAATGCTAACCTCTAATTTTCTGCGCTTGTATAAGTGGTAATTACTTTTACAATTGTTTGTTTTTTGTTGGAAAGATGGAAAAACGACGCTTTGCGGGTCTGACAAAAAGCTGCGGCCAATTTCCGTGCGCAAAAGGCACCGAAACTACATTTATATATAAATCTGCTACCACAGCTTGCGTGTAATTTATACTTGCCCCCACTCGGTTCGTTCATTTACTTATGCAAATGGCAAGAATGCGATCAGTATGATAAAATTGGGCGCAACTCGGGCACTTTTAATCGTTTGATCCGGATTGGTGTTTGGCCGAGTGGCGCCCCAACTTTCAACGACCCTCTCATTTGGAACTGGTATACAAGGGTTGTGTGATAACCCACCACGCTAGACATCAATCGAAACGCAATAGATTTTCAATTAAAATCATTTAACAAACGCGTCAAATCTCTCTCAACTTCATCTTCTTACACAAAGACAACACTAATTAACTCTTAGGACAAAAATCACACATGAAATCCGCATCAGTTTTTCTCCGAACAAAAACAGTAAGCCCGAGATTGATATTTTATTCAACTAATTGCAGTTGCCGTACGAGTTCGACCTCTCGTTCAGATCACTTGGTTTGTCACTGTTTAATTCTACCTTCACTTTTTCCTTTTTCACACACGAGTTTTGTAAAAGTTAGTAAGTTCTTCTCAAATATGGCACTTTTTGCTTCTTGATTTAGCGCACCACACACTCGTTTCAAAATTAGAGAGTAGGCCTTATTTCTGGCGGGCTGTGTGATTGAGTCTAACGCCAAGGACGCCTCCGGTCTACAAGTTTCAAGTTCGAATCGCGGCCGATCCTTTCTTTTACAAAATATACTAATTTGACTTCTTTGATGAGTGCCACTTTTGGAATTTTGATCAATTTCCGCCCAGAGGCGTCCTTCGCAGGCTAAATTGTGAAAAATGCGGAAATGAATTAAGTGCCTGTCCGTCCGAAGCAGTGACGCTTTTTGGCACTTTGCGGGCTGCGGGGCCCGTGGGTTTTTTTCCTGTCTGTCATTCACCTAAGCTAGTGGTTGACAAAACTAAGTTGCCCAGCACTGGCGAGTGGAAAGAACGGTGCAAGCGAACCAACAGCCCGGCGAACATACAGTCTTGTCCACAAATAAAGACCACTAACTTCAGCGAGATATAATTTATTTACATTATCGAAGAGTTAAAATTAAGGTTCTAACCAGTCACGCGTGCACGGGCAGAGAGAGGGAGAGAGAGAGAGAGTGGAAAAAGTCAAGAATCGGTAGAGTACGTAGTGTGTTCGAAAAGAAAGAAGCTCGTTCGGTGAGAAAACAACTAACGCTTCTTTTTACAAAATACACCTAGAGTCTAAAAGTCTCTCAGCCTCACAAATAATTCTCAACATTTGTAGCACTTACAGTTATTGCTATTATTCAGAAAATGATCAGTTGTCTTCGAAAAGTGGTAAAAATCGCGCAGAGCCAAATAAAAATACAAAATAGTTAATCGGGTTAAGGAAAAAGAAATTGTACAGGTCGTGTCGCAAGACTTGATAATATATAATTAATTTACGCTGAATATCACCACACAATACTTAATTAGTAGAACACTCTGTTCCTCTTAAACCGTACTTATTTACAACAGGGGCTCTCCTTCTTATTTTTTCCGTAAATGTTTTGAAAAAATGGATTCGGCAAAATCATTACAAAAATTGTGCAACAATTAGAAGAACAAACAGTACATATTTTCATACAAAATGTTATTGGTTCCGATGCAAAACAATCTTCTCGTAAAACGCACATTTTCACAGCTAACCTGACAATGGAGTTTGTTTTTACTTTTCTCTTACCAACTACAATAATGATAAAGTTTGTTAGATCAGTGAACGCCATAGTGTTAATTTCCGCCCGCGCCTTACCTTTTTCATTCGAGGCGGCTAGTGTAGTGAATATCATGGCTGCGCACGCAAGGTGGGTGAAAGGGTGGGGAATTTTTGTCAGGGCAAACTTAGGATTAACTTCTTTGCAGATGGCAGTGCTCGCGCTCGGATGAGCAGGACCTAGTTGACCATGAGGGTGTGCGACTCCATCGGCGCGGCCGAGTCGTACAGGGTGTCTGTGTCTTGGGTCGGCTCACCTTGCAGGTGGCACTGGTTGCTCAGGGTGCCTGCGCCACAGTCGCAGAAGAACCTGCCGGCAAATCAGTTTGTTTCATTAGCAAATTACTTTAATTGAAGTTTTAGAGCAACAAAATTATCAATTTTGTATTTAATTTTTCAAAAGAAAGTATCAACATAAAAAATTATAAATGGATGTAAATGAACAAAGTTTTGTTTAACATGTGCAACCTAGCAATAGAGCTTAACTGTATTCCTTAGGTTTTCAATTTAACTTCAACATTTGGCAATTTCTCATCAGTTTTCTCCATTGCTGATCAAACTTAAAAATTTACATAGTTACCAAAGCCCTCAAATTTAAACTGTCAATTTTGAACTTTTTTCTTTACTCATTAAAATCTGATTAAAATGCATGAATTTGGGGTGAAACTAACCTGTCATGGCGGATGAACTCTACATCGTGACCAGCATGGCAAGTCTTGATGCAGTTGACGCAGATGGCATTACGATCAGTCGTGTTGCAAGTCTGGCAACGATAGAAATCGTGCATCGGGAATGAAGTGTAGCTGGATATTTTGTACAGGCATTGGCCATTACTGACGGCCTTTTCCACTGCATCTTGATTGTTGAAGATCTTGTTGTCTGCAAGACACACATTTAATAATTTCTCCTCATGACCACCCACCCAATCACACAAAAACGCTATTCTCTCTATATAAATTACATAAAAATTCCGAATTCTTACTTCGGACACTGGGCGAGACGCCACTGGCAAGGCAGAGGCCGCCGAAGCGGTTGTTGAAAATTTGGTTCCACTCGAGCGTGGCGGTGGCGTTGTTTGTGATTTCGACGCCCGCTGCCAGCCCGTCAAAAATGCGGTTCTTGCGCAGCACAGGGTGGCTCTGCGTCGAAATCAGCACGCCTGCCTGCGCGTTCCGGAAAATGTCGTTCTCCTCGAGAACGCCTGGAAAAAAGCACAACGTTCACAACCCCACTCCTCTCTGATTACTGAAAAGCCCAAAACCTTTTCCGCCGTTGAAGATGCAGATGCCGCCATCGCGGCCATCAAAGATCTTGTTGCGCTTCAAGGTTGGATTTGAGTCTGTTTTGATCCACACGCCAGCCATGGCATTGTCGAAGATCTCATTTTGCTCTAGAAGACCTAGACCCCCGTTGTACACAAGGACACCTCCGTTCTGGCCACCCCAGATTTTGTTACCCCTAATTATAGGATTGCTGCCCGTTCTGAAAATGAGAATTTGAGTGAATTATTAAAAGTTGTATGATAAAAATGATTCACTAATTTAAAAATGAACATTTTTCTATATAATATTGTATGTATGGAATATGGATGATGTATTTGGGCAGAGAATACATTAATAAAACACAATTTTCTACTATAAAGTAGATAGATAATTACAATATTTAAAAAAGCGCCAAATTAATAATCGAATTGTAGAAAATAATAATAATATATTTCAAGATAAAATTGATGGAAATTATGTGATATATGATAAATTAGAATAAATTAAAAGAGGAGATAAAACAGTTTGAAGTTGACTGAAAATTGTCTTGCTGTTATCTATGTTGAAAAAATTCCTATCCAAAATTGTGAGAAATTTTAAGTACATACCTGATTTGCACGCCTGAGTATAAATGGTTGAAAATATCGTTGTCCTCGAGTTTGCCGTGCCCATTGTCATAAAAATAGACGCCGACCTGCTTGCCCGAGTGGATTCGGTTCCTGCGCAGGACAGGAGTGCTGCCTGTGGTGATCCACACGCCGGCCAGGGTGTTGGCGTAAACCTCGTTCTCCTCAATCAACCCCTGGCCCTTTTCATGCACGTAGATGCCACCATGCTGGCCATGGTGGATTTTGTTGTGCCGGACGATCGGGTCGCTGTTGGTCCGGATCTGGATGCCGGCCAACGCGTTCCCGTAAATGTTGTTGTGCTCGATGAGGCCGCGACCCTCGCCAAAAATGTACACGCCTCCCTGGTGGCCGTTGTAAATCTCGTTTCGGCGAATGGTCGGGTTGCTGTTTGAGGTGATCCACACGCCCGCAAAGTTGTTCGAGTGGATTTTGTTGTCGATGAACTGGCCAAGCCCGTTTTCGTGGACGTAGATTCCGCCTGTTTGGCCGTGATGGATCTCGCAGTGAACTACTGTCGGGTTGGCACCGGCCTTTACTTCAAACCCAGCAATTCGATTGTTGTGAATGTCGTTGGCCTCAAAGTACCCCATCCCATTGTCAAACGTGAAGATCCCGACGTCGCGGCCGTGGTGGATGTGGTTGCGGCGCATGATTGGGTTGGCGTAGTTTTTCACCCAGATGCCGGCTAGCGCGTTCCGGCTGATTTCGTTGTCCTCGTAGGTGCCCTGCGCGTAATCGGTGACATACAGGCCCACGTTCTCGCAGTCCGAGATGTCGCAGTGCTTCACAACAGGGTTGGCGCCCAACCCGCTCACGCAAACTGCTGACCCCACTGAAAGAATTAAAACAAAGCAAATTGTTACAAATTTGAAAACCCCAAATAATTGTGATAGGCATTGAATTTAAGTCAATATAAAATATCTAAAACGGATCAACTGAAAAATTAAAATAATAATAATAATAAAATTGCCGATTTGTCCAATTGAGGTTTAAAACTTGGTCATAAATTGATTCCTTCGTGGCCTAGAATTTATAATGATGGCATCGCATATTGCAGTTAGATCAGTATGACGGGGGAGATTCTTGATAGACTGCCTAATTCCTAAGATTGTAGTTTTCCTGAAAAAATCTTACAATGACCTTCATTTTTTTTTTTGCTTCAAATCAATCCCTTGCCAATATGTGCCTTATTATTTATTATACTCCAAGCCACTGAAGAAATAAAACATTGAAGCTCAATTTTCAAAGTTGATTTGGGGGGGGGGGGTATACTTAAAATTTCTTTTAGATAATATCTCAGATCCTTTTCTTTGTAATAATTCATGATGATATCCAATTGAAATTATTGAAAATGATCTTTTGAAAAGAAAAATCAGTTTGATTTTTTAACTCACCAACTGATGTACTCCTAATGATGCAGTGGTCAACTGTGGGCGAGCAGTTCTCCTGGATCTCCAGGCAGTAGTGTTTGTGGTGAGGAATGGTCGATGTGACGTCAGGCGAGAACTTGAGCGTCACGTAGCCAACGTAGGCTTGCTTGGCGCCCTCGGAAAAGGTGATGGTCGATTCAGTGTCCCTTTCAAGGATCACATTTTCGGCGACGTTCCCTGGCGCAGCGCCAATGAGGGTAGCATTTGATTCAATGCACAGGTACTCTCCACGGTAGGTGCCGGCATGCAGGAAGATGAGAATGTTCTCCTGGTCCTCAGCTGCCTCCAGAGCATCTTGGATGGTGTTGTAGTAGGTCAGGTTGCGGCCTCGTACCTGGAAACAGTTCCATTTGATGTTAAATTTGTGTATTTTATCGTCGAATTTTAAATTAAAAAGTTCAGTATCTAGACTGGCCAATTTGGTTAGGTAAGATTGCAAAAGGATTTTGTCGGTCAAATTCAAATTTCCTAATTAAAAGCGGTCTCAAGGTCAATTGATTAATGTTAAAATATTGAACTTAACCTGAATTGAAGGTAATAAAATATAAGGCAATTTCTTTACTTTTTCTACCTTCCCACTTTTTTTTTTTTAAATAAAATTTGTATTTATGAGATATCAATATGAGCAGATAATGCCTTGTGGTGGTATGGTACATCAGTGAACTTAATTTGAAACTAAACTAAATTCATTTGAACAGCAAAAATAATAACAGACAGTCTAATTGAAAAATACCATAGTTATAAACTAAAAGTTTTCTCATTTATAAAATACATGCTAATTTTTCCAAGTAGTTTACCTGCTCCGTGGTTTTAGCTGCAGAATCTGAGTGGCCAGGTCTGACATGGACGCCCTTGTAAAGCTGCCGGAAGCTCTCCTTCCAAGGGTTTGCGTGTTCCGACTCATCCACAGGGATGAACTTGAATGTGCAGGGCAATGGGTTAAACAATGGGACGTCAAACTCGTAAACGAGCTGGTAAAGGTTTCTCCTGCAAATCAGCAATGTTTATATTTTAGAATAAAAATTTTGGCGGATTAGATCGTTTTACCATAATTCAGTGTCATTTGCAATGGCCTGGAAACGTTTGCAGACTTGACTAACTCGGCACAAGTCTTGCTCTAGCAAGTAGCTGAAAATGGTGAGCAACACTTCATCAGGTAATTCATACTGGAGGTAGTGGGCCGCCGTGGTTGAGTAGCCACCTGAAATTTTAATTGCAATTAATTGAAACGAGTTACTTGAAATAAGTTGGAATCTGTCTTGTTTGAAAGTTTTAAATCCCCCTCTTCTGCAAAGATTGACCTTGAAGGATCTTAAGCAGAATTTAAAGGGGCAAAATGTTTCTTTGATTCAGGACAACTTGAAGATTATTAGAGATGACAAAATTGTGCAAATATTCAAATGAATTAATTTTTTTTGAATAAATTATGAAAATTTTGCAAACCTTCGTTAGTGATTGAGCAGGTGCGTCGAGGCCTTTTGCGTGCTGGAAGCATCGAAGGCGAGTAAGTCGAGGGCGCCGACGCGGCGGAGCCGGCGGCGCCGACACTGCTCTCATGGTGGGGTGACTTCCTGCGAAGGTCGTAGGGCGGGTGGTGTCCCGGACAGCTAGACGAGGAGGAAGCGGCGGAGGACGAGGAGGAGGAGGACGAAGACGACGAGGGGCCTGCCGAGGGCGGCGCCGTCGACGATGCCGACGACGAGCCCGCGGCCGCGACTGGCGGCGCTCCACACGGCACGTCGCACGGTTCAGCTGCAGCAGGAAAGAAAACAAAAATATAATTAAGCAGGAAGGAAAGAAAGAAATAAAGGGAGAATGTACTGATTAACAAGGTGTCTCGGGACCTCCGAGTTGGGCGCCAAAGGTCCTCGGGGTCAAAAGGGAGTTGGAAAAAGGGGTCTAGGGGGATGGCCCGGCCTTAGAGAGGGCCAGAGGGACCAAATTGAACAGGGGTGCGAACTCGGTGGAGACACTCACCCGAGGAGGTGCGCGACGGCAGCGGGATTCTGTTGACGTTCTTGCGTCGCGAGCGTCGCACGTAGGAACGCGACGACGTAAACGAAGCGCTCGGCATCACGGCGCTGACGTGTTGAGACGTGAAAACGCTCGCACCACCCCTGAAATCGACTACTTAAAACTACACAGACATGTCAATCGCCTCGTCCTGACAGCCAGACGGCCATTTTCTCCTTTTCAACACTGCTGCTGCGGACGGAGACGGGCGGGACTGGGCGGGACAAGTTGCAACAACTCGTCGATCTGCAAAAATTGATCGGCAATTTTAGACCCTAAAAATACACAATTCATACAATTTTCGCAGCCTCGTGGATTTGAGTGAATAATTAATAAAAATAAATCTCAAAATTTTTCCAAATTCCCCAAATTTGAGTTGATTTTTAATGAGGTTTGCTAGAAGTGATCGATTGATCGATCAAGGGCGGCCCACTTCTGCACTTGCAGTCGCTAGGCAGGCAGACAATGACGGCTCTCGTCGACCAATGCGAGCGCTCCCTTGATACCACGTGACCTGCGGCCAAAACAATGGATGACGGCCTCTGGCACGGGCCCTCGCTTAGGGTGGCCGCCTGCTTTGCGCAGGCCATCCTGTACGTGGCCTCCCTCTATGTCTGGAACTCACCTTTCAACAGGTAAAAGCTGAAAGCAACCCTATTCGATTTTGCTTGGCGGCCTCTGGGGTTTGTGGCCTCGGACAGCCCTCGTTTCCCTGTTGCCACTCCACTCGGCGCTCAGGCAACCATGTGTTGTTTTTTTCTCTTATTGTTATTATGAATGTGGAACGCGGGATGATGGCCACGGCAAGTTTTTTTTTATTAAAAAAACTTTTTTTTATTAAAAAAACTTAATACATATTTTGTTGGCGAAAGACGAAAGCAGCTGCAAAAGAAACCGTGAAAACAGTCAGTTTAATGACGTATATTGTTTGTTTACATTTTTTAATACATATGTGTGTCAATCCCACCCTGATCCCTTTAATTCTTTATTTATTTCACTCTTTCCTATTTATAATTTTTTAAGTGATTTTGTATAATTATATAAAAATATTGTTTCATATTGAATAACCATGTTTATTTTTATTTTCAGGGACCATCCTTCAACCGTAAAAAGACGGTTTCTCAGTGCCTTTATGATGATGCTCATCTCACCCTTTTTTGTATACTTTTTCTCAACAGAAAAGCTTCTGAGCAAAGTAAAATTTTGAATTATTTTCTATAAAAAATTTTAATTTTTTCTCTTCTTGATTTAAGGCAAGCTTGTGGCAATTACTAGGATTGCGCTTTGAAGGGTTGTTGACTGCGGCGGTTGTGCCTCTCCTGCTGACCGCAATCCTCTTCCTTGGCCCCATAGCCATGGCAGTTCACACGCTCTCACCTAGACAGATGCTCAGTTAGTTGGAAACAAATCATATCAATTTCGAGAACTAAAATTCTGTCTGCAGATCCATCACTATTTATGCCTGATGTGGCTAACATTTTTTGGCTGCGAAACCACTTTGTAGCGCCTTTGTCTGAAGAGTTTACCTTCAGGGCATGCATGATGCCTCTGCTCCTCCAAAGTATGACACCCACCGCAGCTGTGTTATTTTGCCCAATTCCTTTTGGAGTAGGTCAGTAGTTTAACATAATAATAATCTGTTGGAATAAAAATTTTTTAATCATTTTCAGCACATTTTCATCACATGATAGAAAGGGTGAATACTGGAGTGCCTTGGAAAACTGCAATTATAGTTTCAAGTAATTGGAAATTAAATTTCACTCACAAATTAGATAAGCTTGATTTTGCTTGAATTTTTCAGCCTTTCAGTTTTGTTACACAACCATTTTTGGGGTGTACTCTGCATTTTTATTCTACCGAACAGGTTAGAGCTAAACATTAAATTAAGCCAAATAATTATTTATCGTTTTCTTCACAAATCAGGTCACATGGCGGCCCCGTTTGTAGCTCACGCGTTCTGCAATCTGATGGGCTTCCCTGATTTTGGTGCCCTGATGGCCCTGGAACGACCTCTTCGTACCAAGATGGCCACTTTGTTGGTACTCGGTTTGGTGGCGTGGATCGCCCTCCTGCTACCTTTGACATGTTCCAGTCTTTACCAAAACAAAATGGTCTGGACCACCACTACTGACGTCTGAAATTTTTAATCTGCAGTGATATTAGATTTTAAAACCACCGCTTCGAACAAAAAGTTCGATAATAATGCTGATTAGTTGACACTGTGTGCCATTTTTGAACTTATTACTACTACTGCTTATTTAACAAGTTGTGATTTTTTTGTTCTGTTTTCTTTTGTTTTACAGATTGTAAACATCATCAATGTTGGTGTTGAATTTCCTCTATTTCTCAATATAATTCTCTGCCTAATTTATTAATGAACTATTCTCAATCAGTCCCAAATTCCACTTGTTTAAAATGGTAAATTTAATGAAATCCAGAGGTCGATCCAAGGAAATTTTTTATTAGCAATCAGCATGTTGCTAGCTTTCTATGAGTAGTTCTTGTCACATTTCATTTACTTATATGGTACGAAAAAAATATGAGGCAAAAAATTTTACAATATTTACATATTTCAGTTATATTGCTCTTAAAAAATAGTATAACAGGCAGGCAGTAAACAAAATAGAATTCTATTAAGGCACTTTATAGAAGCGCTGACTAAAAACAATCAGCAAATTCAAAGATAATAATTAAGTCAAAACAAAAAGTTGAGCTATGAAAGAGTAACAATTATTATTGCTCATTTTAATTCAAAACCATTTCTTCTTGGGCGATTTCTGGCTACTTTTGTTAGGGGAGTTTTCTGCGTCTTTTAGCTCCTTGGCTTCCTTATTCTTTTTCTTATCCTTCTTGCCCTTCTGGAGCAACTTGATTTTCAACTTCTTGCCCTTGGCCTTCATCACTTCTTTCTCTTCCTCTGGTTGGAGGTGGCGATCTGTAATAAATTCATAGTTTATTAGTTACAAGTTCTTAAAAATTTGGAGATAGATCTACCTGAAATCATTTGCCTGTGCTCTCGAACGCTTTTATCCTCATCAGCCTCTCTCTTCCTATCCATTTCCAAACAATCGACTATTTCGTTTCTCTGCTCGACAACTTCCACCAGTCTATTAATGAGCTCCTCCTCCAGAGCTACATCCGCCTCCACCTTGTCTTGTTTTTGAAGCAAACAACGAATCCGCCACTCAAGCTCAGCTTGTTGCTCCTCCAAACGGTGCTGTCTTTTCCTAAATTTTCAATTGTCAGATCAAAAATAAAACAAATTTCACAAAAAAAAGAAAACTTACAAGTACATGAGCTCCGCCTGTCTTCGGAAGAGTTCGTTCTTCTCCATGACGAGGTCCATCAGCTGCATCACCATTTCCTCCACATCCACAGGCAGGCTGTGTTCGTCTTCGGCACTGACACTTTTCTCCAACCTTGTCCTGATTTCCTCCTCCAGTCGGACGCCCTGTTTTTCCAGGCCTCGTTGCTGCACTTCAATCATTTCCAGCTCTCGTCGAGCTTCTTCTATTGGAATGGCAATAACCTGCCGCCTTGGAGGAATCGGGAGTCCTGGCGCTGGCCGCTTTTTGCGTTTCCACTCACCCTGGTGGCTCTTTTCCGGCGCCACCTGCTGCCGTCGGTTCAGTTCGTCTTTGGTTTCCTTTGGCGGCGAGCTGCCAGGTGGAAGGGGCGCTCTCCGATTTTTGCGCGCCTTACTCAACGTGCTGGAGGGAGACGGTGTCTGTGAAAATAAGAAAAATGAAATTTTTTTTTTTTTGAACAGGGGGAATTACTTACAGGAGTTGTGTTGTTGGACGCTGTAGGTGGAGGTGGTGGGGGCGGTTTTTTCTTCTTTTTCAAAGAACCCAGCGGACTGCTGGCTGGCAGAGAAGTTCTCGGCATTGGATTTGGAGTGGAAGGAAAGTCCCTGTTAATAAGAATAGTATTAGTTTTTCACGTTTCAATAATGCTAAATTATTACTTTTGAAAGGATCTGGGTCTTGGCACTGGCTTCTCCTCCTCTTCTTCGTCACCATCTTCCCAAAAGGGATTCAGACTTGGCTCCACGGGGATTAATCTTCTAGGAGAGGGTTTGACCTCCTCCTTGACCTCTTCCTCGTCGGAGTCTGAACCAAATGGGTTTAGCGAAATGACCTTCTTTGGGCTTTCTTTCTTCTCTTCAACTTCTTCCTCTTCATCTCCAAAGGGATTCAAATCGTCGGGGTACACTTTCTCCTCCTCTACTACAATTGTAGGCATTTCTTCTTTTTGCGCCTGTTGAATTTCGTCTTGTTTTGTGCCTGTCGTTTCCAAATCAGAGCTGCTATGTACACTGGTAATACTACTATTGTTAGTCATTATTTGCATAGGCTTATCATCAGCTTTTTCCTCTTCTTTGTCTTCCAAAAGCCACTTGCTGACCACTGACGGTGGCGCCGAGGTGGGCAGTTCGGGCAGCACCTCAGCTTCCTGTTCTTGTGGCTTTTCCTCTTCCTCTTGATTTTGCTCCGCTGACACTTCTTCTTGTGAGATCACATTGAGATCAAGAGCGCTGCTGGTAACATTGTGGTTGTTGGGGGCGGAAGGGGGCGAGGGAGGCGGGTGGTGCGCCTCGAGGGCGCTCTCGCACGAGGCGCTCCACTCGTCGTCCTGGTCGGGTGCGGGGGTGGCGACTTCCTCATTGTCACTGTCCGTCTGCTCACTGCTCTCCCGAGGTGCGCGTTCTTCGTCAGGGCACACCTCGCAGCAGTAGACATGACTCTCGGTCTCGTAGCAGTTGGCCAGGCTGAGTTGGGCGCCGCAACGCGCACAACGCAGACACCGCCGATGGAAGGTGCGGCCGCCTATACGTAATCGCTCAGCCAGGAAGACAGCCTCTCCGCACCCCTCGCACAACTCCCGACGTCCCAACACCAACCCGCTCTGGAAAAAGGTAAATCAAACCTTTAGAATTGGTTTTATTGACAGGGTGGGGAAACTGGCCAGGGGTCGAATTGAAAAATAACATTCTAAATTTTAAAAAAATGTAGATCAAAATTTGACTTCATAAATCAATGCCTTATTTTTTTTATTATATTTATATCTATTACCATTTTTTAGCATGGGAAACTGCATAAAAAAATTTATTTTTTAATTACTAAAAAATCGAATGATTTGATTAATCATCTAAATATTAGGGAGTGAAACGTTTTTAGTTTTAATTTTATCTTTTCCCACGGCTTTAGAATTCTCAGCAAAGTGAATTTTCATGTAAAAGTTTTTGATATCAATTTAATAGCCGCGTGGGCGCCAATTGAAGTGGTTATCTCGCGCGCCGAGCAAGACCGACCGCGAGCGGTTGTACTCGCGGCCGCGAGATCGCGTAGTAACTTTAACAAAAGTCCGGCAAAATTCAAAAGTCAGCATTGAGATCACCAAGCGTGACCTTAGCACAAAGGGTGCTCAGATTCAACTAAAATGAAACTCGTTTATCCAGCTTTGTTAAGGGAGTGGGGAGGGGAAACAACGGGAGACGCATTTACCTGCTTTTGCTAGCAGAATATTTCTGGCTTATATTGGCCAATAATGTCCAAGCTATCATCCTGGGGAGCAAAAATAGTGCCAAATTAAATATTTTTCAATAAAATAAATATATACAAAATCCATCGTTGTACAGAATAATGTGAAAGAGAAGATGACTAATATAATAATTATTAAGTGTAAAAATTAAGAAAGATGTAAAACACATGACAAAATGCTCACTGTAGATTTCAAAAAGGACTTTTCAGTCATTAGTAAAACGTTAGATACTTCTTTCACAGTGAGCCCAATTAAGAAATTTTCTAATTTAATTGGATCCATAGACCCAGACATTAGAAACATTTAATTTAAAAAATGTTAAAATTAAAACTAATTTAGCTCATTAAGTCTACAGGAACTATATAATATTTTATACATACAGTTTATAGAAAAGTGAAAGAACACATTTTAAAAACAACCAAAAAGTCCACTCACCAACCATACCAAAGTATTATTTAACCCAAAATTTTTGTACTTTATCCATTTCCACACAAGCATTTTGCCATGGTAATTAATTGAATCTTGTCACTGTTTTTAACTCCCCAAAAAAATTACCAGAAATATTTCCCGTTATCAAAAGAGGCAACAATGCTTGTGGTGGGGTCTTAAAAGTTGCATGCGCTTTACTTCAAAAATCACCTTTTTCGGAGGCTGCTCGGACTCCGGGGTGGTAACAGGAGTGGAAGGGTTGCTTGCACTGTTCTCTCTCCTCAGAGGACTGCCACGGCCTGGTGAGATCAGACCTGAGACAAAAACCAAACAGAAAATTCAAGTTAAGTAATTAAGCGTAAAAAGTCCAAATTACCCATGGCAAAGGAAGCCTCGCCAAAAGCTCTGTAGTACTGGGCGACATAGGTGAGCACCGAGAGACGATCTGGAATTTGGCACTCGACCATGTCTTCAGCGTCCAGCAGGGCAGGGATCCCCAGGTGGCGCTCAGCAGTGGTGAAGGCAAGGTCATTGTTGTAACGGGCGTCTTTGCTCGTCAGGCGGTCAAATTCACTGAAAAAACAATATATTAATTGGTCGATTAGTTTAAATTTAACCTAGCTTTAATAATTATAATTATGTTGACAGAATGAATCGAATTAATTTCCTGAAACTCATTCATAAAAAAGAATAAAAAATTATTCATAAATTTGATTGCTGTTTTTATGTCTCTATAAATAATAAAGTAAAACTCAATTTCATTGGTAGATAATCATAAGATTAAATTATTGTTATTATTATTATTAAGATTTAATATTGCTGTTTATTTCTCCACATTTTGATGAAGAGCGAATTAAATTTTTTTATTAAAATTAAACAAGAATAGTTATCCGTTTATTAAGATAATTCGCTTTTTCAAACATTAAAATAAACTCTCGATGGGTCTCCAACTATATAGGAAAATAATAAAGCCACTTTTATACCTCAACCCACGATAAGACTAAAAAAATCATAAACAAAACTTTTTGCATTTGAGATTCATTTAATTTCATAGAGCTGAAGCCGTTTATGGTCAAGTATTATATTGAGTAATGAAGTAATTGGTGTCAATTGACCAATTACTCACATGAGGTCCGGCCGGAAGCGATGAATGAGGGCGCAGAAGGCGAGTCCATCGCGCCAAGAGGTGGTCATGTTGTCGACCGAGACGCCAGGGTATCCCTCGGTGACCCTTCTGCACCAGATCTCCAACGCCTTTGTGCCGCGTCGCTCGCCCATCGTCAGTCTATCAGCTGAAACAGCGAGAAAAAAAATAAAGAAAAAGTGCACAAATATGGTTTAATTGGCTGCACACAGGATGCAATTTTCTCCGGCGAGAACGAAAGAAAGAGCCGCGGCATGTGTAATTTGACAGGCAGGAGCCAATAATAATAACGGGAGCAATCGGAGCAAAACTGGTCGAACCTTCTTTCTCAGGGCAGCAAAAAAGAAGTGCCGCCGCCGCCGCCGTCATTTCTGGGGCACAATCAAAAAATAATAACACGCGACGCCAGAAGGTTCTCACCTCACAGAGCAACCGCAGGGCGCCTTCGACCGGCAGAAACAGAAAATTTGGAATATTAAATTAACGGGTGTGTGATTTTGTGCGGACCCAGGTGGGAACTTTGAGGTTTGCTGTCATAAAGTTTTTATTTCTGTCGACGATTAACGCCAAGCGACTGATAGATTTAGAACCAAAGAAACAGTTTTTATGGTCATTGGTCAATTTTTCTAAAGAAACTTTTATTTAAAAAAGAATATATAAATAATTTCCAATGGTGGGAGGCAAATAAGTGGTTATATTTTGTAAATTTAATCTCACAGAATATTTAGTTTTATCGAAATTATTGTATAGAGTTGCCTTATGTTGAGATATTTTACAAAAGACATCGGAAAACAACAAATTTGGCATGAAAAGTTTTAAAATTATCAAATTTTATCCACTATTCTATATCCTTTTAATCAAATGAAAAGTGAAAAATAAGACAGAACCATAAAAAGCTCTCTCAATATACACCTGACCATTTAAAACAAAAAGGCACTCTCACGATAAAAACTGGTGATCAAACGAGTTCGGCCTTGACCCTCCGCTTGTCGAGTTGTCATTCATTTGTATGTGCGTTTTGTGGGTCAATTGACTATAAGAGATGCGCGTCTTGCAACAGGCCATTCTTCGGAATTGAATTTTAAAGAAGAAACACTCGGAGTGTACAATAAATTTTGATTCCCATTAGGCTCTTTTTATTTAAAAAATTTCCCTGCGCCGATCGGCGGAAAGGGTCAAAAGGCCAAGTGGCGAGTCAAAAATCAAAAACAAATAACGAACATAAAAAGAGATTTCTCTCCCAGCAGAGCAAGACCCTCGCGGGAAAACGAACCGACTGAGTCACACGGCCTTTGATTTCCACATCCTACTATAATTTTTCTCCATTTTTGGCGAGAAGAAAGAAAATAAACTGCGGAAAAGACAGAGCGAAAGGTCACATCCTTTGTACCGGCGATTAATTTCTCACAAATGAATTCCATTTATGGAATCGATGCGCGCAGTTTGCTTGGCCTTGCTGCCAATTTCGAAATTGCAGAGTGCGCACGTGTTGAAAGAAAATTATAAATAATCCGAGTTTCCGAGAGTTTCGGTTTATCCCAGAGAGACTCGTTTGCATATCGAAACCTGTCAAAATAAGAGCTTTTAGGGCAATGAATGAGCGGGAGATAAAAAGCAGCTCGTTAAAACACTCATTTTGAGACGCCCTATGCTTTTTTTTATACTCTGAATCGGCGAGTTGTGTGTCAATCAAGAGTTATAAAGCAGGGCAATTAAACGCAGATATGAACTGTTAATTTTGTTAATATAGAGGCGGAGATTGATTTGAGACGGAATATTTGTTTCTCCACTCCGCGGTCATCCTATGCGAGCGAGAAGTTGTTTTGCAAGGCGGCCCTGAAAGGTCACCTGACCGCCGCGGCAAAGAAATAAAAACCTCAGCATGCAACAGCAGAGGATAATATTATAAGAAAATAACACAAACGACCGAGCTGCGAGCCTGGCCTTAATTCTCGCCGCTCAATTATAATATTGCCGCCACCAGCATTTCAGTTTCAGTACTTCAGGTTTTAAGGAGGCCACGTGAAGACAAATGCTTGTCCAAAAATAAACATGCAAAAATACATGTATCTTATAAAAATATAAATATACAGTTTGGCACATTTGTGACGAAAAAAATTGAAATGGTAATATTAAATTATAATTGGAGAAATTATTAAAAGTGTTTTTCTTTTAATTTAAAATTAAGAGAGTGATGATTAATTTCAAACTTTTTGATTATTCAAAATAATCCACATTTTTAAATGCTTGTTTTTTTCGTTTTCTTTTTTTAATTTTCAGATTGTTTGCTATTTTTATTTTTTCCACTTTGACTTCTTTGTTTGTGTTCCCCTCATTGGAGCAAAATGCCCGCTGTGGACAAAAAAAAAATCCTAAAATATTAATAAAAAAGGTCTCTTTGAATATAATTTCCACTTGATTGCAAAAACCCTGGCTTTTAAAGGTTTTTGAAAGTTTTTTCAGGGCCAAACTGTTATATTTCTACGCGACCACATTAATTTAGTGAGTTTTGCGCAGAAATAATATTTTTGATTGGGGACCTTGATTTTTATTTCCTATGATATTCATTTTAACTAGGGCGCCATTAAATAACAAAGTTATTTTCACTACCAAATTTTCAACTGATACTGTTTATTTTTTACTCTTAATTTAATTAATTGCTCCTGTTCCAAAAATTTATAGGACCACTCATATGAAAGCAATAAAAAAATACAACATCCAAATTAAAAAATCCTGGAAGGAAACTTTTTTTTATCAGAAGGAGTTTATAAATCTAGTAATGAAATCCTGCAATTAAATTTTAGTGGCTTTAAAAGCACTATAGAGTTTTAGCAAGTTTTAAGATTTGAAAAACAAAAATATAACCGCAGAATTTTCTATAAATTTGATATAAACTAAAATATTTTAACTCGACAAAAAATATTGTCAAAATTTGAGCAAATTTCAAATGATTGTGGGCGCGTTGGAAGGCGGATTTGATCGCACGTGTGTTTCAATGAGGAACAACAAAGCAATGGGAGAACAAATTGAGGATAAACGCGAGTGTGCGGAGAGGTCAGTGTTTTTATTTTCCTGCTGCTGGCAGCCGAAGGAGCCGCCGCCGCCACCGCTCAAGAAGTAGGTTTTTTCTTCTTCGCTTCAGGTCCCGCTATACGTTCGAGTGCTAATCACATTACGGGCAGGCCTCTTTATTGTTGTTTGTAAAAACCGACACACACATGCACTCCTATTCCTCCGCGCCTTTTCATCAGACACATTAATATTCACGGCCCAAAATCATCTACCGTAAATGATTTTCGCTTTGTGCCTTTAATTTCCTAACAAAATATTTGAGGAGTTTCTTTGAATTTCTCCAGACGCAATCAGGTGCGAAGACGGAAAAAGCAGGAGATCCTTGCAGTGTTTGATGAAATGTCACTCTGCACAAAGGGTTGGTCTCTTTTGCCTGAGCATTCCCACGCTTTCTCAATTGTCTGCAGCACAAAAAGCAGCAGACTGGCAAATATCGAGTTTCACCCTTTCTTTCTTTTTCTCTTCTTAATTCTTTTCGCGCAGCCTCCCCCACGCCGAGCAATAACAGAAGAAATTCCAACGTGCAGGACGAACAAATATTATATTCCTTTCAGGGTGCGACCGCGTGACCCTGAGAGATGGATGAATTCATCAAAAGTGCACGCGAGCTACGGGATAAAAATGGCGTGCAATAAAAATGGGGATCGCGTGAGAGCAGAACTGAAGTGAAGCTGCGGCCGCAGGGTCTGCTTTTTGGCCCAACCTGATTTTTTGAGCCGCCCTGAGCGTCTTTTTTTCACGCGAACCACCCAGAAACTCATTTCGCCCGCGTGCATATACGCACCGGTATCCAGAATTAAAAACTTTATTAAGTTTTTAGTTGAAATGCCGGAACTTTTAATTGTTTCTCAATAAAAATTCATTCCTCTCCTCCATTTTAAAATAATATCCAGAAAAAGTTATTAAAATGTTAAACTTGAATAAAGATTTCGTAGATAAAAAAATTGAGGGGTTAAAATTGAGACCAAATTATTTGAGGGAGGCATTTTTGCCACTTTGCATTTTTTATAGTTTTCCCAAGAATTAAGTTCTTTGATTTAATTTAAACAAAACATTAATGCGAAAAGGTCAGGTCACAAGGAATTATAACCCTAAAAGTCAGCGAATTCTAGGTCAAAATTTGTCGATTGGTTTGATCAAATTACTCCAGCAAGATTTGTTTTTGAATTATAAAAAAAATTATGATTATAATTTTTACTCTGCTTTTTTATTTAAATTTTTATTATCTTTTATTGGCCTGCAACGATAAGAGATAACAGCTCTTTCTTGATGACCAGGAAAGCCGTAGTTATTTCCGTGCCACTTAATTAAATGTTTCTGCATTTGAATTTTTATCCAATGGTCTTGCTCGCTTTTTTCCTCAAGTCCCATCTGCCCAATTCTGCAGCGGCTGAATTAATTGCAAACGTTAGAGCGCAGATCCTGCTCTCTCAGCTCTAATTCCGTTTGTAGCACACAAGAATTAAAGTCCTTCTCGCTTTTATCATTTAATCACACTTCCTCTCTTATCAAACAGATAACGCGCAAGGTAAATAGCTATTCTCTAACACCAAACCACAAATCATCAAAAGCATATAAACCTTCAAATAATTGGAAGAGAAAAGATTTTCTTTCACGGTCACCATTTGTGTGTCATCGTCTCTTTTACTGTTTTGATGGTTCCATATTTTTCTTCCTCAATCTAATAATTGACTTTTACAGCTTCAATTATGAGAGGGATTTCTTTCTCCTAATTACATCTCCTGCGTGTGATCTGATTTTGTAACACACACGGCAAACCATATCTGAAATAATTATTTCTCTCTCCTGCAGTCGCTCCCGGCGTTTGCGTAATTTTTTAATAATCTCTTTCTATATATCCCTGATATAATTGGCCGAAACGAGACAAAATAATAAATATATATTCGAGAGAGTGCGGTCGAAATCAACTAGCGGCACATCCGTTTCCCCTTCACGAATTCCAACCCCACAGGTATATGTAATTTCCGCTCCAAATTAAAATTAAAACTCGCGCGGCCGTCACATCATGTAAATGAAAATGCAAATTTCACTTGGAAAGCGGTGCTTGCGTTTTTT